AGAAGGTACTCTCTGGAGAGAGAGCAGGAGCAGCATCGCTGGCAATGCTGTGAAGAGGTATATAACCATGCTTTCTCATCATCATAGGTCGAGTGGATCCCCATCCACTCTACTCACCATACAACTAGTCAATACTTTAGAAACACAAGTACTCATTAGTTACAGTCAGCATAGCAGCAATCTATCAAGGTTGCTCCTCATCGTAGTGTGTGTGTTGTATCACCACTACCTGACGTCCGAAGGCGCCCATAGCAGGTTAGCGGTCCGGATATAGATAGAACCGAAGGCAGTAGTCCACTGCGGTCCGGGGATCACTTCGAGCATCAAGTCAACACACTGGACACTCGTGTTGACGCCACCAACCTTATCACCAACACCATCAACCTCATTATCATCGACATCACCAATCCCATCACCAACACCATCAACCTCATCATCATCAACACTCACACCAGACCTTGGTGTCATCATAACATTGATATTGATCGTGCCGAGCTACCCCTGAACGGAGTGTCCACAGAGGTCAGCCGAAACCTACGATAGTATACACAACAAACGCCACCTGCTGTCACTGCACAACTTGATAGTCACCGAGTATCTCGAGACAATAGCTGTCACACAGTTTGATAGTCACCGAGTATCTCGACAGACCGACCTGGGTTTCAGGCGCGAGACCCCTGACAACTATCAAGTTGTGCAGTGACAGCTGGTGGCGTTTGTGGTATATACTATCGTAGGGTTGGAGCAACCTTGATAGATTGCTGCTATGCTGACTGTAACTAATGAGTACTTATGTTTCTAAAGTATTGACTAGTTGTATGGTGAGTAGAGTGGATGAGGATCCACTCGACCTATGATGATGAGAAAGCATGGTTATATACCTCTTCACAGCATTGCCAGCGATGCTGCTCCTGCTCTCTCTCCAGAGAGTACCTTCTTCATCGAGTACTGCTCAGGGGCCTCTCCTGCTTGGCACCCCTGTGCCTCTTGAGTGGTGTCGACTCCTTCGACACTGCTCCTCCTCCTCTGACTGGTGATGGTTCCTTTGACTCTTGTCTCTCGAGCCCCTGAGTGGTAACCATCTGCATGCTCCTTGAGCTTGGTCCTCTTCGTGGCTGTGCCTGCTCCTTGAGCTTGGTCCTCCTCGTGGCTGTGCCTGGCCCTCCTCACATATGGCTTGGTCCTCCTTTGCATGTGAGTCCGTAGGAGTCCATGGTCTCCATGGAGACTGCATTATGACCATGCTCTCTAATGGTATCGACTAGATCTTCGATACCTGTGCTCCTTCCATATGAACCAGTGACCCTCCTGCTTCTTGAGCATCCAGGCCCATGACAGCTTGCTCATAAACCTGGTTGAACTTGAACCACGCTTCAGCTTCAAGGATGAAGATCTCAATGTCTCTAGGATTGAACTTGGGAAATGGGGTGGTGATTGGCTTTGATTGTGAGAGATCTTCTGTCACGCTAGCATCATCCTCCTGATCCAGGCCATAAGGATCCATCCTTGGCCTATTGTACAGATCCACCCTGGGCTTGATGTATCTCGGCCTGGTGGGGGAAGTGTACTTCTCGTAGTTGATGTCAGACTGCTCATCCAAGTCAGCAAACAATACTGATTGCCTCAGTCATGATGTTGGAGTAGGAGTTTGCAGGTCTCCTATCATGGATTTGTCCCCTCCTGTCTGATCTTCTGAGTGGGAGAGCTCAACCATCTCCTCTCCACTCAGGTGAGCATGACAAAGTCATTCCTCTCATTGACCCTGCCTGGTAAGCTCCAGCTGAGCTTCCATTAGGGAGAGTAGCCTCTCGAGCTTGTTGTTGAGGCTTGAGTCCATCATGCTGATCATGGGGTGCTGCTTGAACCATCCACTCTAATGTCAGTGGTTGCATGCCCAAAACCTGGAATTGGTAATAGAGTCATGTCTATTACAAATCCTGTTGAGTTATGCAACAACACTTGTGGTATTGCGATTCTCAGTGAAATATGTAGTAGAGCCATCTCTATCACTTTTCTCACTTGGAACTGCAGTAAGGGTTTTGCTATTGCAGGTTTCAACTGGCCACTGTGGACACTCCATCCAGAGGTAGCTCAGCACAATCAATAATGATATGAGTTGTACTAACACCAAGGCCTGGTGTGAATATGATTGTTTGGTGATATCAACATGAGTGTCCAGTGTGTCAACTATTGCTTGAAGTGATCCCCAGATCACAGTGGACTACTGCCTTCAGTTCTATCTTTATCTGGACTGCTGGTTTGCTATGAACCACCTTTGGATGTCAGTGAGCAGTGATACAACACACATGCTACAATGGAAGCAATCTACTTGATTGTGACTATGCTGACTGAAACTAATATATACTTATGCTGAAGTGATAACTAGTTATGTATGGTGTAGAGTGGATGGAGATCCACTCAACTACTTGTGGCAAGGAAGCATGCTCTTTATAGACGTTCTCCCAGTGTCACCAGCGACACTGTTTCCTGTCTCTTCTGAGCTGTGTGTCGTCTCCTTCGACACTGCTCCTCCTCCTCATGACCTGCTTGCCAGTGTCCTTGACACAGCTCTTCTTCCTTCGACCAGCAACAGTCCTCCAGGTCTTCATCTTGTGCCCCCTGAGTGGTAACCAGCTGCATGCTCCTGAGCTCGGACCCTTCCTTGGCAGCACTTGGTCCCCTTGCATGTGAATTTGTCATACACTCATCCTTGCCACTGATCTCCACAGAATCTGCCACATGGTCTCTTAAACTACTGATCTCAGTGGGATTCATAATATCAACTTCGCTCATGCTGATCTAGGTGAGATCTGTAATAGAGCTGTCTCTACTACAGATCTCAGTGAACTCTGCTGCAAATCTGACAATCTGCCCAATTCCTTGATTCCTGCACTCCCTTCATATGAGTCGACGGATCTTCCTGCTTCCTGCGCATGCAGCCCCATGACAATGGGCTTCCCAATGCAATCGCTAAATGCCCGGGCCCAACTCTTCTCGATGAGTGCTAGTTTGGAGGCCTAGAGTGATGATACTATGATCTGACCCACTTGGACAGATCTCGACATTTTGAAGGAAGGGAATGAGGCTGTGTGAGGCCCAGATGCTGTCAATGCGGCAAGCAGAAATGAGTTGGCCGTTTTGGATATGATGGCATGTATAGCTGATGCCTTGAGGGTAGAGGGTCCAAAAGGTGTTGACCATACCAGCCAGCATTAGCTGTCCAAGAGGGAGTTGACTCCATTGCTGTCAGGGTGGGTAGTTGTCGAGCATAGAGAAAACCACTGCATTCCAGTCCACACCTATGATGGCTGCGGAGGAGTTGCTGGCTGCAGCAATGTCTAGTAATGAGAGGCCGGCTTCGTCTTGCTCCCAGAAAGCACAGTGAGGAGCATCTTCGGGAGGTGCATGAATGCTCCATAAGTGCAAGAGTTGGATGGATTGGCCCAGTGCCAGTTCAGATTCAGGGATGCAGACTTGTGCATACATCGCATAGTGATGAAAATGAGTTCCCTCAATCTTCCACTTGGTGTTCCATAGTAATATACTGCAATCATGACCTAGAATCGCTTGGTGGCCCCAGGATGCAAAGGGATGGTGAAGGTGAAGAAAAGGGTTGGCAGTCAGAAGGCGGTGAGGAGAGGCAAGTTGTCATGGGCCTGGATGCTCAAGAAGCAGGAGGGTCACGGGTTCATATGGAAGGAGCACAGGTATCGAAGATCTAGTCGAGATCAGTAGAGAGCATGGTCATAGTGCAGTCTCCATGGAGACCATGGACTCCTATGGACTCACATGCAAAGGAGGGCCAAGCACAGCCACGAAGAGGACCAAGCTCAAGGAGCATGCAGATGGTTACCACTCAGGGGCTAGGAGAAGGAGCAGTGTCGAAGGAGTCGACACCAGGTCATGAGGAGGAGGAGCAGTGTCGAAGGAGTCGACACCACTCAAGAGGCACAGGGGTGCCAAGCAGGAGAGGCCCCTGAGCAGTACTCGATGAAGAAGGTACTCTCTGGAGAGAGAGCAGGAGCAGCATCGCTGGCAATGCTGTGAAGAGGTATATAACCATGCTTTCTCATCATCATAGGTCGAGTGGATCCTCATCCACTCTACTCACCATACAACTAGTCAATACTTTAGAAACATAAGTACTCATTAGTTACAGTCAGCATAGCAGCAATCTATCAAGGTTGCTCCTCATTGTAGTGTGTGTGTTGTATCACCACTACCTGACGTCCAAAGGCGCCCATAGCAGGTTAGCGGTCCGGATATAGATAGAACCAAAGGCAGTAGTCCACTGCGGTCCGGGGGTCACTTCAAGCATCAAGTCAACACACTGGAGACTAGTGTTGACGCCACCAACCTTATCACCAACACCATCAACCTCCTTATCATCAACACTCACCAACCTTATCACCAACGACATCAACCTCATCATCATCAACACTCACCCCAGACCTTGGTGTCATCATAACCAAAGCATTGATATTGATCGTGCCAAGCTACCCCTGAACGGAGTGTCCACAGAGGTCAGCCAAAACCTACGATAGTATATACAACGAATGCCACCTGCTGTCACTGCACAACTTGATAGTCACCGATACCGAGACAATAGCTGTCGCACAGTTTGATAGTCACCGAGTATCTCGACAGACCGACCTGGGTTTCAGGCGCGAGACCCCTGACACAAGTCACATCTCCTGCAAGAAGACGATTTCAGCTTTGCTGAGAGGGGTGGACAGATTGTGTAGGGTGGCAAAGTGGGATGGATCATTAAGTGTTGCACAATTCCAAGTGGTGACAAAAAGGGAGCTGGAGAGGAGGATATGATTAGGCACTATAGTCAAGGGTGTTGGCACCACGAGTACTTTCCTTTGTTTGCTGAGCAACAGCAGTTGTATCATCATTATCATGAGAGGTATTGGGGCAGGTAGTGGTGATGTGCCCAGTATGTTGACACTTGTGGCAGAGGCGACCAGGACAGTCTTTGAATGTGTGGAAATATTTCACTTGGCTCTTGCAAGATGAGCACCATTGTAAATGTCTGACATAGCTGAGCTTGCAGTTGTTGGTGAGGATCCATATGTAACTGGGAATGGCATGAAGCCAAATGGGATCAATGCCTCCTTTGTCTCCTGCTGGAGTGGTGATGAGGGCAATGTATACATTAGTATCAGCCAGGGGAGTGGGGTCATCATGGTAAGAGACCTGTCAAATCCAGACATCATGAACTTGGGCATAGGGCTTGAGCAATTGAGCCACATAGCAAGTGGTGGCAGTTGGAGCATTGGCCTGAGGAACATCAAGGATCTCGAGAGCAAGGGAGTTGCAAGGGAGAGCCATCCCAACAAGGACATGTTGAAGACTGGTCTGATTGAAGACCAGAGAGACCTCACTGAGAGTGACCAGGTGGTCACAAGGTACTGTAATCTCCACAAACTGATGACAGCTGGTGCTTTGAGGAAAGTTAACAACACAGTTGGGCATGGCAATACCCTTGGCTCGCATCTGTTGACAGGCCTGGAAACGAAGGGAGCCTTGGGCAATGTCTTCTTCATGATTGAGGTTGAAATTTTGGACAAATTGCCATCATACAGTGCAGGGAGGTGTTACGGGATCGGGAATCGGGTGACCAAACCGAACATAGTGAGCAGTAAAACCACTACACCAGCTAGACCCTTAGCTGGTGTACCTGATTCACACAACACTGAAGTATAAGCATTTTTCACTCCCAAATGCTCTGGACTTGGAGAACGGAATTCCTATTCCGGTGACCGGAGTGTCATGGGCCTGGATGCTCAAGAAGCAGGAGGGTCATTGGTTCATATGGAAGGAGCACAGGTATCGAAGATCTAGTCAATACCAGTAGGGAGCATGGTCATAGTGCAGTCTCCATGGAGACCATGGACTCCTATGGACTCACATGCAAAGGAGAACCGAGCCACATGCGAGGAGGGCCAGGCACAGCCACGAGGAGGACCAAGCTCAAGGAGCAGGCACAGCCACGAAGAGGACCAAGCTCAGATGGTTACTGTCATGGGCCTGGATGCTCAAGAAGCAGGAGGGTCACGGGTTCATATGGAAGGAGCACAGGTATCGAAGATCTAGACGAGATCAGTAGAGAGCATGGTCGTAGTGCAGTCTCCATGGAGACCATGGACTCCTACAGACTCACATGCAAAGGAGGGCCAAGCACAGCCACGAGGAGGACCAAGCTCAAGGAGCAGGCACAGCTGTGAAGAGGACCAAGCTCAAGGAGCATGCAGATGGTTACCACTCAGGGGCTCGAGAGACAAGAGCCAAAGGAACTGTCACTGATCAAAGGAGAAGGAGCAGTGTCAAAGGAGTCGACACCAGGTCATGAGGAGGAGGAGCAGTGTCGAAGGAGTCAACACAGCTCAAGAGGCACAGGGGTGCCAAGCAGGAGAGGCCCCTGAGCAGTACTTGATGAAGAAGGTACTCTCTGGAGAGAGAGCAGGAGCAGCATCACTGGCAATGCTGAGAATAGGTATATAACCATGCTTTCTCATCATCATAGGTCGAGTGGATCCTCATCCACTCTACTCACCATATAACTAGTTATCACTTCAGCATAAGTATACATTAGTTTCAGTCAGCATAGCAGCAATCTATCAAGGTTGCTCCTCATCGTAGTGTGTGTGTTGTATCACCACTACCTGATGTCCAAAGGCACCCATAGCAGGTTAGCAGTCCAGATCAAGATAGAACTGAAGGCAGTAGTCCACTGTGGTCTGGGGGTCACTTCAAGCATCAAGTCAACACACTGGACACTTGTGTTGACGCCACCAACCTTATCACCAACACCATCAACCTCCTTATCATCAACACTCGCCAACCTTATCACCAACGACATCAACCTCATCATCATCAACACTCACACCAGACCTTGGTGTCATCATAACCGAAGCATTGATATTGATCATGCCGAGCTACCCCTGAATGGAGTGTCCACAGAGGTCAGCCGAAACCTATGATAGTATATACAATGAACACCACCTGCTGTCACTGCACAACTTGATAGTCACCGATACCAAGACAATAGCTGTCACACAGTTTGATAGTCACTGAGTATCTCGACAGACCGACCTGGGTTTCAGGCGCGAGACCCCTGACACGGAGGTCGGTCCGACCAAGGGAGGGGGAGTTCTTCAAAGGGGACGATTGGCTTATCAGAACATTTGGCTGACCAGACAAGTCTACCAGTGAAGATGGGCTGGAAGGCCTGCTGGTCAGGCTCAGCCAGATAGGTCTCCTCCATGGCCTCATTGACTCCATCTTCATGGTGGTCAGAAGGAGGGACAGGGGCAGATTCATTGGTGTCCTCGTGAGTAGTAGCAGGGATGTCAAAGGCAGTGTGATCTTGAGGGGATAAGGGAGCAGAGGCAGTGGATGTATCAGCTGCATGGGTCAGCATATCTGGGGAGGCGAGAACAGGGCCAGAGTCAGATGCATGATGATGCTGATTGTTGGAGTGGATAGGCGGCTTTGAGTAAGGGTGAAAGGACACAAAAGGAGCTGGTGTGGTTGAGGAGTAGTGTGGATGGTGAAGGGGGGGTGAGGGCGATGACTGAAAGGAGGAGCCTTTATGGGAGGAAGTTGGTGAGGAGGGCAGAGCTTTAGCCAGGTGGAATGATGGGAAAGCAAGCAATGACAGAAGGCAGAGGAGGAGAAGGTGAGGAGAGCACTTGTAGGCAGAGGCTCGAAGGAGGGCCTGAGGGACTTAGCCATACTTAGCCATAAAGTAATAGATTGGAGGTGCTGAGTGAGTGAAACCAACCCCAGGATGCACCCATGGAATGCACAGAGCAGCAGAAGCAGGAAGTGGTCATTGTTGTGATCAAGACCCCCAGAGACATTGCCAAAAGAGGTGCAGATAGATTGAATGGGTGGATGATGTTGATATATGTGTTGGTTTGGCACAGTAATACTAGACTGAGCTCCCCAATGTCACTGAAGCAGTGAAACTTGCAAAAAATGCAGTGTCATTTGATCAAATTTGAGTCATTTGAGACCAGATGGATTTGGTCAATAAGTCAGTGGTGTTTATGAGTCATAGAGCTCGTAACAGTGTCAAAGTCATTGGTTTGTGTGATGTTGAGGTGTGCTGAAGTCAGCTGAGCACCCCTGTCAAGTCTTGCAATGAGTTATGATGTCGAAGTGTCGACGTGAGGTGATGCCTAATGGCAGACACTGACACCATATCAAAAAAAAATTGGTTTTACCATTACTCGTCCATTTTCTGATCGATCTTGCTCCAGAAAGTTGGAGGGGATGCCCCTCAGTCGTCCGCGTTCGTACGTTCCAGTTTCAGGGGTGTGCTGTGGGACAAAAAAACAAAAAAAAACAAAAAAAAAAACAAAAAAAAACAAAAAAAAAACAAAAAAAAACAAAAAAAAACAAAAAAAAACAAAAAAAAACAAAAAAAAAACAAAAAAAAACAAAAAAAAACAAAAAAAAACAAAAAAAACAAAAAAAACAAAAAAAACAAAAAAAACAAAAAACGACGCCTACAGGATTTGAACCTATGCTCCCAGAGGGAATGGCATTTTATTTTTTTTGTCGAGCAGATAATACTCTAGAATCAAAGAAGAGATTCTAGTGCCACGCGATAACCACTCCGCCAAAGCGCCTTAGATATCCACATGCTTTTGGAACGTATATATGATCCCTTAATTCTCCTCCCCTTCCGCATTGGGTCGGAGTTTATGTCGAGTCAGGCTAGCACAGACAAAAGAGTGCAGAGATAAGAGCAAAGCAGACATTGCGGTTAGGGGGATGTATGGGAGACTTGAATAGCCGGTAAACCTTCTTTAGCAGCTGAGGATCCAAGGTAGAAAGGGGCTTCGGTGGAGTTGTTAAGGTCGATCAAATCATCACCAGTGGTGGGAGCGGTTTTAGAAACAGACTTTCGTTGACGTAGACCTTTTTGAGACTCTCCCTCTGAGATTAGGGCTGGTTGAGGGATGAATTTGAAGCCGGCACTAGCTGGAGACTCGTCCACATCATCATCCTCTAGAGTATCCTTGCGCACTACATACTTGGACGGCAGAGGAGCATATCCCTTGGTTCGACGCTGTAAAAGCCTTCCCCCATTAGCCAGCCCGGGGAACTCCAACGCAGAACTGCGCGACCGCGTCGGATTCAGGTGTGAGTCTATCTTGCCCTCCTCTTGATCGTCAGTAGTAGTTCGTGGATCGAGAAGAGGTCGCATAACGTGTTTCCAGTTCCCACTCCAAGTCGATCTTCTACTCCTCTGGCTTTTTCCCGCTTCGAAAAAGCCGTTGGTGCTCGGTGCAGGCTCGGGCGAGTGGAGAAGAGTCATACTTGGGTTGGGGGACATTGGCACACCTCCCACTCCCCCTCCCCCTCCCCCTGCTGCTCTTGTCACTTCGAGTAATCCCGTCCTCGGAGTACTGTTGGAGGTAGGCGGATCAAAAGGACACTCCAACCCCCCACCATCTCTCAACCAATCCCTTTCCGGCCACCTGCCCAATAAACTCTCCCAAACCTTGACCAAACCTTCCGCATCCCTGAAAACCACTCCATTCGACCTCTCCCGCACCAGTTCATCCAAACATGCAAAATCCAGTGCACATACAGGCAATCCACATCCCAACATGTCAACTACCTTCATCGGCAAATCTAAGCCACTGCTACTTGTATGCAACGATACACCCAGCTCGGCGGATCCGAGGAGTAGGGGGTAATCAGAAGATTCGAGCCAAGCTGTTCGAATGCGTACAAACTGCCATTTTTCGGTTTGTTCGAGATGGGCGATTTCGGAAAGGTAGCGTGCGCGAAGCTCGCCTTTACCAGTAACGATGATCAAGAGGCGGGGGAGAGTTGTGGCCGGATAGTCGGGAAGGTGGGGAGTTGAGGGGACAAGGCCGGATGACGGACGACGACGTTCTTTCGAGGTGCGGACTCCCACTTCATAGGTAGGGGATGGAGGATAGGAGAAATGCGAGGTGGAGGAGGGTGAGAGAGAAGAAGATATATTTTCACCAGTATTACTTCTCGAATGACCCCCAACCCCAGCTTTCTGATCGTTCAACACCCTTGCTCGGTACTCGTACAACCTAGCAGCTCGTAGTAGAAGGCCAAAATCTTCATCTGCAGTCCAGGAAGTACTGCTTACTACCAGAGCTGGTCTGTCTTCTCTCTTCTCCCATCCACCCTCTGCTTCCTTCTTCTCCCGCGTGAAAGGTGTACTCTCGGGAAGGTGGTAGTCTGGTAGCCAGGCCTCTCCTAACCCAGGCTGCAGTGCCGGTATCAGCCTAGACATGAGGCTATGTGTTTCTCCCAGCTCCGCTCTACGGAAATGACTCGGCGGTCTATCATGCAACACCTTTTTCTCACCAACCAACCCCCATTTGAGATCTAAATGGTTCCTCATGGCCTCGGAAACAAACAAGTGAGCATATGCTGTTCTCCCACTCCATCTCTCGAATTTCTCCGCCAACCTCACCACTTTACTCTTCTCCCCCAATCTTAGGGCTAGAATAGTGTACGCTAGATTATGCCAATCAATTATCACCCTCGCTTTGACCAGTGCTGCTGCTGCTTTTACCACCAATAATGTCGGCAATGCTGGCGGGGTTTGCACTAGTACAAGCTCTGGTGGGGGATGAACTTGCATAGTTAGCTCTAAAAAGAACGAGAGAGATTGAATCAGAAGCTTGACTGGTGCTGCGAGGATGAAAAGTTTCCGTGGTAGACGAGAGATAAACGAGGGTGGGGGTCGAAGATGGTGTTGCCGGATGGAAGGGCGGTGGAGGGCGGGGGGAAGGGAGGATCCGGGGTAGCCTACGATAGCTACTTTCCAACCTTCATTTGCTAGTGATTCGACGTGAAAACACATTCGAGGGGATCGACCAATGTCGCCGAGTACAACTACCGCTGCGCTTCGACCTAAGCATTGCGATCGGGTGGTACGGGAGGTGGAGCGATAGGCTGAGATGTAGATGCACAGGCACAGCAACGCTATAAGTGGGAGCAGTGCTGCACAGAATGCGAGTAGGACGAGCCACAGAAGCATGGTTGAAACGAGTGGATGTTGGATGCAGAGGTGACGGCGAAGGGGGGGTGCTGCTACATGCCGAAGCCGAAGACGTGGGCGGTAGGCGGTAGGCGGGGTGGTGGGAAGCGGTGAATCAAGTGTCAGTCGATCGATGGTGATAGGGTGGGAGAGGGGTTGGAGGAGAGAAAGAAGGGTCCGTGCGTGCAAAGTGGAAGGTGGAAAGTGTTGGTCCCTGCAGGGTAGCAGCGCTGTTCCCGATTAAAAGCGCTTTGAGTTGGTGATGTTAGATTTTTCACGTCGGATAGCACTCAGATCTTTGAACCCTTCTTCTCACCATCGTCGTCTGGACATCAACCATTACACTACAATCACCGTCATCGTCACCCTTACGCCGGGCTAGGTTTGTCAAGATGCGTATGGTAGGTCTATCTCTTTCTCCTCTGGCATCGCTTCTTTAGCTGCTACTAAACACACTCTCTTCGTCCTTACCTTTCTCTGTGCATCCTCGCCTGTCAATCTCACCGCTTTCAACTCTTGATCCTCTCATCCCATCGCATTCGTCAAATCTGCACCTATCTCAACCCACCCATTGCTTGCTTACAGCTCAAGGAACAAGATCAGAACGAAATAGAAGTAACATGGATTGATCAACAAGCCATCAATTCCTTCTCCCGTCTCAACTCGACCTATTCGGACATCGAACATGATCTCTCTCTCAAAAAGGAACAACTTGAATCACTCGAGGATTTAAGTATGGAGTTGGAATTGGCAGATGAAGATGAACCCGTCATGTATAAAGTTGGAGATGCATTTGTAAGCTTACAGCACGAACAAGCTATGGAGAGGCTGGACAAGGATAAAGAGGCAGTGGGAGAAGAGGTAAAGGAATTGGAAGGCAAACTGGAGCAGTATGAAGAAGAGATGAAAGGGTTGAAGGTGAAACTCTATGCCAAGTTCGGTGACAACATCAGTAGGTAAAGCCCTTGCCTCTTACCGCAAAAAGGATGAGCGATAGAAGAGAAGGGTTGGAGATGATACTGACACCTTTACTCTTTCGACATTTGCTTTGAATAGATTTGGAACGAGATTGATTGTCCCGTCCAACCAAAAACAAAACTACACTAGCTCCGTCTATGAAAGCGAGATCAACGTAATCCCTCACTTGTACTTGTACCTGGCAACAACGGCACGTAGGATACGATCTTTCACCCAAAATCCGTCAAGGATTTGCAAAGAACGACAGTGATGGGATTGAAATCAAGAACCAATGAATGTGAGGAATGCAACATGCAAGAGACGATGACCAAGGATGGATGTATAAAGCAAAAAGGAAACCACAACCGCCAAAGGCAATGCAATCGTAATCTATGTCGAGGTGAGCTTAGGGATTAGCAAGGTGCAAACCAGTAGCATTGCCCGATCTACCTCGGCCCTGAGTCGTGCTATCTGGTGAACCCGATCTTGCACCTCCCTGCTGCTGCTGCTGCTGCTGCTGCTGTTGCTGATCCGCATATCCTCCATACTGCCCCTGCTGATCCGCGTATCCTCCATACTGCCCCTGCTGCTCGGGGTGTCCCTGGTAATACTGTGGATGTTGCTGCGGCGAAGAGTGAGTTCCTTGGTAATGCTGTGCATACTGTTGTGGCGAAGTTGCGCCCAAAGATGGGCTTTGATATCCTCCTCCTCCAGCGCCGTATTGACTATGACCTTCTTGCGATCCAGCTTTGTGGCCGGATTGGCTTCCACTTGCAGCACCAACGCGGGTAGAGCCTACAGAAAGACTATGAGAGAGACCCGGATTGCCATGCGCTTGGGATTGAGCTGGGGAGGTGTATCCGGGAGCAGCACCCCAAGCTTCTCCCTGTGGGTGAGCTGCCCAAGCTTGATGCTGGGGTTGCATTGCGTACTGACCATACTGTCCGCCATAAGCTGCCTGCTGTTGCTGTTGGGCGTAGTAGGCGTCATAACCCTCGGCACCATGCTGAGCGTACTGATCATGGGCAGCATAGCCACCAGCAGCACCAGCACCAGCACCAGCACCAGCAGCAGCACCAGCACCAGCAACGCCCCAGGCGGCAACCTGATCGACGTTATGATAGTGATACGGAGGCTGTTGATCCATCTCATCCATCTGAATCTCATTGACGTTTGCTACACTTCCACCTTTACCCTCTCCACTACCGGCCACACCTGCACCACGACCGTAGACAGCTTCAGCAGAGTTCTCGTTGACATGATCGTTCTCTTGACCGAAAGAGAGCCATTCGACTTGTTTCTGCTTCTTTGCTCGTTTGCGCAAAGGAAGGAGGATGAGCCAGATGAGGATGATAAGACCGGCTACACCACCGGCTACACCACCGATGATGGCACCGAGGTTGGTGCCGGATCCTCCACCGCCGGAGGATGAACCATGGGCAGCGGTAGCGGAAGGGTGGGCGGAAGTGGAAATGCCGGTGATGAGTGCTCCGTTGGGGTCGGTGCTGGTGAAGGTCACCGTTACGACGGGGATCGAGGCAGGAGTGGTGGCGGAAGCGGAAGTGGCGGAAGCGAGGGGAGCGGAGGAGGTGGATGTGGTGGCTGAGGTAGCAGATGTAGGTGCGGCGGAGGAGGTGGTGGAGGTGGTGAGAGGGGCGCTGGAGGTGGTGGAGGTGGAGATGGGTGCAGCGGTAGTGCTGGTCGAAGTTGGCGTGGGTGGAGTGGAAGTGGTGGTGGAGGTGGTAAGTGCGTCTGAAGTAGTGGGAACGGTAGCTGCGGTGTCGCTGTTGGGCGAGAGAGGATTGGTATCGTCGGCGTTGTTGACAGTGCCAGTGTGTGAATCGTTGGTGGTGGCAGCAGTTTGAGGTGATCGAGCAAGAGCCGCGATTTTAGGGTCGTGGTTGTTTGTCGAGGGCAATTTGGCAAGAGGATCAGAAGGAGGATCGGATGGTTTGTCGGGTTGCGTGATCGCATTGCCAGTGTCGGTGATAAGGTTGGCCATGATGAGTCAAGTAGTCGGAGCAGCCGATTAGAGAGTCGTAGATCAAAGGTAAAGGAGTATGTGAGAAGCAATCAAACTGGCAAAGTCAGTCAGTCTTTCTTGTCGGAATGGAGCCGAAGCTGAAGAAGAGAGGATGCCGTGCGACAACTGCTAATCCCTGCCGGATCGGAAGGTATGCCGACGACTCGGAATAGAGAGCAGGAGCGAATGTGCTGCCGCGATGGCAGGATCAAGAGCGAAGCAAACTAACAGCAGATCCAGCAGATCCAGCAGATACAGCTTGTGAAGAGGGAGCGAGAGGCGAAGAAGCAAAGTGTCACCACTGACAGCCAGAGTCGCTGCTGCGCAGGTTGTTGTGAAAGTGGGGCATTGATCGACTTGCGTGCAAACCGCAGCGCCATGGTCTCCTTTTGTCCCCTTTCCAGCGCACATCTTTGCATGCTTTCCTATCGCAGTGTATGCGCCAAACTCGATTGACAAAGAGAAAAACAAAAGTTGTGGTGCGGCGACACTTACCTAGCCTGACGCCTGAAGAGCATCTTGATGTTGCTGCCGGCCATCCCTTGACTATCAGGAGCCAGTGAAAGTCGAAGCCGTGTGTGGGTCAGGCGCACAGTTATGAAGTCGATACGAGATGAAACGCACGAAAAAGTCGAAGCCGAGTTGCGTCAGTCACACGGCCAGGTGTGGGTTCGAGAAGAAAAAGCAAAGAAAAGGTTGTGGACGAGGTGCGAGGTATGAGTGTGTGATGGTGATGACAGAGAAGGAAGCCACTCGATCGATGCCGGCCGTCGCTGCCGTTGTTGCCGTTGCTGCCGTTGCTGCTGTGCTGCTGTGCTGCTGTGCTGCTGCTGCTGGTTCGATATCAGAAAAAGTGTAACTGAACCCTAAACTTTCCAGCGCCATAAAGCAACGCAACGCAAAGCCACATCAAAGCAACACATTCACAGCTGCAATCGAATCACAAAAAAAGGGGGAGCAAGTCCTCGACACACACCACAAAGGGGTGGAATTTGCAGCTCAGAGCCAGCCAGCGCTTCGGAATCGAATCAACGCCAAAAAAAAATAAAAATAAAAAAAGGAGAAAGGAGAAAGGAGAAAGGAGAAAGGAGAAAGGAACATAAATAGCACAGCACAGCCCAGAACATGCGAACAAAGGGCTTCCTTCTCACATCTGCAATTTGCCGAAAGGCTGTGTGCGCAAGACGAATTGCTACAGCAGCACACGCAACAACACAACGACAGATGTAAGCAAAGCAGGAAAATCATAATAATAATTGTTATAAAACAGGGGTCGGCAGCAGCAGCAGCAGAACGCAATGTCGCCTTGCCTTGCCTTGCCTTGCCTTGCCTTGCCTTGCCTCGCCTCGCCGGTGTCAGAACAAGAATAATTTCGGGGCGACAGATTACGGTCTCTTTTTCGAACCTGGAAAGGATCGGAGAAGAACAACAGACTTTTTGCTTGCATCGGCTCCAGCGCGAATCGTATCTGGAAATGGCGGTGCACATTTGATGCCCTGGCTTTTCTTTGATATCGGAGCATCTGGCTTGCTACTGCTCATCATCATCATCATCATCATCACTTTGAGGTTGACCCTCGTTTTGACAAACACCACAAGATCCGTAGATGGAAGGAAACGAAGCAACATTGGCCATGTTTCGGTGAGAAAATCACTCGGTCATGCTGCATTTTGTGCGCTGTGTAAGCTTTCTTCCCATCGAGCTGAATTCGAGAATGAGCTCAAAGGCGGAGCGATGAGCACAGTCGACGCAATTGCGAGGCAAGAGGGCAAGGCTGTGCACTTTTCCCTCTTCTAAGCGAAGCAGAGACAGCGAGACAGCGAGACAGCGAAGCGTGAAAAAGTGTTCACCTGAAGCTGACTCTTTGCCTTTTGGCGAGTTGTTGTTGGGCCCGTAGCTAACTTGCTTGTTCATGCGCGTATCGCCAAAATCGGCAGAGTCGATCGGATCGGGCAAAGTGTTGGTTGCGTGTGGTGCGTGTATGTGGGGCTCAGTTTTGGTCGACAATATACCGCCACCATCACTGCCACCATCACTGCCAGCATTGATTGCGCTCCTACCCTCCCTTCCAACAACTGCATCGCGCAATTTGATTCCGATGCTTCCTCCTATGCTCAACCCCGGTTCTTCTCCTGTCTCTCCCGTCATGTCCACTCCGCCACATGACGCCGCTGTCTTCGCCGAGCCTGCCAGGCTTGCCCGCATCACCACAAAAGAAGCTCCTTTATGATACACTCAAGAAGCCATTTGATGATCAGGATCCCTTTGCCATAATTTGGATTAAGATGCTCGAACTCGCAACCCTGCCCAATTCTGATTACGAATCACGTCTAGATGCACTCAAGTACTTTCTCGATCATAGATGCTTTAAACAGCTCATCAATGAGCTCAAATCCATAGCTGATCGGCTCCCGGAAAAGTTTGTCAATAGCTTCTTGCACCTTTCCGACTCCGGAGCCGATCCCTCTGCAAGTCTCAGAAAACAGCTCGATGCTGAAACTCTCTTGACACGCATCAAGAAATCCACCTTCTTTCAACCTACCTTCGATCCTGTCGACCGCCTTGCACTTGTCTTGCACCATGCTTTCGTCCCAGGTTACCGCCGCTAAGCAGGTGAGCTTGCTATTTGGCGATGCAGATTCGCTTGAAACGCTCGAGTTCGACGAGACGCAGGCCAACTACGTCTGCTGCTTGCCATCAGAAGAGCATCGCAGAACTTGGGATGAAGCACAGACATGCATGGAAGGCAGACTGGTGCTCTTGTCATCATCTTTGTCGACATGATTGATTTTGACACTGATCGAGTCGGAGCTGGACCAGTCAATAGCTTCTGCACTGTCATCTCATTGCTGGTGAATGATGGACGAGAAAGAAGATTGAAAGCAAATAAGATTGTGATGTATGCATGTCGCCACCAACGCTCAGCCATTCGCAGTCAACTCATCTTGAGAAAACACATATCAGCCAAAAGGAATGGTAGTTGGTTGAAGTCTTCCAACATCATCGCTACTCCGATTCAGGCCCAGGCAATCGAAACAAAACAAAATACTAAAACAAGACTGTGATGGTGCAGATGACAGCAACCGACCGATGGCGATGCAACAAGGCATGCAAGAAAAGAAAATGGCAGTTCAATAACTGACCGTCCAACTTGGCGTCCAACTAAAGCTACTCGCGCGAGAGAGGATTATCAAATCGGAAATTCGAATCATTTTTTCTTTTTCATATTCTTTTTCTTGCTTGTCAAGTGTGCGCACAGATGCGGCCGAAGACACTTACCACTGGGAAAGGGAAAGCTCTGCTGTCTGTGGGTATAAGACAGGCACGATGAGGTTGCAGAAGGTGATTGGATATAAATGTGCAATATACTGCAGCCCGTAGAAACTTTGCCAGAGGGATGGGACAAGATTTGGGAACTGCATTTCAGGAAATTGGAATCGCCAATTCGGATTCGGATATTTCTTGCAATTTTCCATTTTCGACCTCAAACGCAGACACTTCTTCTCACATCCCCGATCTCTCTTCTGCCTGAAAGGAAAGCCCGATTGCGATCAGATTTGACGCAAGCAAGCATGTCAATCACAACATCGTTTCATTTTGCCTCTTTGCTTCTTCACTTGCTCCAACGTTCTTCAACCTCATAAAGTTTTGCTGGCAAGCGTCCAAGTGGCGCCGGCAGTCTGTGAAGTGCCGGTCAAATGCACGATTGGACCCCTAAACCTCGAAGAGAAGGAAGAGAGAGAGAGAGAGATTTCGCAAGCGGGTTCATTGAAGCACGTCTTCTCCCTGTTTCCATGTTGATCCCACCTCACCTTACTGCTGAGTATGGCGCCAGTCAAAGCTGGCAATGGCATTGTCTGTGCCGTTTGCCTCGCTCGTGTTGGCTTGTGTTGATCTCTACCGCTCCTGGTTCAAGTGTTGCTGGTTTCCTAACAATAACCATCGTATCCACCGACTCTGTTAGACAACGACGAAGCTACTCGCAAGCATGTCTTCATCCACAGACGCCATCTACAGCGCCTCGCCGTCGAGCAGCTCTATCGCGTTCCACATCGCTGGCTCGACAGGAACAGCAACACGCAACCGTCTCAACGCAAGTCTCTCCAAGCAGCACTTTCTTCTCAACCCTAGCACCGTCGCTTCATCCAGCAAGACATCTCTCTTTGATGCAGTACCGCGCAACACTGAGTTTGAGTCGCTCAACCCTATTCTTGCACGGCTTCCCCACCAAGACGACTTGACTGACGACCATGAGAGCCTAGACTACCTTCGCAAAGACGGCGTAATGTACACCCGTTCCCAACTCCCTTCTCTCGACTCAGCCAGCATCTGCCTCTGGCATTCACTTCACCACTTTCGACCGCTCCATGCAGACTATGCATCAGGATACTTAGATCTTACTCCACCCCATCCCCTTGCCTCCTCCTCTTCCGCCTCGTTCTCACAATGCCCTCGGTTCAGCTCGGCGTCAGAACAAGCCCTTATCCAACTTGGAACTTCTTTCAACTGGTCTTGTCTCCCCGCACTTCCTTTAGCCTCCTCTCGAGCATGGTACGGCGTGTTGTTCCTGTCTGTGCGAAAAGCAGGATCGGAATCAGCTTCGTTCTACCAAGCAGACAGATTAGCGCACGAAGAAGCCACTCGATCAGGAGGACTGATCATGTACTGGTACGGTTCGCCCAACCCCACAACGGGCGCAAATTTGGCGACTTGCATCTGGACAAGCAGAAAATCAGCCGTGGAAGCGAGCAAGTTGCCGTTGCATAGGAAAGCTGCACAGTATGCTGCACCGAGTTACGAGAGATACGATCTGGTGCGATATAGGCTTGTTAAACGAGCAGGCGAGACGAGGCTGCGGATCGAGGCTTGCATTGGCGATGATGATAGACGTGAACAGGAGGAAGAATAGGTGTGGTGCCAGCCACCTAGAATACATAGAGTCGAAACAAGATCGAGATAGAGTGTGTGTGTGTTGAGTTGCTGTGGGTCGTGGTACAAATACAAAAGCAGTGCTGAAATCTGAGTCGCTTGTGGGTGTGAGTGCTACTTGATCTGTGAGCCATCTCCACGAAGCGAAAGGTAAGCATTATCAACGCCAGGGCCGAACTGTTTGATAATCTCGTATACTTGCACTGAGTGATACCTCAATCCTGATTTCGGGTCGGTGTAGGGAGCGATCAAACCCGTAACATCGCAATACTTTTTCGCTGGTCGAAGACTTGGTGGTGCTTCCACCGATGAATCTATAATCACCCGTCATCGCGTCACAAGTGAAAGGCAGTTGACATCAGCGCTTCTTCTCTCCCTATCTCTTTCATGCTTGTGTGGTACTTACAACTGGGAAGATCCCTTTTCTCACCCTCATTCTCCTCCTCCACTCCATCCGCCTCACCCTCGGCTTGCTTCTCTTTCATCTCCACATCCACCGCTTCTTCTTTCTTCACCTCTTCTTGCCCATCTTGGCCAGCCACAGCCTTCTTTGCCTCCTTGGCCAATCTCTCCCTTTCCTCTCTCCTCGCTACCGCCTGCAATGCCGCCCCTACTAACCTACTTCTTTGAGGCATAGCTTCCTTTCTTTTCCTCTCTTTAAATTTTTGTCCTGCCGCTCTCATCTCCGCTTCCCTCTCTGACTGCAAGATCTGCTTTAAGCTTTTATTTCGTCTCGACAGATTGGAAGACATCTTTGTCATCCGTGCAGTAAATTCAGCGGATTTGAAAGGTCGTTCTGCTGCATGGAAAGAAAGTTGTTCTGCCAGTGAGGGCGGGGCTGGTGTAGCTGATGCCGAGTTGGCCACTGCGGCTGCGGCTGCGGCTGACGGACGACCTCGAAAGCCGGTCATTGTGGTCGTTGCTATGCGTGAATGTGGTGGTGTGAAATGTTGGCTGGCAAGGGCTGATGTGAGAAGGTCCGAGCGATGGAGGAATGGTTGAAAGGAAAGTCCGAGATCCGAGGAATGATGCCCTCAACGCGTAAAAAGAAAAAGAAAAAGAAAAAAAGAAAAAAAGAAAAAAAGAAAAAAAGAAAAAAAAAGAAAAAAAAGAAAAAAAAGAAAAAAAAGAAAAAAAGAAAAAAAAGAAAAAAAGAAAAAAAGAAAAAAAGAAAAAAAAGAAAAAAAGAAAAAAAGAAATTGCGATTTATTTATTCGGCTTCGGTTATGCAAGATCACGTTTGCGGAGTTGAAGTTGAAGTTTTCGTATGATTGATGATGATGATGATTGTAAGAGGGAGGGAGAGAGAGAGAGCGAGGAGAGAGAAGGAGTCTATATATACAGAAGAAGAGCAGCAGAGAGCCGCATCGACTGCAGAGCATAACAAAGCATTTGTCTTGAGTAGGTTGTGACACATGTGGTCTGTGCTTGGATGCTCAAGCCTTTTACTCAGCCGTAAGCACTACCTTCGCAGTCTCTATGCTTTGTGTAGCTTTTATCTACTTCAACTCCCCCCCTCAACAGCATATGTACCCTGTTCATTATGCTGTTGTTTCAAGGTATATCCTCCATTCTTTGACATTGTCACATACTCTGGGGACTCCATTTCATATGCCACTGCTGGTATTTGCAGGTGTAGCCCAGATCTTGCTTGCTGCATTGCCTGTCTCCTGATTGGCTTTGTGAGTACATCTGCCAAATTTCTTGTGGTGTCCATGTACTTGATTTGCACCCTTCCCTCTTGAACGTTGTTACAGATGAAGTGATACTTGGTGTCAATGTGCTTAAGCTTCCAGTGCTGTGCTGGGTCTTTACTAACCTGTATGCAACCAGTGTTGTCTGAGTAGACTGTTGGGGTGCCTGTGGCAATGCCAATTGAGCATAGCAGCTGCTTGAGGAAGAGCACCTCATGTGTTGCTTCCATGGCTGCAATGAACTCTGCCTTGATGGTGGACAATGATATGCATTTTTGTGTTGCTGACTTCCAGGCTACCAGGTTCCCATACACTAATGCCACTGACCCTGATGTACTCCTTCTCTGAATGGTGGCATCACTCACCCAGTTTGCATCACTATGTGCAATCAGTGGCTCTTGCAACATATTTCCCCTATAAACTAATCCAACTTTCTTTGTGCCTTCGAGGTAGCATAAGACCCATTGTGCTGCCTGATAATGCTCTTGTGATGGTTCATGCATGTGTCTAGTGAGGATGCTCATGGTGAGGCTAAGGTCGGGCTGGGTGCTGTTGGCAACCCAGAGCAGCTTGCCAACGATCACTGGATACTCCTTCTGTTGTGCTGCACTTGCGACAAGGGTTCCCTCCAGTATGCTCTGCATTGGAACCATGGTTGGCTTGGTGCATTTGTCCAGGTGCTTAGCCAGCACTTGGTCAATGTACCCTGACTGACCAATTGTCATGGTGCACATCATACAGTTTCGACTGATTTTGATGCTGAGGAAGTGAGAGACCTTGCCACTATCTTCCATCTTCCATCTCTGACCGATCTGCTTCTTAACCTTTAGGACTGTCTCCAGCTGTGGTGCTATGACTAATGTATCATCAACATAGATGACCACGATGGCCATATCTTCACCCCATCCCTTGGTGTAGATGCAGGGAGCACACTCTACCTGGAAGAATCCCATGCATTGCAAAGACCTATCAAACTCCTGGTTCCATTCTCACCTGGACTGCTTTAGGCCATACAGGCCCTTGACCACTTTGTATACCTGTCCAGGTGCTACTCCTGATCCCTCCAGTGGTTTCATATAGATTACTTCTTTTAACCTGGAGTTTAAGTAGGCCATCATGATATCCAGTGCATGCACCTCCCAGTCATTCTGTACTGCTAGTGCTAGGATAGCTCTGATTGCTCCGAGGGGTGCTACTGGAGAGAAGGTTTCCTGGTAGTCATTTCCCTCTCTCTGTGTGAAACCCCTTGCAACCAGTCACACCTTGTGCTTTATGGGCACACCATCAGCATCAAGCTTTAGCCAAAGCACAACCTTAGAGTCCACAAGTGGTACTCCTGGCAGGTGATTCACCACCTCCCAAGTCCCCATTGCCTCGAGTCCTTCCAGCTCTTTTTGTATTGCCTCCTTCCAGAGCTGGGCATCCTCACCATTCATTGCCTCTCCAAGTGTTGGGTCCAGGTTCAGCACCACTGTGTTGGCAGCACCTACTGTGCTGTCCATGGCTGGCAGAAGGTCCTCCACCATGGCCTCCAATCTGGTCTCCTCCTCCACTGTGGTTGGTGCAGCACCCTCCTCCTCGACTTCCATGGGCTTGCATGCCTCCTGCTGGCAATCACTCCACCCTTTGCCTTCATGGAACATTGCTGAGTTGCTCCATTGAATTGATGCAGGCTGGTCCAGGTTGCAGAACTTCCATGCCTTATGTTCATCATCATACCTGATCATGATGGCTGGTTTCACTCTAGGTCTGTACTTGCCTTGCTGATCCTTCTGTTGGATGTGGACCCATGCCAGGCACCCAAAAACTCGCAGCTGTTGGGCCAGTTTGTGTGCAGTGGTTCCATAAAAGGCCTCATAGGGAATGGTCTTGGTGGCTGACAGGGTGAGGTTCATCACATGTGCTGCTGCTGTGATTGCATATGGCCACAACTCTCTGAGGCAAGCTCGACCAATCAGCATAGAGCACATCTTTTCTTGGACTGACCTGATTGCTCTCTCCACCTGTCCATTCTGGACACTGATCCCTGGAATGCTCTTTTGCCACTTGAAACCCTCCTGAGTTTGCCAGTCTTCAGCTTCTAAGCTGCACCACTCTCCTCCATTGTCGCTGCAGAGTGTTTTGAGTTTCCTGCCCATTGCTCATTCCATCCTGGTGACCCACCTTCTCAGTGCCATGAGTGTGGCACTCTTAGTGCAGAGTGGTTCTGCATAGATCAGGGAGGAGAAGTCATCCACAGCAACTAGTGCATAGTGGTAATTGGCATGGCCCTTAAGATCTGTCATCAGATCTACATGTACTAGCTCTAGTGGCACCTCTGCTCATTTTGACTCTGATGGGCTCATCTGTGCTTGGGTCTGTTTCCCTTGACTGCATGCATTGCAGTGCTTTGATTCATGCTCCATTTTCTCATCAGTACCAAGGTAGTGCACCTGGATTTGCCTTGTCTTATCTTGTCCTGGGTGTCCAAACCTCTCATGCCAGAGGTAGCTGTCCTGATCTCCTGTGTTCTTATTGTCCTCTGGGACATCGTTGTGTCTTCCTGTGTTCTCATCATCCTCTGGGACATCGTTGAGGGCCTTTTCCAGCTCCAAGGCTAGTGCTTGTCCTTGCACTTTGAAGTGGCCTTGTCTCCTGTTCCTCCTGAATTGCACTTGGGTACCATCGTTCTGCTTTACGGTAGTCCCAAACTCATCAAAGATTACTCGTGCACCATTCTCAATCAAGCCTTGTACAGACAATAAATTAGAATTGAGCTTCAGCACATAGAGCACATCCAATAGCTGGATGGTAGCCTCACCAACCCAAAGGGAGGCATCTCCTATGGCTTTTACCTGAAGCTTTTCATCCCCTGCTGTACTGATCTGACTGTCCTTGCTTGTCGAGGTGAGCAGCATCCTCTCATCATTTACCATATGATGGGTTGCACCTGAATCAACAATCCAGGTGTTGCATGCTGGTCGCTCTTCCCTGTCAATTGCTAGGAAGGTGCACCCAAGTTCCTAGTGACTCAGTTCTTGTGTCACATGAGTAGCAGATTCACTTGTGGTTGATGCGGGGTTGTTCATGCAATTTCGAGCAATGTGATTGGGTCCTCCACAGGCATAGCATCTTGGAGGGGCTGAGGGGTTGCATGGATCGCACCTCCCCCTGGGCCTCTGTGTCAGGGGTCTCGCGCCTGAAACCCAGGTCGGTCTGTCGAGATACTCGGTGACTATCAAACTGTGCGACAGCTATTGTCTCGGTATCGATCTCGATGAGCTTAACGCTCGGCGACTATCAAGTTGCGCGATGGGTGGCGTTCATGTATATACTATCGTAGGTTTCGGCTGACCTCTGTGGACACTCCGTTCAGGGGTAGCTCGGCATGATCAATATCAATGTTATGATGACACCAAGGTCTGGTGTGAGTGTTGATGATGATGAGGTTGATGGTGTTGGTGATAAGGTTGGTGGCATCAACACAAGTGTCCAGTGTGTTGACCTGATGCTTGAAGTGATCCCCGGACTGCAGTGGACTACTGCCTTTGGTTCTATCTTGATCCAGACCACTAACCTGCTATGGGCACCTTCGGACATCAGGTAGTGGTGATACAACACACACACTACGATGAGGAGCAACCTTGATAGATTGCTGCTATGCTGACTGAAACTAATGTATACTTATGCTGAAGTGATAACTAGTTATATGGTGAGTAGAGTGGATGAGGATCCACTTGACCTATGATGATGAGAAAGCATGGTTATATACCTCTTCTCAGCATCGCCAGTGATGCTGCTCCTGCTCTCTCTCCAGAGAGTACCTTCTTCATCGAGTACTGTGTCAGGGGCCTCTCCTGCTTGGCACCCCTGTGCCTCTTGAGCTGTGTCGACTCCTTCGACACTGCTCCTCCTCCTTGCTATCCTGCTGCTTGTTTGGCACCCCTGTGCCTCCTGAGTGGTGTCGACTTCGACACTGCTCCTCCTCCTGATGTCGACTCCTTCGACTCTTGTCTCTCGAGCCCCTGAGTGGTAACCATCTGAGCTTGGTCCTCTTCGTGGCTGTGCCTGCTCCTTGAGCTTGGTCCTCCTCATGGCTGTGCCTGGCCCTCCTTGCATATGGCTCGGTCCTCCTTTGCATGTGAGTCTGTAGGAGTCCATGGTCTCCATGGAGACTGCACTACGACCATGCTCTCTACTGGTATCGACTAGATCTTTGATACCTATGCTCCTTCCATATGAACCAGTGACCCTCCTGCTTCTTGAGCATCCAGGCCCATGACACTCTGCTCCACCTGACCGGTGGCCCCTTGCTCCATGCTCGTAGTGACCCTGGCTGCTCCTCTGATGTGACCCGATAGCTCACTGTCTTGCTGTTTCTTTGTGAGTGCATGGTAAGCTTCATCATACTTACAGTCTGGTTTGGCCATCTTGAGTGCATCGACAGAGTTAGCATAGAACCAATCCTGAGCTGTACAGTGGTAAAGGGTGGACTTCTTGAGGTCTTTGTCGAAACATTTCCCTAGGCATGCTGCATTGTTCCAAATGGAGTCAAGTTCCTTGCCTAGTCTGATGACATCCCAATTGTACAGTCATATGGTGTGGATGCAGTCCTGCAGGCCCACTTGCTTCACTGCATTGTTCAATGTTAGTGCCTTCTTAAGCTTAGTGTAAAGTGTACTTCCAAGTTGGACCTCCTCATCCACACCCCTGACGGTGTATGTGTCAATGCAGCTTTCTGGACTGTGATCACAGCAAGTGTGGATGAGGCCTACCAGCACCTTGTCCAGGTCCTCATTGTATTCCTCACTTCCAGGTGCTATTTTGCTGTATAAGATTTCCTTCACATTATGTACCCATTGCAGACAGTTGATAAAAGTAGGTTCCCAGGTGTGCCAGTTGTTATCACTGAGCTTCTTGATGTGTGCAATGGCACTCAAAATGTCCTTGGGAATCTTCTCCACCTCCCCTTTTGGAGCTTGACTGCTAATGCTGACAAGGCTCATCGCTTGTACAATTGCTTCCTCTGCTGTCAATGCTGGGTTTGCCAACTGTAAGATCCTTACTACCTGCGTGAGCCAACCCTCCTTGCGACCATTGCCCGTGGTGGCGGCCGCTTGATCATCATCTCTCTCCTCCCTTCCTGTCTGTCCTGCTTGTGTTGATGGAGGCATTATACTTGCCATCGGGCTCTTGATGTGTCAATGTCGTGCTGAATGTCATGGGTTCGAGCCCCACGTTGGGAGCCAGTTGAAGTTTTCATATGATTGATGATGATGATGATTGTAAGAGGGAGGGAGAGAGAGAGAGCGAGGAGAGAGAAGGAGTCTATATATACAAAAGAAGAGCGGCAGAGAGCTGCATCGACTGCGGAGCATAACAAAGCATTTGTCTTGAGTAGGTTGTGACACATGTGGTCCGTGCTCGGATGCTCAAGCCTTTTACTCGGCCGTAAGCACTACCTTTGCAGTCTCTATGCTTTGTGTAGCTTTTATCTACTTCAACTGTTGAACAGCTTTTGTCCAACCACAAACAACATTGTTGATCCCAACCAAACTCAAACTCATACAAACGCTACTAGAACATGCGTGGAAGCGATCCAGCAGTACTTGGCCTAAACTTTACCAACGGATCAAGCTTCCCAATCGCCCTTCCACCATTTGTAGCAAAAGGAAGCGGAGTTCAATCCAAAGGCGTCTCCGGTCGTGGTTGGTTCTCCAACATCGGTGTCAACGCCCTACTAGTAGACTTAGTAGCAACGAGATTGAAGGGAGCTTTGGGAGTGAGAGCGGGATTGATGAATATCTTTGCGTTGGACTTTTCTGATCAGAACAATTTAGGGGCCGATTTGGCAAGTTTCATGGTTCACGCTAACTTTCAATAACCCCTTTTGCACTAGGGATGATGTTGTAATGGGGATACAATCTAGCATTGAAGCAAGAGCGATCTACTGTGCGAGTAGAGTGAACGGATCAGGTCTACCTTCGATTCCAGGACTCGGGCTGAGAGGGATTGCGGTTCCGTTGCCCAGATCCAGCAAAAGAGCTGAACAGAATTGCGCATGCAGGTCCTCCTCTCCTTCCTCACCCTTCCTTACACTAGGAGCGATGGTTACATCTGCATCACCATCGAAATGAGGAAAGCAGGTAGCGACATTACTGGGTGTTTCAGGAGCAAAATTGCTACTCATCGGAGAGCTACTTGAAAGATCCATGGGAACGAGACGTGGGGTTGGCATCTCCTCCTCTTCCCCCTCTTCCTCTCCCTCTCCCTCTCCCTCTCCCTCTCCCTCTCCCTCTCCCTCTCCCTCTCCCTCTCCCTGTTCGCTTACTCGATCTTGATACCCGAGTGGTGGGCGGGGGAGGGGATACGACTCTCTCCTTCTTAATGCGTAGGACGGTTCGCTATGACCCAAACTCTTCGGGCTCCTTGGTGAGTCTGGGGAACGAGGCATGAAAAACTTCGGGTTGCAAGGAGAAGTAGGCAATTCGTCCACAACTGAAACAAGCCAAGATGCGTCGTAGTACGTCGTTGCTCTTCTCCTCACTTGCTCTGTTATCGGCCAAGGTGGGGAGGGGAGTAAATTGGGTGCTGTGGGAGAATGATTTTCCGCTACCATGGACGGTCGGTGGTTGAGGGAGGTGAAAGGTGAAGTTGTGTCCCACTGCAACCCTGCCTGCTCTTCTCCATCACCGTTCTCTAAAGAGGGTGAAGAGGCGGGGATGGGAGAAAGCACCGGATCCAAACTTCCACTTTCCACTCTTTGCATCTCCGCCCTGGCTACTACAGAGAGAGGTGGTGCTTCGGCGAACGGATCAGCGATCATAATCGCTGGTGCAGGAGATAGTTCTGGTAACCTAGGCGCAGCCGTATTCCAATTGGGCATGTTCCAAGTCATTCCTCCCATCCCACCCTCGCCTGCACCCGGAACACCTTTCGGAGGGCTGTATCGAGAACTTTGCCCTGTACTGGAACTTGAATCCGCACTCCTACGATTCCTATCATCCGTCGTGTATAGTGCGATTTCTTCTGTAAGACTTAGACTCACCACTGAATTGGCATCTGCCCCTGCTTCCTTTCTCATCCCTTTGACTCGCTGCTGCCGTTCATCATTCTCCATGTGCAAGCCTACCGTTGCCACCCCGCTAAAACTCTTCCTCGGTAAATGCTGCGAGTAACTCGGACTAGTGGCGACAGTACTAACACTTCCCTTGCGCCCATCTTTACTATACTGGTGAGAACTGTATAACCACGTATCGCGAATTGCCATTGCAGCCGTCACTGCCTCCCCCCTTGCTCCGCCTGGGTTTGTGCTGCACCTTGGAGTGGTATGCGACTCCATCACCACCTCTTCGTCGTCTGAGTCTCGATGACCACGACAAATGATAGAAAGACTACGCCGGCGCGTGTCATCTGAACTACTCGCGCGGGTCGAGGAGGGCGGGAGTGAGTGTTTTCCTACCCTCCCCACCTCTCCTCCCCTAGCGAGAGTGGAAGTAGGGAGGAATGCGGTTAGAGCAGAACTCTTTCTCCTACCCCCAACAGCCGCAACTTGCGCCTGCTGGGTGGTTGCGGTGGTAGCGGAACCACGACGCGATTTCCAAGCCTTGAAAAGGGCTGATGGTCTTCTAGCCCCACCACTCATCGTCGGAGGGGTGTGGGTTTGAGGGGGTGGGTTAGTTCCGCCTGGTTCTTCTGAGCTTGTGTAACCGCCTGGACCATCTTGACTCATTCGAACACCAGTTACTCCGTGAAGGAGGGTCGAGATTATGGTTGCTGCTGAAGGCCTCCTCGAACTGGGTTGAGAGCCAGAACTCGGCGGCTGATACAGGGAATCCTCGTCAACACTTGCTCGTGGTAAGGCATGGGAAGGAGAGAAAAGGTTGATCCAAGAAGCGCTCGCTGAAGGCTGCAACCCACCATGGGTATGCGAGAAGTGCACGTGAGGAGAGATGGTGGAGGAGAGCATTTCCTCTACCTCTACCTCTACCTCTACCTCTACCTCTACGGTTGCTGTTGCTGTTGCTGTTGCTGTTGCTGTTGCTGTTGCTGTTGCTGTTGCTGTTGCTGTTGCTGTTGCTGTTGCTAGTGACTTGCGTCTTCGACCTGGCGCAGTGAATAGCGTATGGGGTTTGGGAGAGAACGGCATCTTGCAAAATACACTTTGGGAGAAGAGTTGGTATATGTATGCACTTGCTGGCACCCTTTCTTCGTGGTTGAAAGGAGGGGAAGGATAAGCTTATCCTTGCAAGCGAGGCTCGGCTAGAGCGTTTGACAGGCACCGGAACGGGTTGCAACCCTGACCACCTAACTCCTTTGCTTTTACGAAGCTACCATAAAGCGCAATGCTTCCGTCGGCGGAGATACGAGGGGGACCCCAGGGTTTTCCTTGCGAATGCGTGCTTTGTTCTGGTGTAAGCGAGGAATGCGGCTGTACCACTTTACAGCGCCTTTTCGTCCAGGCGGCTCTGCAAGCTGCGATGAGATAGGTTGATGTGCCAGCGGCTGAAGTGGCTGAAACAAGCTACTGAGCGGCTACTGGAGGGATGTTGGAGCGGACAAAGAGGTTGATGATCAAGAAAGGAGGAACAAGATATCCGGATGTAGGTGTTTATGAAGGAGAGCATCAATAACAAGTTCTCACAAGCGGGGATAAACCGTTCTGAGCTCTACTTTTGCCCTCGGCAGGAGAGTAAAGCTTTGCCTTCAGTGACCCACTTTGTGGAGTTCAGGCAGCCGGAAGGTTCTTACGCCAGCAGTCGAAGAGCCAAGGGCGGCGGAGCTTAGATTGAGAACGAATCTCTCTCCCTCTCTCTCTCTCTGTGGTGCGGTGGTGGGGTTGCTTAGCATCATTGTTCAGCGTACAGAAAAGTATTGGATCTGTACCACCAATTTATGGTGTGGAAAAAAGAAAAAAAAAAAAAAGAAAAAAAAAAAAAAAAGAAAAGAAAAAAAAAAAGACGGAAAAGGATTTTCCATCCGCCTCGATTCGATGGAGAAGGCACTTGACGAGTGTCTCAAGGTGTCAATTCAGGAACACGACCGAATTTGTCTCTTTTCTGCCTGATTTTCGGCGCCAGGCGAGAGCCAAAAATTCGATATTTTACAGCCATTGGCCTGCTTTTTTGCCCACGTGGTTGCGGTTGGTGTCCTACCATACACACAACTTCATCACCACTTCGTCTGTTAGCAAAGAACTGAAGGGCGGAGGAAAGTTAGAGAAGGGCAGCTGGCCAGGGAGGACCAGATCGAGAGTTTCAAAATCGCATAAAAAGAGTAGAGCTTTAGTGGCTTCTCTCAATGCCAGCGCATGGAATAAACCCACGTCGGAGCATGAATTATTCTTTCGCCCCTCACTCCCACCTCTCTCTCTCTCCGAGGCCCGGCCCAAGGAAAGTGGGTGGGGATGGGAGAAGTCACAGGTTAGTATGACGATAAGACACTGTTCATTACCCCCCCCCCCCCCCCGACCTAAAGCCTCACGTTGAAGCTAGCCGATGGAAGCTTCAAAACAAAACAAAAAACACGCGCCTCGTCATATTGCATTTATCACCGAGGATGGCCGAACCCCCACCGTCCCCCCCACGCTCTTACTCGTTCTGTCGGTGTTCAGATGTCACGATCGAACGAGGTTCGGGAATGTGGTACTAATTGACGTTGGTTTGATCCATTTCTGTTTGTGAAGTGGCTACCTTATTTGTTGCGGAAGAGAATTGAGCTGTGGGAAGTGCGTGTCGCTAGGCGTCTTATCCTACCGCTTTACAGGGAGTTTAGACTGTGATTGGACCTTTGTCTATCAGACTCAAACCGAGCACGTTAGCTGCTGTACCATCATCGTTCCGTTGCCAAGAGAAGAAAGGGGAAGGGGAGACTTACTCAGAAAAACTTCTAGCTCGGCGTTTAGGGATGGAAGCTTTGCCTACAACACCCAAGACGACGTTGGTTTCAGTAATCATCTCTCTTTCCAAGCTGAAGAGGGATAAGGCCAACTTACTTGACACTCGGCTGGCTCGCGACCAACCTACACCACGCCAAGCACGCCAAAGACGAATGTTAGACAAAGCGTCAACTTCAACACAACAGCAGGCGGAGGGAAGGAGAGGCAAACTTACAATACGACCAATCTTCTCCCAATCCAAAACATAGTTTCGTGGATAAACCTCGCAGAATAGAAGCATCATCTCTTGCCTTGTCCAGACCCCACTCTGCAACACTCGAAGAAATTATATCGTCAGCATCCCTCCTCATCACTGCCATAGACAGAGAGGTAGAGGGGAAAAGAAACTTACCTTGGGCTTGGCTTTGGTCCTTTTCACCGCTTTGCTCGGGGTGCTGGGAGCCGCGGGAGTGCGAGTCTTTTCCTCGACCACGATAGTCGGAGAGGGAGTGGGTTCAGTAGCTGGAGTAGGTGTAGCTTTCGGCTTTCGAACGTGAGTGCGCTTCTTTTTGTCGGGTTTCTCTCCGCCTTCGCCAGCAGGAGTGGTGGGTGTGGCGGGAGTCTTGCGCTTTCTAGCAGGCGCAGGCTTGGTCAGGATGGTGGGTGGGTTAGGCATGCCAGCCAGAGATCTGAAAAACTCTTCATTCATCTGCGGCTTGGGATGTTTGGATGGCGTGGGTGTGCCTGGACTGCTGGGGGGAGTGTTGAGGTCGATGCTGCACGAACTGGTGGTGTTGGTAGTGGAGGCAGAGACGGAGGGTGGCCGAGTGATTGAGGCTTCGACGTTGTTCCGAGGGGTGGTGTTGGCGGTCTTGTTGCCGCGACCGACACGAGCAGTGCGAGGTTTGCCACCACGGCCGCCACGAGGAGAAGGTGTAGTGTTGGCAACAGCCGTGGTGGCGAGAGGCGAGGGTGTGTGAGTGATAGTACTACCACCAGCTGCGCCTTCTCGAATAGCACCACGACCACCACCACGTCCACGTCCACAACCTCTACCAGTGCCACGAGCGGTGCTGCTTCTAGCCGTCTGTTTTTCCTCCACCAACTCCTCTTCAGCTGCTGGCTTCGGAGGCTCAGCAATCTGCGGCTGCTCTCCATCCTCACTCTCCCCTTCACACTCGCTCTCTTCGATTTCTTCCTTACTGTTCTGCTGTACGGCTGGCTTCTCCACAGCAACTTTTTTAACTTCCGTCACCTTTGGCTGCTCTTCATCATCGCTTTCCTCCTCATATTCGCTTCCTCCATCCTCTTCATTGTTCACCTGCTTCCTGGCCGGGTTTTCCAATACATCTGCCTTTACTTTGGTGACTTTGTCATCCTCCTCATCATTCTCATTACCGCTTGCAATCTCATCCTCCCCTTCCTCCAAACCAAGATCAAGAATCTCCTCTTCATGATCGTCATCATCTCCACCTTTCTGCTGAGCGAAAGCCTTGGCTGCAGGGCGAGAAAGCTGTTCGACGACCTCCTCTTCCTCCTCCTCCTCTTCTTCTTCGTTGGAAGAACTGAATCCGATCAGGTCAGCCATGCTGTCGGAGAGTTCTCCGTTCGCTTCGACTTGTTCGAAGTTGAAGCCTTGGAAAGACATTGGTGTCAAAGCTCGCGAGTCACCGAAGCTGGTCTTGAGAAGTGGCCTTGTGAGCGAGTTGGGTCCGTGTCGAGGGTTGGGTAAGGAGATTTGCGAGGTTTGCCCAGTGCGATGTGAGCCGATGGAAAGGAGAGGGGGCGAAAGAAAGGTTTGAGTTTATATTGTACCTCTTCTTACAGCCTCCCCTTCCATCTCAAAAGCGCACTTCGTTGAGCTCAACATTCCGCACTTGAATCCACAACAAGCCCATTCATAACGACAAAGCCCTCAACTCAAGAGCGGAAAGCGAGACGAACGAATAGATTCCGCACAAACACGCACAATTCCGCACTCTGGACACAGCTACGCTTTGTCTTGACTTGCGCCACCTCACGGACTCGTTCTACACAAATCAAGCTTCACACACAAAGGCGATTGTGTCAATTTTCATTCCCTTCAACACTGAACCTCAGACAAAAGTCGGCTCTTCAACTTCTCACTTCTCCGCCGCCAAAGCATGTGTGATTAGGACTTTGATACACCCTCTTTCGCACTGTGGAATCTAAAGTTCCTGTCCATCCAGCCACCTATTCAACAACGCCAAAGCAGCATCAGGTTGATCATAAGGCACCATATGACCGGCCTCATAGACAGTGGCCCAAGTCAACCCACCTCCACTTTGCGTCCTACCTGCCTTGTCCCCATCCACTACCCATTCGTAGTTGTTTGCTTTCCTCCATTGCTCGCTTGCGCTCCAATCCAGCGTACTGACCCATTCGTAGTTTCCGTTGTGGTTGCAGATCCAATCCAACGTACCCACATAGATCAATGCGCGCACTCCTCTTTCGAGGAGGCCGGCAACGTTGTAGCCATTATCGTGGGTCGAGTCTAGCATTCTACCAAAGCCTACGTTGACATCTTCGTTGCAACTAGCAAATTTCCCGATCTCATCTTTAGGCATCGCACCAACAAGGTCCCTAACATCATCTCGATCCAGATACATTCTAATATCATCCGTAACATCATAGCAGAGGTTGGGGGAGAGACCTGACTTGCAATCGTCTTTGATGTTGTAGGGGTTTTGACCCGTGTACAAGTATGGCGCCTCGATTTCTTCGGAGCATTTGTCCATCCACATCGAGCATAGGTCCGGGTTGTAGCTATCCACGCAATGCTCAGCAAGAGCGGTGCGACATTTGGGCACGTAATTATGCATACGCTTGCATGTGTCGATGGAGAGGATGGGTTCTACTCCACCACGTCGGGTGCATGTCATATCGTAGTATCCGGAAATCTGTTTGGATACATCGGTCAACCCGTTTCCGATAAGAACTCCTTTGAGGTTGATAAGTTGGTCCCTGTTAGGCTTTTTGCCAGCTTTCAGCGCGGCCCGTTCGATAGCATGATTCTGATCCGCCACTTCCGAGGCGAAGATAGGAATGTATCTACCACCGTAACTTTCGCCAGCCATGTAAAAATCGTTACTCTTGAACCTGTCAAATGCGCTAAAGAAGACGCGGAGAAAAGCGTAGACGTCCTTTGCGGCTTGTTCAGTCGTGTAGACCTTCAAATCGATCTTGGAATACGAGTAGCCTACACCGACGGGTTGATCGATGAAGAAGACATTAGCGCGATTAGTCCATGACTGAGGATGCCACTTGGTGCCGTTGATAGGAGGACCAGGAGTCAATTTGCCTTTGTTCTCCGGAACTCGGCAGGGACCCAACTCCATAAAAAGACCGAGGCTGGAGGAACAACCAGGTCCACCATTGGTCCAGAGAATGACAGGGTCTTTGGAAGGATTGGAACGAGATTCGAAAAAGTAGAACCAAAGACTCTTGCTTCCGTAAGCGGTATCGATGTAGCCAGACCAAGAGGTGACGGTGGGATCGCAGAATGCGTCCGGGTCCACATCGTGTTCTTTGAGCTGGCTGGCGGGAGGGGGAGAGTAGAGCTGTTTGATGCGAACTGAGACGGAAGGAAACTCGCGATGCGTGAGGACGATGAATTCGCCTTTTTGGGTTGCGATGATCTGTTCTACGTTGGAAGAAGCGAATGCGGCAGAGGAGATGGTGTCGAGGGGGAGTTCGACTCGGACTGGACCGCCCATACCAGAGGCAGTGGTCAGGAGAGAGTCTAGCTGTGATTGAGCGCTGGATGCAGCAAGAGCAGGGGCAGCTACAGGCTGCTCAGTGTCGAAATAAGTACCCGGGCGAGCCCAACGACCGTTTGTACGGGCACCAACATCCATGTGGACTTGGCCAGTAGCATCGAGGCTAGCAGCTGTGACGGCGATGGTTAGAAGCGCCGCAAAGCACGAGAGGAAGGCGAAGCTCTTCATCATTCGCAAAAGAGAAAGAAAGGGTTGACCAGAAATGGGTGCCGGACATGTGATGGTGTCATACGATGATGGAGAACGAAGAGAAACAAGGACTGATGTTACTTCGAGTCTAAGTCTAGCCGCGCAAGCTTGTCAACTGTCAGGGTCGCACAAAGCACACGCACACGCACAGAACAGAAGAACGCACGAGCCATCCTCTTCTCTTTTGGATTGCCGTTGAGAAGGCCGACAGGCGCGAATTTCCTGAATATGTTAGATCTTTACTTTTCTGCCCGCGAAAATTTGGTGTTGGCCTCCACTTGTGCAAGTCAGCCGTTCAACTCGGATCTTCTGATGCGACCACCATCCTATCTAACCAAGCAAAGAGGGCAGTAGCAGCAGCAGCGGCATGTCGGGTTTAGCATCGCTGGCAGGATACGGCAGCGATTCGGACGAAGATGCCAATGTTCCATCCACCTCGACTTTGGTCGCAGCTCGAGTAGCGTCCACTTCGAAGCCATCCTCTTTGAAGCCATCCTCTTCAACTTCAGCCTCTTCTTCACGCCCAAACTCGATCCTCCCACCGCCAAAGTCTGGACTCTCCTCGAAGCTACCGCCACCATCAACAGGTAAGAGTAATACCCAACCAAGCGGAAGTGGCCTTTCTCTACCACCGCCTTCGAGCTCAACCAACAAGCGCAAAGTGATCAAGGTCGACTCCATTCAATCTGTTCAGGATGGCAACGACGATGATGATCAGGGGAACCGTTCAAAGCTGGCTGAGACTAAGAAACCAAAGCTTGGCAGCGCTACAGCATCGAAGCACTCACTATTCGGAATGCTGCCCGCGCCAAAACGCAAAGATGACGAGATTCTGGCGGAGAGAAAGAAGGAAGCGGACGCGAGCAAGGCAGCAAAGGCGGTGGAGGATTCGGAAACACCAGCATTGACGGAAGCACCACTGAGGATCAATGAGCGGGTAGCGCGGAGTGCCTCGCCAGAAGCAGACCAAGGTGCAGCTGAGGCGTCGACTGGCAAAGCGAAGAGCAAGAGCAATGATGCCTTCAGGGCTATGCTTGGATTGAAACCTGCTGCTAAGCCGGCCATAAGCAAGTCATCTACATCTGCTCAACCGGCAAAATCAATAGCAGAGAGCCTTGTCATCACTCAACCATCTCAGCAATCTCAACCTTCTGCACGAGCAGCTCAAACGTCAATGCAAAAGCATCCCAACGGCACACCTGCCAGCGGCGAAGCAGCAATCAAGACCGACTTGGCACCAGTCGATTTCTTCTCCCTCGGCAGCTCACGATCATCCGCAAACGCTCCATGTTCATCCACAAATCCATCATTCAGCATCTCCGCCGCACCAGTCATCGATCAACCTAACATGCAACGCTCAGAGCCACCCTGCACCTCCGCACCTGAAAGCGACGAATATCCAGGCTGGCAACTCGACCCGGACGGCTCGTGGCTACCCATCACACCTGAAGCTCAAGCCCAGTACGCTGCGTACCAACAATCTCTCCTCCCTCCGCAACCCTCCACGGCTACCATCTCGAAAGCAGCGTCAAATCTCGACGGTACGAGGGACCTCCTTGCAGCGGGTCTAACGCCAGATGACATCCGAGCGTTCGATGCTTCTTCCGCTGCCCGCGAGGTCTACATGTCAAGCAAAGGCGGGGGAGAAGGGGATAGTGACAAGTACGCTGCTGCGGCAGAATTTGCAGCGGGTAATAGAGAGGTAAGGCAGGAGAGGAAGCCAGGCATGTTGAAAGGTCTGAGGAAGGGTCAGTTGAGTAGTTTGGTGAGTTTGGCGAGTGAGAATAGAGGCAAGATGGAGGACAAGTGGCAGAGGGGGAGGGATGCACAGGCTAGAAGGTCGAACCAGTATGGATGGTGAGGCCTATCTCGACTGCTACTAATAGTCCATGCATGTATCTGCTGCAACGATTCTCTTTCTAATCGTATCTGTTCCTTCGCAAGGAGGCTGATGTTGTATGTGATTGGGTAGTGTTGAAGTATGTGCTTCAAATAGCGTTGATCACAAGTATCGATTGCGATAGAGAGCATAGCTAAGTACATGATAAGGATGTATTGCCCAGTGAATGATGCTGAAACATGACGGGGTAACTATGTTGGGTATTAGTTAGCTGGCATGCTGGTAGCTGTCTCGATAGTCGATCAGGGTAGCATGATGCGAATCCGAGTGAGCCAAGATGGCGTCAATGTTAGATCGAATTAGGAGTCACATAGGAAACAGAAAAAAGAAAAAGAAAAAAAAAAGAAAAACAGGAAGAGAAAAAACTGAAAAAGCGAGACTGTGAGATCGCAGTGGCAAACATAGCGGGAATTTTTGAGCAAGTGCGTGCACAAGCCACTCCCCGTCTCCCGAGTTTCTTGCTTTCAACACTTTCATCCTTCTCTTGATCCACCTTATCTTCTACAAGGCAAACATACATCGCTTCGAACGCCTTTGCTAGATCCCTCATTTCGCTCTATGGCACGGGTCAACTAGCTGCTCAACCCATCCAGACAGGACCACATCCTGACAGGACCACATCCAGACAGGACCACAGCCTGTCTTGGGACCAAAGGAGACCATGAACGCCTTCCCCTCCGAGCTGCTCCACCATCACTTTGCGTGTATGGTCGTAGCAGGACTGACCTCACCCTCCCCCAAACCAAATCCACCACCAACACCTGCCTCGGATGGAGCATCCACTTCGACCTCCGAAGCCGCACCACCAGGCCACCCCACCGTCCTGTTCCCAGACCTCACCAAATCACTCCATGACATCCTCGCTTCGCGCGGTCGCAACACTCTCTGGCACCCAGCTCGAGGTCGGGCCGCCGTATTCCACACTGTCTTTGCCGACCATTCGTTCCGTCTGCCGCCGCTGAAAACGAAACCTTCAGCACGTCATGTCCCACCGCTCCCCAGCATCACTTCTGGCTCCACCTCCACGCCTTCAGAAGCGAGCATAGCTGCGTTCTCCAGTCTGCCACCACGGTCTCCCTTGTCGCCACTGCATCCCAACTCGCCTCAATTTCCAGATGGGTTGATTGCGCCAGTATGGGTGAGAAAGCATCGAGAGCTGATCCCTTCGGTGTTTGTCTCTTTCCACACGCTTCCCAGCGCCTCAGAGCCAGATGGACTCAAAACAGCAGACGAGGGCCTCATCAAGACGATCTCCGAACGCAGACGCACACTCGCAGAACGAGGCATCAAACTCACTCTCGTACTCCTAACCGAAAGAGAGATGCTAGATGATCCGCAGCTCGAAGCTAGATTGAGCTTCATTCGACGTAGTAGCGGGTTAGATTCCAGGGCGAGTCTCTTCGTTCTCACCCCCGTCAGCAGAGCAGAGTTAGGGGAGTTTGTAGCAAGTTTACATACTGCTCTATTCGAACATGCTGCAGATTTCTACCGAGAACACGCACGAAGGGTTAAGCGTAAGAGGACAAGATATCCTCCACCGCCATCTACATTGCAGCCTATAGCAAATGCTATCTCCACCCTCCCCACCCCTTCCACCTCAACCAAGCCGATCGGAGTGAACGACATCCCCTGGCTCAGTCGAGAAGCTTGGATTCTCCGCTCAGAGTACAAGTTGGCTGTTTTCGCAGAACTTTCATCCGACATCCAAGAAGCTCTTGTTCGCTATCGAGGAGCTTATGATCTCCTATGCACCTCCCCGACCGCTCTTTTGGGATCGACACTTATGCTGCCACCTAGGACGAAAAGGTGGGCAGAGGCAAAGGTGCTGGCAGACACACTTGCTATTCGTATATGCAAGCTCCTACTATACTCAGATGATGGGGAGGGAGCAGCGATATTCTTTAGAAGACATTTGACGAGGTTTACAGAGTTGAGTACAGGCTGGGGGATCGGTACATCGACATTCGAGTACTGGAGTTGGCTTTCTAAGCAGTACAAGCTTTTTGGGCAACTGATAGAGCATGCGACGCGGAGTGTACACGGTGCTCCACTACCGCCGTTTCAGCTGCCACAACATGCTCCACCCCTCCCATCTAGGCTACTCCATCCCGATGCGGTAGGCAAAGTCGGTGGAGGGGGCGAAGGAATGCTATTACCCAACTCCAACGCAGTTGCTGTCTCCATCTCTCCCTACTCCACCCTGCAGACCGCCGGCGCCTACTACCTGCTCGCTGCGCTATGCACCGTTGAACGTCGCATACGCTTCCTCCGCGCCTCTACTATCCCCTCTTGGAACCAGGAAGAGGAAAACACCCCACTCGCACACGAAAAAAAGGTAGACCATACAGCACAACTCACCGAATCGCTCACAAAGTCATATGACGCATTCAAACGCGCCCGACTCCACCGATCCGCACTCTTCGTAGCATCACGTATCGCGACGGCGTACCACGATGGAGGACAGCACAGAATGGCACTCAAGTTTTTGGAAAGGATATTGAAGAGTTATGCAAGGGAAGAGGTGCGGGAGGTGAAAGCAGGGCTGGTTGAGGTTGCCGTTGAGGCGGCGGTGGTGGAAGCGGATGGGAGGATGGCGACAAAGATGTTGATCGAGGTTGTGGACGAGAGGTTGCCGATGGATGAGCCGAGGAGGGAGGGGTTGGTGCGTGCGATAAAGAGTTTTCTACAGCAGCAGAGCCGGAATCAGGAGGGTGGGCAGGAGAATGGAGAGGAGAATGGAGAGGAGAATGGAGAGGAGAATGGAGAGGAGAAAGAAGGTGGTGTAGGGGTGGTGAGTGCAGGTTTTGTAGGGGTAGAAACGGTATGGCCGGTATCAGAGGTTGAGGTTGGTGCCGAGGTTGCTTTTCAGGTTGTGCTTAGGAATGGGTCGGGTTTTGATCTGACGGATGTGTTGCAAGTGGAAAAGATGTCGGTCGAGATAGAGAATGGAGAGCAGACGAATACTGTTCAAGTGACTGCCAGCAATAGTTCCTCCGCCGACGCAGCCCCTGTGATCATCGACCTGGGCAAAATCACCTCCAACACAACAACGCAAATCGCAGACCTGACCCGCATCTTGACCCATAATGGAAGCGTCGCAATCCAAGCCACCCTCCCCGCTACTTCCGAAGGCTTCATCCGCATCACCTCCATCAACCTCCACGTTGGCACCACTACCACCAACAAGCTTGCCCTCACTCTCGACCTCGCCCTTCCCAACGCCACTGACGATGAGCCAATCCAACCACGATGGCTCCTCCCTTCCGGCCGAAGAATCACGCTCGCACAGCGACCAGACTCATGTTCGACACGGGTCAAACCAAGATCGTTCAACGTCTCCCTCACGGCCACAGCTCCGTTTGAGGCGGGGTACGTTGATGAAGCGATCCCAATCAGCATTTCCCTGGTCAACAAGGAGAAAGAGGCGGTGCTGTGCTGGATCGATGCTATCCTGCAGCCTAGTTACGATGGTGCACACGACACACTGTCTCCCTCCAAGCATGAAGATAGTGGGCCGGGGCAGAAAGTGGAACGGCTAAGCACGGGAAAGATTGAAGCGGGAAGGAAGAGCGAAAATGTGATCTGGTTAAGGCCGAGACAAGGGGCGGGGTTGCGGACTGTGGATGTGAGTGTGGGTGTGCGAGTTGCAAGAGATGAAAGAGATGGAGAGGGGGAGCGAGTGGCTGTTAGTGCGAGTAGGAGTATGGTTCTTCCTATTGCGGCGCTGGTGGATGCTAAGGCTTGGACGAAGACCACTGACGCTAAGAGAGAGGGTGCAGTTGGGAAGAGAGAGAAGGCCTTGTTGGATTTCGATAGCGACAGCAGTGAGGAAGATGAAGCATCGGAGAAGGCTGAGGTTCGAACTGGGTTAGAGGTTGCGATGATAGGTCAAGTTCCTGTGCACATCTCCACGGTTGAGCTGGTCTCAGCAAAAAACGTGATCCCCTCCTCCTCCGACATTGCTGCTGCAGAAGAAGCGGCACTTGGAGAATGGATCCTCGACGACCGCTTCTCTTTCTCCCGTATGCTTCCCTCCACCACCCGCGATCTCTCATGGCGCATCACTTGGACTCGCACACCAACCTCGGAACCAAACACGACACTCATCCCCGTCCCCCTACCCACTCAGCCCTCCTCATCCCCCTCGCCACAAAACATGAGGCCAAGTCTAAGCCTAACCCTCAACCACAGGCCAATCTCGCGTCTACACTACCCATTCAACCTCTCCCTAAGCGTCACCAACCATAATCGCACACGCTCATACAAACTCGTCCTCACCCTGGACTCTGATCCGAACTTTACCATCGCCGGCATTCGCCGTCTGAGCATACCATACTTGCTACCGGGCCAGACGAGAAGGTGGGAGCATCTGGCTAGGTTTGTCCCGCAGTGTGTAGGCGAGTTGAAGTTACCCAAATTGAGCCTTACAGTGCTGGATCCACAAGCTGGGATAGGGCAAGAGAGTGCGACGTTGGCGGTGATGCATTCACACGACGAGCGCCGTGTAGATGATGGTGGGTGGAGCGATGTTGTCAAGTTTAGATGGGAGAGTGCGGGTGGGGGGAAGGTTTTGGTTTGCATTTAGTCTTGCTGCGGCTTCAATGTATTACACAGTAGGTTTTGATATCGAATAGTTGGACAACGATTGTTTTGTTTTGTGTCGTTTGATTCATTGTCGGACAGCTACGAGTGAGGATGTGAGTAGATGTCACACCGGCGATCGCAAAGTCGAGTAGCATTGATCGCTCCAAGAAGGGCTTCGAGAGTTGAAATCCACTGTCATTCGCACTTTGCATCAGCAGAACTTCACTGCAGGCTTATGATTCCTTTCCGTTCTGGTCGGCTCCAGACGGGCAAGCGATCCAAAAGAGCACGGTCCAATGCATGCAAAGCGACGAGAGACGAACGGGACGGTCGCTCAACTACTACCCTGCGGTCCTCGGTGTGTATGCCGGTTCTACACGGACCCTTGGTGCAAGAGGAGAAGAGGGTTGACACCGAATTGCTAATGCTTCTAAAGATAAAGATGCATTTGCTGACACCAGGATCCAGCGCTGGTGGTGGTGATTGTATTTGCATGCGATCCTTCTAGTCAGTAGCAAGGCGGATCTTTTGTCGAGTTTGATCGCCTTGTACAAGACCCGCAGAGCATGAGATTTGAATGGCCTTCTGGTAGCAAAACAGGAAAGAATCGTTGTAATGGCGCAGTGCCAACCGGCAACTTTCGACCGGGACCAAGCGATTAACGTTTGGCCTTCTTGCGCACGAATCCTTGTCAATAGCGAAAGAGACAGGTGGCGAACATAGAAAGTCAAACGAGAAGAGATCTCACTTACAGTTCTCACAATCCATCATCATCCAAACTTGCCTCTGAACGAAAGGCCTCTCTCAAGCTCCTTAAGAATGAAGTCGACCACTCTGCTCGGCTTGGTCACCACGGTGGGTGCCGCGGTCGCTTCGGGCAGCCCTTGCACCACCGGCGACGAGCGGGCGTGGATCTCCAAGCGGCACTCGATCGACTACGTTCAAAACTACAACGGCCAATCGGCAAGTTTCAAATACAGCCAGTACGATGGCACTTATTCCGGATGGTGGTCCAACCCGCAGGACTTTGTTATCGGACTCGGTTGGTCCAAGGGCATTTCGAATCGAGTGGTCAAGTTCAGCGGCAGTTACAACTCCAACCAAGGCTCCTACCACGCCGTATACGGATGGCTCGACAAGCCTCTTACCGAATACTACGTTGTTGAGAACTATTCCTACGATCCTTGCAGGGGAAGTGCAACGCAGACGGTCGGAAGTGTTGTTTCGGATGGTGCAAGCTATAGGATCTGCAAACATACACAGTACAACCAAACCTCGATCCAGGGTACAAAGACTTTTCATCAGTACTTCAGCGTTAGACAGTCAAAGAGACACTCGGGTAGTGTCGCTTTGGCCAAGCATTTCAACGCTTGGAAGAAATATGGCTTTGCTAATGGCGCCGCTCACCCGGATTTTAATTACCAGGTCTTTGCGACAGAGGCTTTTGCCGGATGGGGCAATGTTGACGTTAAGATCAGCGGGTAAGGCGCTCCTCGGCTTGGTCAAGAACGGTTTGCTTCCCTCGAACTCGGACGACAGCGAGGTTTAAAGCCGTTTTCTAGATTCCGAGGTCGTGGCCAACGAGGGCATGGTCTTTGATGCTGGCTGGCTGGCTCGGTGGTTGTCGCAGAAAGTGGCAACCAGCCTTTTGATCGAGACACCTGCACACATCCTGCTCCTTGGACCCCTTGCTCTTTATCTGCTGGAATATCGAAAAAGCCTCCTTACCTCGCCTCTCCTGAACCCATACTCACAACTTGTTTCACTCAAAACCCCCCAAAGCCTCTCTGAACAGTCGACACACGACAAACAGAAAAGGAATGCAAACCGAATCTTGTTTGTGAACAAAAGATCCTAGACGCAATCACATAGTCTAACCCATAAAGACACGCCACAACGAACGAAGCGAGAGCTTACGACAGCCCTGCTCCATCTCCTCAGAACCTGCTGCAACAGAAATGTGCCCCTGATCGCGCCCTATCCGATTCAAAGGCTTGATAGCGCCTGCAAGCTTCATTCCTGGAAGAACAGCAGTTTTGGTGCTGCTGCAGACTTGAGACAGTGGACGCTGTGAGGCAGGAATCAGCGCTCGAATGTAGCTAGACCTGGCGATGCCAGGAATTGCGTCTGATACGTTGCACTGCATTGCTTGCCAAGAATCCGCCGAGGCCGGTCGCACTTGAGGACTGGAATGAGAGGCGACGGCTGTGACGGATGAGGCGTTGCCAACCTTGTTTCTGGGGGCTGGCGGGGAGTCTTTGTAGGCGGAACGCAAGCTGATCTTGAAATTTCGCAGAGACTTGAGCGATTGCTTGGGCTGTCTGGCGGTGTCGGGATGCTCGTTCGCAGGTGCCAACGCTAAGGTAATGGGAGGGGAAGGAGCCGCACTGGGGAACTGAACGAGTTGTTCAAATTTGCAAACCAGTTCTTCTTCCCTTGGAGCGATACGAGTGTTGCTCGATGCTGGCTTGGACACGTGTAGCGATGGTACGCGGCGAATCGTTTCAGCCTGTGCTTTCATGGAAAGTCGGTTGTCGGTATGGTTGGAGAAGCCCTGGAAGGGAGCTTTGGCATTACTTGCAACTTGACGGGAGTCGAAAAGGGACACTTTTGCGGTGGCGAGACCACGCTGTCCTCGTCTTTGTGAGGAAACGTATGGCGAAGCGGGTCGGTCAAAGTGGAGAGGAGTAGAGGAGCGTGCTTTTGCAAGTTCTTCGATCGAGAGACTGGTGGTGAGGTTTGCATTGGCTGTCTGGGGCAGCGCTTGCTTCTCGTTGCGCTGAGCCAAGAGGTCGCTCATCACGGCATGGTCTCGTGTGGGCGAATCAAAGGCGTTGCGACGAGTGTCGACATGCTTGCAGGCTTCATCGTTTCGCTCTTCGGCGACTCGGTGGGGGCTACCTCTGCTGTTCTCAGCTGGAATTGGCTTGGTTGGGGGATACTGATTGACAGAAGCGTTGGCAGCTGGAGCTCGAGACATCTGCAACTTGTGCTGGCCATCTTGACAATGATGATCGGCAGCTGGGATCGAGTCAGCTTTGATCTTTGCTGTAGCGGGACCTTCAAGTTTGGTCTCTCTGAACCAAGAAAGCATAATCATAGCCTCGAGACCTTGCGTCGCCGCGCGTCGGATGGAGGAGAGGAGCAGATCGTCAAGCTTAGAATGGCTGCCATCGAGGTGAAGTTCGAGCTGCTGGACAAGCTCTAGAGCTACCAAACGGAAGCAAGAGAGTGCGGACTCGAACCGGTGCATCGATGTTGGTAGTCTGTTTGAAGAAGCCGAGTTTGGGCCGTGCTGAGTGGTAGCGCGAGTCGTTTGTGCTTTCAAGTGCTTGCCAAGGTCGAGACAGGAAAGGATGGCCTCGAAATCATCTGCATCGTCTGCATCGCCTCCGGTCTTGTGCATCGAGACGGGGACAGGCAGATCAGGATGGACAGAAGAGGCAATGCTCGGAAGACTTGCTTGGGTCAAGTGAGAGCTGAAGTGAGAAATTGCCATAGGCGCAGTCGCTGTGAGAGCAGGGTCAATCTCGAGCGCTTCGCCGGCGTTCTCGTGTCCGTCGTAGATTGGCGGGCCGCTTGATTGGGAGGAGGACTCATGTGAGGCACCGCACTGAAGCGGGCTTGCTGGCACCAGCGTATCCTCTGATGCATTCGAGGAGCTGCCGTAGGAGCTTGGACGTTGGGGACCCTTATGAGCGTCATGATTGCGGCTATTCTGCTGTTGCAGCTGGTTTGCTATTGTGTGCGGCGGCGAGGGAAAGGTGGATAGCGCAGATGCGAGGGAATCGGTAGCGTTGGATGAAGGAATGTTCAATAGGGAAGCGCGAATGTCAGTTGTAGGAGAGAAAGGGGCCGAGACTTGGCATAGGTAGCTTCCTGTGCGCTTGGTAGCTGAGTCCGGGTTCAAGCACTTGGAGGTTTGGATCATGAAGGGCTTGCTGGCATCGATCACAGAGGAGGGCTGCGCTTGGAGCGTCGTCATGGTAGTCGACATTGGTGAGATAATGTCTTGGCTGGGGCGATCCAAGGGGTGTGATCGGAGGTGGTGCTCTTATACCTTGGCCTCTTGCACGCCGCTGTCTGCTGAAAGAGGGCTTGGCAGCAGTCAGATTGAGGATGATCGGATCTCTATTGAGGGCCATTTCTGGCTGCCCAAGTGGGGCAAGATAGGATGCAAGGGCCCGTTGAGCTCTCTGAGCCATAACCTCGGGCCTTTGTCGGAAGGAGGCGGAGGCATCCCAAAGAAGAGCAGGCCTAGAAGAGCAGACATAGAAGAGCAGGCATAAAAGAGCAGACATAAAAGAGCAGACATAAAAGAGCAGGCGTGTCGACGGCGAACAGCAATCTGGCACAAGGTGGATGTGACGATATCGAGGAGTGACTTTTTCGGAGGCTGAGCTTGATTGAGTACGCTGGATGTCCCGAAGCTGTCGCATTTGTACATTTATGCCCACTTTCTTGGCGTGTGCGCAAGGAGAGTTTGAGTTTGGCTCAGCAAGCCATTTTTTGGGCGTGTGACTGCTGACGAGGACAGCTTCGCTCCTTCCGATCTTGCACACATACACACACACACACACACACGTCAGCGGGAGAGCGGCGAAGAGGTGAAGGAGACAAGAGAGTTGGAAAGAGAGAGTTGGAAAGAATGGGCGAAAGACGGCAGGAGCTGGTGGTGGAAAGGCCGACGTCTCTCATTCGTGCGATACAGTGCGAGCAACCAACCTGAGAGATTTGAGACTTGGCCGCCAAGCCGATATTCAAGTGCTTGAGCGGCGCCAGGAAGGAGAGCTATGGTAGTCATTGTGGCCATAGCTTGCCTATCTGTGCAACAGCAGCGGCTCTAATCATGTGGGCAGCACAAGAGCAAGTTGTCTTGTGTCCACGGTGACACAGAGTGTTGTGCGCCTTCATTTGACTGCAGATGAACATGGTTGCGATGCAAAGTCAAGTTGACGCTTTCGTCCAAGTTTGAGTGTCCAACTTTGAGCAAGGGACGAGATGCAGGAACAGCTAGGCGCAGGACCACTTGATCGTCTACAATTGCTGTGGCTCCAAGCTGCCTGTGATGTGAGCCAGATTGGGCTCTCTGCGCAAAACAAGCTTTGCATATTCACCTCGAGTCTTGCCATGGTCAGAGGGAGTTGCACTGGCCTGCCAGTAGCCTCGTCGTTGCTTCGGTGTTGCCATGAGAATTGAGTATATCTCTACTCTTCGGCCGGGAAGCGTTTGAGTCTACTCGTCTCGCCGCCACCTCGAGGGCAGCGCAGCATTTTTTTGGTGTCAGTGCGATGCTCAAGTGCGATTTTCGAGGTGCCAAACAGTGCGAGCCTGATGAGACCGTTGATAGCTGCACAACAACAACAACAACAGCAGTAGCGAGCAGCGAGCAGAGAGCAGCGAGCAGCAGTGGGTGCTGACAGGCACTGGGGCTGCAAATTGTTCATTTCGCCCACACTACTGCATCGTCGCCCACTTGATTTGACTCGCGCGCTGAGGAAAGGGAAATAAGAAAAGTTCCAGGCTCTCGACCTTATCAGCATAGGGCCTCTCGGATAGAGTCAAGCTGCAGATGAAGGCTGAGATGCCGCTTCCAATTTGGCCGAATTCTCTGGTTTTTTAGCGAGGCCAGATCGAGGTCGGCTTGCGCACAGAGAAAGCGTCAAAGGAGAAAGGCGGATATGCGCAAGTCCCCGTGGCGCTTTAGAGAGCTGTTTCGCTTCGAAATGAGAGCGAGCTTGTTTCAAGCAATCCAAGTTGAAGTGAAACATGCCATCCAGGCTGTCACATCTGTTGGCCGCGCGGTTTTGAATTGCTTCAACTCCAGCATGACCAACTGCCAACAAGGGAGAGAAAGAGATGCTATGATTGCAAGCCAATGGAAAGTGAATGGAAAGTGAATGGAAAGAGAGGCTTGGATTGCATGTTCGTGTGTCGGTTGCTGTGCCCTTTCGCGAGGCCCCAATCTGCTGCTGTGCTCTTGCTTCTGGCTGGAAGCTGTGTCTCCCATTTCGATAGCATGGCAGTTGAAGTTTATGCAAGACACCACTTCGTCCGGGCTACATCCTAGCTCCTTTCATACAGGTGTGAGATAGATGCAATACTTCAGATTTCTTGTGAACTATGACTGCAAGACCATCTGTATATATACCTTAGTCTCATGCTTGAGTAGCTCTGTTTGTTGCCTGTTAGTGAGCATGCCATGTGCTACCTTGGAGTTGTCTTATCTGTGCCTTGGCATTGTCTCCCATGGACCTCTTCTGATTGGTTGCCACACATCAGCCAATGCATGCATGTCTCTCATTCCCTTGGTGACTTGGCTTTCCCACATCTCAGCTAAGCTCCTGGTAATTCCATCACATCTTCAACTCCCCCCTTTGATGGTGTTCCCAGTCCTATCAAGCATGCTAGTCTCAATGTGTCCAGTCCTTTAAGTGGTTTTGTTAGCATGTCTGCCACATTCTCAGCTGTCTGGACATACTCCATCATTATGTCTCCATCCTGTATGTGGTCTCTGATGAAATAGTACCTGGTGTTGATATGTTTCAGTTTCCAATGTTTTGCTGGGTCTCTGCTCACCTGTATGCACCCCTGGCTATCCATGCAAAGTACTGGCTTGACATTTGGTAGTCCTAAATCCCTGAGCAGATATGAGAAGAAGAGAGCCTCTTGTGCAGCTTCCAATGCAGCAATGAACTCTGCTTCCACTGCTGACAGTGCTATGCACTTCTGGATGTGTGACTTCCAACTCACCAGGCATCCATAAACAAATGTGACAGTGCCAGATGTGCTTCTATGCCCATTCATTGGGTCTGATGCCCAGTTCACATCAGTATACATAACCACTGGCTGGTTTGCATGTTTGGTCATTTCTCCTCCCAATCATAGTTGGTATTCACTCATTTGGTTGAGATATTTCAACAGGTGTGTTGCTGCACTCCATGCTCCAGTTGTGGGGTTTGACATGTAGTGGGCCAGGATTCCCATGGCAAAGTACCAGATTTGTGTCTGTCTTTATCTTGAGTACCCACCTGGTGTCTATGGTGTTCATGCCAGATGGGAGGTTTGTGACCTCCCACATGCCCATTGCTTCTAATCCTTCTAACTCCTTTCACATCACTTCCTCCCAAAACCTTTTATCTGGCCCTGCTAATGCCTCTTGGACTGTTGGGTCAAGGTTCCTTTCTTCTTTGGCATTTGTGGCTGTGAGTCCAAAGGAGCTATTGTCCATCAATGGTCTGAGACTCTGGTCCTCTTCAGTGTCAATGGTTGGCCCCATGTTTGTATATTCATTTAGTGCACCCTGGTCCCTCTCATCAAATAAATCTGTTTCCAAGTAACTCAGGTTTTTGGTGTCTTCTTTGCTCATCATTGTTTGAGGTGCTTGAATGTCCATTGGCTTCCATTTGATGTGGTCAATCCAACATTTGGACTCTATGAACTTTGCCAAATTACTCCAGAAGACACTTGGTTTATAGTCTGGACTATAGAATAACCATCCTTTTCATTCTAGACTGTACCCTATAAATATGGCTGCCACTGCTTGTTGATCCAATTTCTTGTTGTCTCATTTGACCTTTGGAATGTTCACCCAGGCCAAGCATCTGAAGACATGGAGGAGTCATATGAGCCTTTTGGGTGATCAGTTGAATATCACTTCATATGGGAGTTCATTATCGGCATTTGGGGTAAGGTTTATCTTGAATGCTGCTGCTCAGATTGCATATGGCCAGAAGCTCTTTGGCAGACCTCACTGTATAAGTAGCATTTGCATCTTTTCACTCAAGCTTCTGTTCATCCATTCCACTTTCCCATTTTGTTTGCTGTTGTATCCCACTGTTGTTTGCCATTCTATTCCTTTGTCCTGTGACCACTCGAGTGCTTCATTTCTATGCCACTCTGTTCCTTGGTTGGATTGGATTGCTTTTAGGTTCCTCCCTGTCTGTGTCTTGAGGAATGATACTATTCTCTTAAGTGCCATGAAAGCTTGACTCTTTCACAGCAATGGTTGCACATAAACATACTTGCTATGATTGTCAACAAGCACCATTATGCAGGTGTGTTCTGTTGTGTGTGATGCATCAATAATCAAGTCTATGTGTACAAGGTCAAGGGGTGCAGTGGTTCTTTCTCTGCTGCCTTGCCCCATTCACATGACTGTGCTCTTGGACTGTATACACTGCTCACATGTCAGAGCTGTATCTGGGTCCATATCTGTTATAATATTGTTGCCTATCCTTTTGATGATGGCCTTTGCTTTGTCTTGACCTGGGTGTCCGAGATGTTTGTGCCAAAGCTGTTCTGTGGAAATGACATGCTTCTTCACAGTTGGCTCTAACTCTTCATCAACACCCTCAAATGGCTGTGCTGATGTCATCATTGCACTCTCCTGCCATGTGTCACTCTGTAGCTCTAGTAGGCCACATTTGCTGTTCTTTGATATCTTGAGTAATGTTCCATTTGCTAGGTGTATCTGTCCACCTGCATGATCTAGGGTCACTTGTGCTCCCTCATCTGTCAATGAGTTGGTTGATAATAGGTTCACATTGAGATTTTTAACATACAAAACATTCTGGAGCAATACATCTCCATACTTGGTTGATATGCTAGTGTCTCCTACAGCAGTCACTTCCAAAACTTCTCTTCTGGCAGTATAGATATGTTTTCAGCAAGTTCTTGGATTGATGAGTGTGCTGTAGTTGTTGACCATGTGAAAGCTAGTGCCTGAATCCAGAATCCAACAAGTTGTTTCTCTTGGATTCATGGCTTTCTTCCAACCTGGGGTGAGGGAACACCAAGCCTCCTAGTTGGACTTGGTAAGGGGTGAGTCTTTAGGGATGCTGACAGATGCATCACATTGTCTTGCTCCATGTCTGATTTGCCTGCATATGAAGCACCGAATCTTTCATGGTCTGTTGTCAGCTTCTTGGGTTGTTCTGTCCTGGTCACTTCCACTGGTGATCCTAGCATTAGCCTGTCAGGGATCAAATTTCTGGGTAGGAATGCTCTCCAAGGCCAATTGGTGTGTGCTGAGTGCAGTGGCTAGTGCATCAAAACTAAGTTGATGTACTGTGGCAACTGTCTCTCTAAACACTGGGTGGCAAATCATACATTTCTGGAGGGCTGAAAACAGGGTATTGTCTGTGAACAGCCTTCCAAGAATGCTTCCTTCAGCTTGGATGGCTCTTATGTCTTGTATCAACTTCTGAGCATCAGCATGGAACATCTTGACATCACCCAACTGGGTGATTAGAGCAAGCTGACAAGAGGTCCTGGTGGCTTCTTTGCCCAATCCGGTCTCTATCTTGTTCCAGACTTGACTGAATGTTGTAAGCGGTCATGTGCCAGAAACCAGATTGGGTGTTTCCGATTGGTATCAGTGAGGACAATCGAGTAAGATCTACTTGGGATGTTTCAACTAAATGTAACTAGATGGCTTCGTACTGGTAGGTCTTGGCTGACTGCCTTGAACACTTTGTTCAGAGGTTGCATGGCATGTCTGTTTATTCTTTGGAGGGAGAGTAGTACACTCTCCTTTACAGTATGAGTGTTTGTAGTACTGTTGCTAATGCTCTCTAATGTCATCTGGACTGTGATATGCTTATTGCCTACAGAGGATGGGAGTTACTGGACTGCAGGTGTTGAGGAACACCACCTACAGTTGATGCCTAACAGTGATACAACACACATGTTTGGGGTGTTGTTGCAAAGCTCTGCTATTGCAATGATATGTAACTATGAGTCAAGTAAAGAGTATGTAAGGTATAGAGTAGAGTGGATGAGGATCCACTCATATGCTATGGTAGAATGAGAGTATTTATGCATTTGCTTGGTGTCACCTGTGACACCTCTCCTGCTCCTCCTGAAGGGCCTTTGCCTCCTCTCAACACTCTCCCTTCTGCTGGTGTCGATCCCTTTGATGCTGCACTTCTACTGCTTGCACTGTGTATTGGTTTGTGTGATACTGCCCCTTTGCCTCCATGCTCTTCTTTGCCTGGTGATGTGTGACAACCCCTGCAACACAGCTCCTCCTCCTTGTAGACAATCCCCAGTCTTCTTGACACAGCTCCTTCTCTCTTCACTGGTGACCATCTTCTCAACCTTATCTTGTGAATCCTTTAACCACATGTCAGGCCCTGTTGCCAAGCCCCTTGATCATGTGGTCACCCCTGTGCTTGGTCCTATGTGGCTGTACACACATACCCCTTGAATGGTAACCATCTGTGTGCTGCTGAGCTCAGTCCCCACTCCTGCATGTGGTTATCCCCATGTGCTTCTCCTCCTAATGCCAGTATCCTCCTTCCTTCCCGATGCTTGCTCGTGATGGCCGACTTGCTGAGAACATGCCAATCAGACTGATCCTGATTGATCCTTGTGAGATTAACCAGGATCCTGGAGTGTGGTTGATCTTGCAAGTCATATGTGCTACCAACCTGATTAGATTGTCGATTCCTGATGATTGCCACAGATCAATTTGGTGCACACTTCATATGCTGATCTGCTGATCCTGTGACAAATGTGAGGTACTCTCTGATAATATCCAGGAGAAGGTAGTTCACATTGTATTCACCTATGGTGTCGATAGTGCTGCATATGGCATTTGTCAATGCATCATTGAATGAGCAACTCCATTTTGGATGATCCACATTGTAAACTCCTTCCAGGTGTTCCATAGCATGGGGCACAGATCTGAGGAAGGACCTTACATGAGCACTCCAGCTATAGTAGTTCTGGGAGGTGAGCTTTGGTACCAGTTCAAGGAGTTTGGCTAAGGTGCAAAAACTGTACCATTTCCCAATGTCATCATTGTCTGACTCAGATTTGGGGTCATTGTCGATCTCATTGCCATTGTTGGCAGTGTTCTCAGCCTGTGGCTGTCAGATGATAGTGACCTTCTTGATCCTTTTGGATCTCTTGGCAGCTTCACTAGTGCTAGCTTGGGATTCATTTTCTTCCACCATGATGGGTAGTCATCCAGCTTGTGACTTCAGACTCTTAATCAGTTGAAGTTTATGCAAGACACCACTTTGTCCAGGCTACATCCTAGCTCCTTTCATACAGGTGTGAGATAGATGCAATACTTCAGATTTCTTGTGAACTATGACTACAAGACCATCTGTATATATACCTTAGTCTCATGCTTGAGTAGCTCCATTTGTTGCCTGTTAGTGAGCATGCCATGTGCTACCTTGGAGTTGTCTTATCTGTGCCTCAGTGTTGTCTCCCACAGACCTCTTCTGATTGGTTGCCACATGTTGGCCAATGCATGCATGTATCTTGTTCCCTCAGTGACTCGGCTTTCTCACATCTCGGCTAAGCTCCTGGTAATTCCATCGCATCTTCAACTGTGGCAGATCTGCCTAGATTTTTCTTTTAGAAAAAGGCGAAATCATGTTGCTGCATCTCAACCCCGCAGTCTACTGCCACGCAAGCGGGTGATTAATGTTCAACTCTGTCTTTCCTCAGTCTCTACTTTCAAGAGGTCGTTTTGTTGTTTGACATCCTCCTTTCTCCTTTTTCCTTTTTCCTTTTTCCTTTTTCCTTTTTCCTTTTTCCTTTCTCCTTTCTCCTTCTTCCATCCTCTTGACCGACGTCGAGTCAACCTTTCTTGACCATCGTCCACCACTGCCCGCCACCAAACTCCATATTCATTTGTATTTTTTTTTTTTTTTTATTTTTTCATTCTTTTTATTTTTCTTTATTTTTCTTTTTATTTTTTTATTTTTTTATTTTTTCTCTTCTTCCTTCGGATAGGCCGATACTGTATCGCATCTTCCGACATTAGCCCACCATCATTTGGCTCTTGTTTTCACACGGCTCTATCACACCTACGCCACTTGACTTCAGGGTTGCTCCTTCATCAGGATTACTCCTTCATAACGCCTGTCATCTTCGGCACAACTCCGAACAGTTTGTCAGCCCACCACGGATCGAGCCGAGGCGAAGAAGGGCATGTCCTTTGCTTGGTCGGATAGGCTTCCGACGCTTCCGTACTCAGCATCTCTTCACATCGGCGAGGCCGAGCTTGTTTCCGCCAGCTGAATCATCTCGGTCTATGGCAGCATTTGACTCAGCCAACACACATCCTCACCACCATGGCATACAACTCCCATCCCAGCGCTATCCATGCCGACGCGCCTCGTGAGCCGCCTCCGCAGCAGATCCTCTCGCGCCCTCCCGCTTCCTACGACCATCCCCCTCACCATGTCCAGTCTGGTCGCTCTTGGAGCAGTCATCGCGCCTTCTCGCCACCCAAGCTCTCGCCACCCAAGCTCCCACCTCCTCGCAACCACCCCCTCCAGCAACCTATTCGTCACCCATGTAGAGAGCCAACTCCCGTTTGCAATCCTCCCATAGACGCTCCTCGCCCTTCTTCACGAGATTCGCCGCTTGATCATTATGCCCGACGGCGCCAGCCTTCTTCTCAGGCTGATGTTGGTCATTTTGACGCCGAAGGATTGCCTCGAAGTCGTCAGTTTGCATTTCATAGCTACCCACCGCCACCCTCGGTTTATGCTCCACCTCCCAGCGCCATCGATGCGTGCGTGCGGCAGGATAGATACCAGCGCGACCTAACCAACAGATACCTAGATCCCTATCCTCTGCCTCCAGACCCTCAGCCTTCTAGACCCGATCCCAATTCCCAGAGGCATGCGTCTGTATCGCAAAGCTTTGCCCCATCATCGAGCTCCTACCCCGGCCCTCGTCCAGAGCACTCGCAAAGCCATCAATCCCTGCCACGACACGCTTTCCAGTCGATCCAGCAGGATCGACGAATGAGCATCCAGCCAGTGGTAGCAGAGCCCTCTACTCCACCAACCTGGTCTTCCTCTCGCCCTCAGCACATTGGCAAGCGACCTTTGCCAGCAGATTACCAAGGTCAAGTCCACCATCGTCCGGCTGCTCTGCCTTCACGCTCATATGCACCCTCTCTTCAGCCTGCACCACATGTCTCGCCCCTGACATCTCACCCACCTGCAACCCTCTCTGCTTCCGACGCAACTCGCCCGCCTCTACCCGCGCCAGCAGCCAGCAGTGCTGATGTTGGTCAGCAACGCCGCCAAAGTCTCTTGCAACCAGCCACGCCACGACTGCCAGCCACTTCGGAGAACGTCGAGTCCAGACATGCTCATCCTAGCCTCGGCTTCAGTGCTCCATCTGCTGGCAGCTCTGCCCTCGTCGCTTCACAGCAGTCATTGCAACCCCAGCGCAAGCGACTCAGGATCTCTCGAGCTTGTGACGAGTGCCGCCGCCGCAAGACACGCTGCGACATTGTCGGTGTCTTCCCCGGCGAGCCCGGTCATCCGCTCACCATCTCCGCTGCTGTGCCTCCCCTCGAGCCTAACATGGAACCCAAGGGTGAGATGCTCATCCTCCAGCCATGCATGAACTGTCGTCGCAGCGAGGTCACTTGCTCCTACAGCAAGCGCCCTCTCAAGCGTGGTCCTAGCAAGGGCTACATCAAGGACCTCGAGCGACGCCTCAACTCGCTCGAGTCTCAGATCGTCGTAGCTGATGGTACCGAGCAGACTACCGAGGATGCTCAAGGCGCTCAGAGTGCCAACGCCTCTAGTGCACCCCCGTCGACATCGACATTGACCAAGTCCAAGGTCCGCACCGAAGATCGCATCAGCAGACTTGAAAGTGTCTTGGCTCGTCCTTCTACCGCCAAGAGTCAAGACACCAAGTCCACCTCGTGCAGCTCGAGTCGCAGGACCAGCGATGCCGACGATGCCCACGTCAAATCCCAACAGCAGCAGGAGATGGACGTTAGCAAGGAGCAGGACGTGCAGGCACCGGCCACATCGACTACTGCTCCCCTCACTCCAGCCGCAAACAGCACCATCGATCGAGCGCCATCGATCGTTGCAAGTGAGTCAATGGCTCCTCCCTCCTTGCCGCGCAGTGATTCCGGCTCTGTCAGCTCAAAGGGCAAGGCTAAGGCCAAGGCTAAGGCCAAGCGACGATCAGCAGCAAACTCTCCTTCGCGCACCTCGGACATCAATGCCGCCGAAGTCAAGGACAAGATTGTCGGCTCCTTCCTCCACGCTACATTCCCAATTGTTCCCTTCAAATCTCGTGATGAAGGCAGCAGCGCAGCCAGCAACAACAACAACAACAACAACAACAACAACAACAACAACAACAACAACAGCATCGCTCGTCTCGAAGACCGCGTCTTGGCCAGGGCGCTGCGACTGCTCGATGAGCCAGTAGAGATGGTCACCATGCAGCAGGACTCGCGCAGTGGCACTCCTTCAGCGCCAGCTTCCAAAGCACCAACTCACGCAGCCAAGGTTGCGAGCTTGATCGGCCAAGCTTCCGCCGGTCTCGGCGGCTCAAGGGAGGAGCTCATGCAGCAAGCAAGCGCCGGTGCTGACGGACTGCGAGCTTTGCGTCGAGTTGCCCACCGACTTTCAGGTCAGGAAGCTGACCTGCTCATGCTCTGTCATCTCGATCACCTGCGCAATGGCCGGAACAACAACTCTGCACTGGCTTCTGCCGTCTCCAAGCTTGGCTCTGGCTCGCATGTTCAGAACGACCGCGAGACCTACAGGCGACGAACATTGTTGTTCATGCTTGATCGATGGCATGCCCTCGCCTTTGGAACACCTCATCTGCTGACAGGTCGATTTGGTATGGAGCGTCACAGCTTCCGTTCCATGAAGGAGGCCTTGGGCGACGTGTCGCAGTCTCCACTTGGCGATGCAGTCTATGAAGTGCTTCGATGCGCTATCATGCTCGGTCAACTCAATGATCTAGTGCAGAACAATGGCGGATGGAAGGGCATCAGCAAGAGCGATCTCGATGCGCTCATTCACAGTGCTACAGACGAGAACGAGGGCAACACAGCGCAGGAGCCATCGAGCGCTGAAACATCTTACCCATCCTCTTCCTCCAGCGATCTTTCCGAGCCAAGCCTGCTCAGCACCGCCGCCTTGCGATACAGCCTGGAATCTCTCGTCCGCTGCTATTACGCTCTCCACACGCTTCCCAATGCCAAAGATGCACGCGTGGAAGAGGTTGCCAGAATCTTGACACTCGCCGAATCCGTCCTTGTGCTTGGCAGGGGCAAGACGCCCATCTCGCTCCAAGGCAAGCTGATCAAATCGGCCATTGGACCACACGTACTCGCAGTCACAGGTATCGCTTTCTCCTGGTGCTTGCGTGTGATCTGTATGATGGTCGCCTGCTCGCCCAAAATTCCCTCGTCATCAAGCGCTGCTACTTGCGCTCCCGCTGCATCCAGCGCGGACAGCAAGATCATCTCTCCTACATCCTTCCCACTAGAGTTCTACCGACGCAAGATCCTCGACTACCTCCGGATGTGTGGACCCTTTTGTCTCTTCTCCGGTGGCCCACCTACTTCACCTGCTTCGTTCGCACCAGTCTACCTCCGCTTAGCCTTGTACTTCAACTCGGCAGTATCCTTTGCTTCTCAACTAGGATCGCTAGTCTCGCCTCAGTCCGAGAAGGAGAGCCCAGTGCACCAGGATCCGATCGCACTCGGTAACGAAGCGGATAACTTACTGGAGATGGCCAAAGAGTTGGGATTCCTCGGCTATGTTCTTGCTCGAACCACCCAAGGAGATGCTTGCAAGTTGCTCACTGGAGCAGCTCCAACCGCTCAGAGTCAATGATGGAAACCATGGCATTGTGTTGCTTGACATTGTCACAACCTCAACCTCGCAGATGCGTGTGTGAAAAGCGACTGCGAATAATTGCAAAAAAAAAAAAAAAAAAAAAAAAAAAAAGGACTGAGATGCGCCAACATGCAATACAATACAAACGTAAGAACCATCAGAGACATCAAAACCACACGCACGCCATCGACCTCGCTTCCCACAGCCAAGATTAGGCGATGTTAGTTGTCAGATTTAGGACTCCACGGAATCCAAGTTCTGGCAGCCACTGCGTCACCACTGCTACTGGAACTAGCCTGGAAGGGTGGAATATCGGACTGTTCTAACAAATCGTAACTCTCGCCCATCGCTGTACCCGCTTTAACGGTTTGTCTGGCACCTGCCAATGAAACAAACCTATTTCTCAAACTATCCTGGATTCCCGCCTGTCCGCCAAAACTACCCCTCAGTCCGCTTGCCGAATTGATCAACGTCACTGGCGCCAGACCAGACACTTGGTCACTATCGTTAGAATCGCTGCTTCCACTACTTGGAACGCCGGCTGCATCGAATGCTGCCAACTGCGATTCTAACTGTCTTCTTCTCTGCATAGCCGCTTGCCTCTTGCTCGCATCATTCACATCACCTGATGCTGAACTCGGGATACTATAAGCAACACTTTGCGGAGCAGGCGCTTTCGATTCGAGAAAACTCCTCGCACTAGCCACCGCCAAAGGTCCATACGTCTTGACTAAATTCCCAAACATAGACATCCATGCTTGCGACGGATTGTGCTGTGTTGGAGGACGTGCGACACTTGTACCTGATCCAGGTGGTCGGTGTCTCGCACTTGCATGCTTACCAGGAACCTGAGGCGCTTGCGCTTGCCCACCCGCTGCTCCTCCTGCCAAAGTAGCACTCCATAACCCCCCGAGATAGGCATCGAGCTTGCCTCTGGCACTTTGCTTCAACTGGTCAACATGTCTATCGATGGCTTCCTGGTTGGTCTGCAAGAAAGGATGGAGGTGATTGGTGTATATATAAGTGGCACCTCTTGTTTGTGGTGCAACGAGCCATATATTGAATAAGAGACGCAGTTCGTAGTAAAAAGGGACCCAAGACCAGAGAAAGCCGAAAAGAGATTCGAAGAGAGTCCAACATGCAAAGACGGACCAGTATACCAGCCAGACTTGCATCTCGGCGAGCGAGGTGGTGGAGGTGGTGACCGCTTTGTACGATGAATAGAGCGGATAGACCAGGGTGAAGGTCGAGTTGAGGGCCAACGTTGGCAGGTGCAGGAGTAAGAGCGCCATTTTGGGGGACGAAAGCCTCTTGTGTGAGTTGCGGAATGTGGTGATTCTGGGTTGAGATTGTGTCAGGCCAAAGCAAGGGCTAAATTGAGATGATGCTGCGACGACGGCTTGGTTCGATTTGATGTGCGGATTTGCCGGAGGTGTTGCGCTTCGGTGCTGACAGCAATGCTCTGCGACTTGCTTTGAGGAATAGAGGATAGCGTCAACCATGCAAGCGAAAGTAGTGAGATGGTGGCAAAGAGAAACAAGCTGAGCTCAAACATTGAGACACGGCAGGTGGCAAGAAAAAGACACTCCCACACTCACACACACCTCTCAGACTCGCAGCGAGACATGCTGAAGATAACGATCCAGCAGGCCTAATCGGGAATCGGACAGATTCAAGCTAAATCGGGAATAGGATAGATCTGATTGAATCGAGAAGTGGACAGAGCCGATTCGGAGAGAAAGGTTGGATCCTATTGGGTCCCGCTCGTTGTCCTACTCTATCATTGGGGGTGATACTGCCACATATGGGATGAAGCAACACAGCAACACTTTGTATATATCTCAGGCAGAGAGCTCGAGGCTCTCGCCATCTTCTCCTCTCAGTCAATTTAGTATATGTTTCTGCTTTGAAAGAGTAGTGACATCGTACTTAGACTATCCCCGATCGCCAGTATCGGGACGCAAAGGGCGTCCAACTTCAACAAGAGAGACCTCCTCTGTAATCATGCTAGAGCGTCGCCAAAGAATAATACCTCGGCGGAAAAGCCTGTTGATCAATCCAAAGCATTCCCTCAATCAAACACATGTTTTCCAAGAGCGCCCTTGCTCTATCTCTCCTCCATGCAGCTTTGTTGGTTTGTTTCTCCACCAACGAATCTTCGGTAAGATAGGCCAACGGCACCGCCTCGGCCTCGCTTTGCCTTGCTGCATTGGAGAGGAGTAGAGCGAGAACCAGGATCGTATCGGTATCCAGCTCTCTGGGTACACTCCTGACCATTTTCTGCTCTCCTCGTGCTCCGAGCGAGAAGACTTGGTAGCCACATCCGAGAGGGGCCAACATTTTAATGCTCCGAACGATGTCTTCTTCTGTAATCTCCTCCGCCTCCTGCTTCTCTTTGTTGTTTTTTGAGATTTGTTTCCCGCCAGTACGAAGCAGCGTGACACGCGTGATTAGATCATCCATAGCGATGACTCCACCGTTGGAAGAGCGGGTGGATAGGCAAACATCGATGATTTGCACTCCTAGCTCGTACTGCCAATCCCCCAAGCCTAGCATATCGCTCCAAAGCCCGGAAAGGCCGGAGGAGGAACGGGCGGAGGAGGAGAGAGGATCGACACCAATAGAGTAGCACATTTTTTGGAAAGCATGGCGGAACTCGGCGTTTTTGCGGATTTCATGCCGATGTCGAGAGGAAAATTGACGGAGAGACGAGGAGAAAGTGTCCAGTTGAGAGCCAAGTTCGACGAGTTGGCTGGCTGTGAGCGAGTCGCCCAGGGTGGAGAAGGCGGCGGTGGAGTGGAGAGTGCGGTCTAGGGCTGCGATTCCTGGGCCTCGACGCATTGTTGCCGAGGGGTGCAAGGGGGTTTCATATGAGCTATGGTGGTGTGTGGGATCAACAAAGGGGGGGGAGGTGGAGGGGTAAGGTGGTAGGACATTTGGTTAGTATCCCGAGTTCCGTGGAAATATGGTCGAGGGGAAAAAAAGGTGGTCCGTGCGTGAAATGCTTCCCCCCAAACCTCGCTCCTTGCGCTTTGTTTCTTCTCGTCATCCACAACCAATTCTTGTGACGATGCCTGTTGGAGGAGCTTAAGCAAGTAGTCATGGTAGCAGGCTTCGCCCACGCCCCATTAACCAAAGGCATCCTGATCACCCTCACCATCAGCTCGATCCTCGTTTCGCTGTTTCAACTGAAAGCATTCGTCCACTTGCAAATTCACCCGCACCTCACCGTACACCATCAATACTACCGCCTGATTACGCAACATTTCGCTTTCACCAACTCGTCCGAGCTGTTTTTGGGGCTCTTGCTCTTCTACGATGCCGGGGTGAAGGTGGAGCGGACCTTTGGGACGTATAAATATGCAAGCTTTTTGGTGGTTACTACAACGCTGTACACCGCCGTGCAGGTGGTTCTGTTCGGGTTGAGCTCCTTTCTGTTGGCACAATACACAAAAACTCCTTGGAGCCCAGGAGGGGCAGAGGGCCTAGGGAAGAAGCACTGGTTTATCTCAGGTCGAAGCCCAGCCGGACCCTGGGCTCTACTCTTCTCGATCCTGCATCAACATTCTTCCATCGTCCCACACCTCTGGTCAATCAGCATCTCGGATAGCCTCATGCTCACCGACAAAGATATCACAACATACTCTCTCGCCCTACTTGTCGCATTTTCTCATCCTTCATCATCACTCTTTGCCTCACTCCTAGCGACTGTGATCTCAGCGCTCTATCGAACAGGATCAGGTCCCTTTTGCAGGCTCAAACAATACCGTATCCCCCTTCGACTCTATCTAATCCTCTCACTGCTCCTCACGCCTTGGGTAGGACAGACAAGTCTACCGCAGAGAAGCTGGAGAGTCGAACCACCGGCGAGAAGGACGAGGGAGGCGAGGGAGGCGAGGGAGGCGAGGTTGGCGCAACACAATGCCGCTCTTGCGAATTTGAATAGGGGTGGGGCCGGGGCGGTGCCTAGGTTAGCTAGTTTTTTGAGACCGAGGAGGGAAGCGCAGCCGCCAGCAGTGCTGCCGACGCAAGGTGGACGAGGGCAAGTAGCTAGGCAAGGGGAAGTAAGGGGAGGGGTAGATGGCAGGAGAGGATGGAACGCTATTCCACCAGATACAAGGGCTGAGTTGCAAAGCTTTCCAAGAACCGACGTTCTACGTGCTATGCATGGGAGTGATGGCGATCCACAAGCTGCGTTGAATGCTTTGCGGGCAACTTCTCTTCCGACCGTTGCTGATCCATGAGCCTTGCTCTGCATTGTTGCAATGCACAGCACCAATCTCATTGCCACTTGTTCATGTGTTTGCGTCAGAAAGTCTCGGGGAGGATGGATAGAGGCCTGTTTGATCACAATGTTATGCTAGTATATAGTGTTACAGTGCAAGAGCAGGAATATCGTTGGGCGCTCTTGGCGCAGTGGTAGCGCGTGTCTCTCCTACTACCCACTCCTAGAACGTTTAGGATATTGCCAAGACGAGGTCGTGGGTTCGACCCCCACAGGGCGCTATTTTTTTATTTTTTTTATTTTTTTATTTTTCTTTCTTCTTTGCTGTGTTAGACCGTAAGGATTAAAAAAGGTACTTTACGCGGTGTTGTTGGTGAGGCGCGTGCGTGTGTGTGTGTGTGTGTGTTGTGTTACACGAGAAGGGCCATCAGCCTTGCTTTCCTTCCACTCGATAGCCTTCATAGCCTCCCATAGACACACACAAACCATATAGAACAAGGTTGGAGCTGACAATGTCAGAAAGTCTCAAATCCTGGCTGTTTTCGCACTGTTCCACTTCAGCCTGCACCGCGCTTTCCGGTAACTTTGATGTTTGCGATCTCCCTTTCCTCCCCGGTAATCGAATCCAGCTTCTACGCTTCCTAACCTTTCTTCCCTCTCGCTCTCGCTCTCTCTCTTCATCTTACTCTTCCTCATCCTCCACCCTCTCTGACATATGGGCATTGGTCGGAGACAGAACACACTGTATCGCAGCACGATTTGACTCGAACCGAATCTCACGCTTCCACGCCGATTATCCACTCTCCTTCACCTCTCTCAAAGGAGCGCTGGTCAGTTTGACACATGTTCGAATCACTGTAGCGCGGGTAATGATCGATCCACGCTTGGCCGGAGGTGTAGTGGGCGGCTATAGAAATGGACAGTGGGCTTTAGTGTTAGATGTGAAGGGATGGAAGGTGGTGAGTAGTGTATCTGAACCTGTTTGGTTCGGGAGGGTCAAGTTGGTTACTAGTCCTAATGCTGTTCCGGTGGGGGAGGAGGAGAGGGGGAAGAGGATGATGCTTTTTTTGACCAAGTGGGTGAGGTTTGAGAATATGCAGATAAGGGCGGAGAGGGAGAGAGACAGGATGCAGCGCTTAGAACGCCAGAGCGAGCGCGAGGGCGAGGGCGAGGGCGAGGGCGAGGGCGAGGGCGAGGGCGAGGGCGAGGGCGAGGGCGAGGGCGAGGGCGAGGGCGAGGGCGAGGGCGAGGGCGAGGGCGAGGGCGAGGGCGAGGGAGCGGGGGATGGCGGGAGTGGCAGAGCAGGCTTTCCCACTCCAGCGCAAAGAAGGAGCAAACAAGTGTTGGTTACGAGTTCTAGACAGCTACCGAACTCGCAACCGCCCTGCAAGAGTCAGGTCGGAGCAGGCAAGGGCAAGGAAAGGCAGGTGTTTCAGTCGAGTCAGGCTCACTTACAAGAGGGTGCGATGTTTATCACTCCAACCGCAACGACACAGGAGACCGAAGCACTTTGGAACGATTTTGATCTAGACGCTGCAGTAGACGTCGATATGGATGATATGGATGTACCGCAATTCTGGAATGCCGCTAATGCCATCACTACAATCGAATCTACCACAAAGATACAAGCATCAAAATCCACACCAGCAGCAACGCAAACTATCATAGCAGTGCAATCTCCAACTCAACCCTCAGCTCAGTCTGAAATGCAGAGGCAAGCGTCATCACAAGATCTAGACCCAGAGGAATCCGGCCTCTCGGACTACGAACGCAAGACACGTCTTGGTCGTCGAGCTTGCAAACCTACGCATCACCTGCCACGCTCTGACACTCTTTCCACCACCTCCTCCTGCGTAGACGACACTGGTCTCGAGCCTAAGGGTCTCGAGCTCAAGTATCTCTCGCCCTCCTTCCCAATGCTGTCAGGTCTACGGGAAGCGGAAATGCAAAAGTGGACCATCGAAATTGCTTGCAACAAAGGCACTCCAAAACTCACCAAGATAAGCGACGATGCTATCGAAGTGGACAAGAGAAAACTGTGGCAAGAATATCGACCAAGTACGCCGAGAATCCAACCCAACATTGCTTCTATCTTAGCAGACGATCAACATACATCCAAAACTGTTCAATCCAAGACTGTCCAAACCAAGACAGTTCAAGCAAACTCTGTACTCGACACAGCGAGATCACGAGGTGTATCTAGCAGTACAGCAAGCAACAAGATCAAGAACAAGAAACGTCAAGAAGCTATTGCTGCACTGTATGTCCAAGTCTTGCTACCTCGAGAATGCGAATACGGAATCTAACCCATTTCGACTTGCATTCCTGACAACCAGAATGGCGACGATTGTCGACTAAATGCATCAGCAATACAGCCTACAGAGACAGAAGCTCGCAAAGTAGACCAATCCTCCAACATGATGCTCAATGCGACCACAATCAATGGACAAACAGGCACGAGCTGTCCAATTAGGAGAAAGATCTCTGGATCAGAGTCATATTTTTGTGTGTGTGTGTGTGTGTGTGTGTGATGAGGTGCTTTAAAAAGCCAAGTAATACACCAAGTGACGAAAGGTGAGGTTGCGATGGAATGCAATCGAGAGTGAGCAAGGAAAGTGAAGAGATGACCAGCAAGGAAGAAACAAACCAAAAAAAAAAGCTCCAAACCCTTGCGGGCTGTTGGAAGATTTAACGGTATCGTCGAAGCTGCAAGGTGTCCCTCTTTCGAATGGTCGAGTTCTTTCCACCTCCCTGGGTCTTGTTGTAACGGTGACCCTTGCCCTGACCTCTCGACTTCTTTCCGGTTGCGGTAAGACCACGGCATTCGCGACGTTTGTGAACAGACTTTGCGATCCAGTTGATACGAGGATCACGACGAATAGCCTTGTGTTGAGGATCAACAGCGATCACTTCAAAGTACTTGTAAACACCATCCTGGTTGATCCAGTAGGAGTTGAGGATTCGCAGGTTGCCGCACTTGCGGCCAACACGTTCCTCAGCAGTGGCACGGAGAGAACGCTGGTACTTGAGGTGGTTGACACCCTGACGAACAGGCTTACCGTAAGTGGCACCCTTGGGCACAGGCTTCTTGCGGTTACCACGTCGGACACGGATACGGTAAACAACGTAACCTTGCTTGGCCTTGTATCCGAGACGGTGGGCCTTGTCCAGACGAGAAGGACGAGAAGCACGGTGGATCACGTTGAGTTGACGGTATTCCCAGCATCTAGAATCGGTGAGAAGAGGTAATCGGCAAGATTGCCGGTGAGGTTAGCAATTCTGTCGGGATATCGTTGGTTGATGTCTCGCTATCACATCCAAAACATCCAACGTCGGCGTTGTTACATATCCTTTTCGTGTCTGCAGAGCGACATGTGTTGCAGCAGTCGACGCAGCGAGCAGCGCGACGACAAGATCCATCACACATGCGCCAAGATGCGACAGTGCACCTTCCCCTCCTCATGTCTGACATGGAGCAGGAGCAACAGAACGACAGCAGAGTCTCGAGATGTGCCACGTACAGCATCATTCTGCTTCCCTCTCGGTGCAAGTCAGATCAAGCCGCCCCAAAGCAAAGCAAGGTGCTAGCATCTGCATCCTAACGACAGCAGTAGATCTGTGCTTGCAACATCTTGCACTCTGCAGACGCTGTCGGAACGAACCACAACGGACGAAAATAGCTGGATGCAAAGGCGAGACGTTGTGGGTTATGCAAGTTGGGAATACTAACCGAACTCGGAGAAGGAAACGGAGAACATCGCTCTGCTTCTTCTTGTAGAGCTCCTCGACATATTTGTAGGCACCCATCTGTGATTGTAGTCGGGAAAGAAAAAGAAAAAAAGTACGATGTACGTATAGCGAAAGGGAAAGAGGGTGGTAGAGAGAGAGAGAGGGGTCAGCACGAGCTTTCAAGCAATCGTGAAACGAAAAAGAAGGGGCCTCAAAAGGTCGACGCCTCACACCAAACACCACCATGAGCGGTTCGCATAGCTAGAAAGCTAGTGCTACTACAACTCGACGGCAGGTTTGGAAGACAAGGGTACTAAACGTGCCAGAACGTAGCGAGCATGGTGCGGTGGGTGGGTGCGATTGCGGTGGTAGTGGTGGTGGTGGTGGTGGTGGTGGTGATGCTGATGTTGTCCGTAGGTGCTGCTGTGCAATGTCTTTGTCCATCATGTCCTGTCTGATTCGTGCTGTGTATTGATTGCCATGGTCTGCATCCTTACATCTGTTTGCTATGCGTGTTGTTGGTGTCGGTAATGGTTGGTGATGGCGGTGGTGCTGCGTTTGGTTTGGCGGGGCTGGCTACGTTGCTGATTGGTTCGTATGGTCGATATAAGCTGAGTATATGGTATAGATTCTTACCTTGAATGATTCTTGATGACAAAGTCGTGGCGTGTCGAGAAGGAGAAAGCAACGACGAGGAGCGCAACTGCTAACGGACTCGCCTTCCATCGCCTGCCAACATGCCAAGCAGCACGTGATGTCGGACGCTGGTGCTCGTCACGTGCCTTCACACCGATTTGTACAGTTCTGGACGGGTTCGGCCGTAACGGCCTCGCGGTCCCGCCCAATAAAAACATCAGGAAAATGGATGCAAGAGAGCCACTGAGACTGGGTGAAATTGTGAGATTGGGCGAATGTAAAATTGGAGGAATGTGAGATTGGAGGAATGTGAGTGTCCCCGTTCATAGTCGAAGCTTTGCTCGCCATCCTCCTTCCTGATCATCAAGCCTGAAGCATCAGCCTCAAGATTATCCAAGATGGTGAGTAGCATATCCAAACACATTCGGAAGGAGCCACTACGTTCGTGATGCGCCGTTCTGCCATTCATGCATTCCATCAGGTGGGATACTACCAGCAATCACGAGCTCTATACACTTTGGATGCAGATGCAGAGCAAGGTAGCTCGTCGACGTTGGATGTGGTCGACTCGGAAGCTCCACCTTGGCCAATTATAGCATCGACATGATATACTTACACGCCAATCCTTCCGTCCGGACAATCATGTTGTTCAACTGTGCAGCCGTTCGTCAAGCAAGTCAAGTCTGGCGCCTACTTCTCGCGTTACCAGGTCAAGTACCGTCGTCGTCGTGAGGGTCGTACCGACTACTACGCGCGCAAGCGTCTCGTCTCGCAGGCCAAGAACAAGTACAACGCACCCAAATACCGCCTTGTCGTTCGTTTCTCGAACCTATACGTCACTTGCCAGATCGTTCACGCCAAGATCAACGGTGACAAGGTTCTCACCCAGGCCTCTTCCAAGGAGCTCCGCCGTTACGGTGTCAAGACTGGCTTTTCCAACTGGACCGCCGCTTACGCCACTGGTCTGCTCGTCGCCCGTCGTGCACTCACCATCCTCGGTCTTGCTGACAAGTACGAGGGTGTAACTGAGCCCGATGGTGAGATGGCCGAGGTTGAGCCTTTGGGCGATGACGAGCCTCGTCCCTTCAAGTGTTTCCTCGACGTTGGACTGAAGCGTACCTCGACCGGTTCGCGTGTCTTTGGTGCCCTCAAGGGTGCTTCCGACGGTGGAATCTTTATTCCTCACTCTGAGAAGCGTTTCCCCGGTTACGACCCTGAAGCCAAGGAGCTCGACGCCGAACTCCTCCGTTCTTACATCTACGGTGGACACGTGGCCGAATACATGGAGTCTCTCGAAGAGGAAGATGACGAGCGATTCAAGAAGCAATTCTCCACCGCTCTCGAGCAGGGCGTTGGATCGGACGACCTGGAAGACATGTGGACCAAAGCTTTCGAAAACATCCGTCAAGACCCCTCTTTCACGCCTTCGGACAAGTCGAAGAATTGGGCAGCCGAGTCGAAGAAGTACAAAGCTACCAAGCTCACCTACGAGCAGCGCAAGGCCAAGATCGCCGATCAGATCGCTGCTTTCAAGGCCGGTGCCGATCTCTAAGCCGGCAGTGTTATTGCTGCTGTTTGAATACGGACGGGCATCTGGTTCTTCTGGCAAATCTATATACTTGTTTGGCTTCACTTGTTCTCACTCCCACTCGCTTGCATTTCTTCCCACACACACTCAACACACACCCAAAATGAGAGCTTGAATCATCATCCACCATGACCAAGCTTCTCTTTACACTTACTCCCAATACCATCGGCCTTTACCTTGCACCTTGTCCGTTTGTAACACCATCTTTTATCCCCGTCTTGTCTCGTCTCGCCTTCCAGAATCTACATGAGCAGTGCATAAGCAGTGCATAAGCAGTGCATAAGCAGTGCATAAGCAGTGCATAAGCAGTGGTGGCAAGAGGGACAGACTACACGTGGCTGTATGGGAGGAGAGCTATGATTGAGAATGCGACACTTGGCTACAGTTGCTTCTCTTGGTTGTAGATGATACTTTTGGACAGACAAGACACATTCGGAACATAAAAATAGGATGCTATCTTGGTGAATTGAGATTCGTTTTGGGTGGTTGAGCTGCCCACAAGCTCGTGAGATAGTGTCTGGATGGGCCGGGAGGGATAGTACATGTAAGAGGCGTTTTCGGAAATCAGACAACCTTTGTGGCAATAATGACTGCGAGACGAGGCAGGGAGGCAATGTGAACCAGTCCAAACCTAGAGAGAGTGTGCGTGTGTGTGTGATGAATATGTGAGAAAGAGGAGAGAAAGGCAATGGAAAGCGTTTATCGGATAGGAAGGAAACGATCAACGGTAGAGCCCTTACCCTTAGCACCGTGACGGGTGGGGATGTAAGTCATGGCGAATTCGCCAAGGTAGTGGCCGACCATTTCGGGCTTGATCTCCGTGTTGACGAAGAAACGACCGGTGTAGATACCGATCATGGAGCCGATCATTTCGGGGACGATGATCATGTCACGCAAGTGAGTCTTGACGGTAGCGGGCTTCTCGTTGGGCTCGCATTCGGCCTTGGCCTTGCGAAGACGCTTGATGAGACCCATGGGCTTACGCTTCAGACCACGCTGGAACTTTCTGCGAGCACGGGCGTGAACGAGAGACATGAAATCCTCGTTCGACATGTCGAGAAGAGAGTCAAGCTCTACACCTCGGTAGGTGAACTTGCGGAAGGTTCGCTTGCGCTTAAGCTCGGCAGCGGCGGCGGCGTCGTACTCATCCCTGCAAAGTTGGGGTAAGTGAATGGGCGGCAATAGTGTTGCAAGGGTGTCAGCTCTCGCAATTCGAAAGCAAATGTCGGGGATCATTGTTGCAAGCATGCTTCTGTGTCGACAGGATTGGTGCTGGCATCTTTGTCGGTGTGGCATCTGTTGCATCGTCAAGATGTATCATTCCCACCCTGCCATCTCTGCGCAAAAGGAACGAGATACTCCGACGAGGTCTGGCGCTACGACGCTACTTTGATCCTTTCCACATCCATCCGCAACGAGGCCTTGGATAGATGTCCATGCTGCTGACATTGGTTCCAGCAAGACATTCTGGTGTTGTCGACCATCGCTTTGCTGCAATCCTCTTCCGCTTCGTCGATCGTGTGTGTTGTGTGTTGTGTGTTGTGTGTTGTGTGTTTCGGAGTGTCGTGTCGAGGCTAGAAGCATGCTTGCCATCGAACAGCATGATGCTACTTACATGTTGGGCAATCTTGATGATGAGCAGAAGCAAGGTGGCCGGCTGACCTCTTTGGGAAATCAAGGCAACAGCACACGGGCCAAATGCTCACCAATCGTCAAAAAAAATCCAGCCTGCAGAGAGGCACAACCTGACGCCGCCTAGGGGAGTTGCCCTTGCCGCGCCAAAATGGGTGAGAGTGAGCTGACGCCTGAGAGTGCGCTTGCGAATATTGGAGTTGCCTGCCAAATGTTGAAAAGTTCCCACGCTTTTTTCTCTCTCCTCAGCGCGGTTGCCATCTTTGAACCAGACTCGGATCCGACCAAGTTGCCAATTTGGCCTGGAGCGACCTCAGCCAGGGAGCGGGCAATGTCAGGCCCCGAGCGCCTTCTCCATAGCTTGACTTGCACCCACAACCCTTCTCTCAAGGTACCTAGGTAAGTAGCTCCTAACGCCCTACAAGACATGCCGACAACGACGAGATAGAAGCCCCACGACACCAGCACGGCTCTGGTCAATGGCAGCATCTTCAAAGACATGCTTCTCCACCGACATAAGAGGGATCTAGAGCTGGCCAAGTGCAAGAACCACACATAGTGCAAGCAAGTTGCCGGAAGCTATCTCTCTCGTTGTCCTTGTCCACCGCATCAGCTCGTCCCAGCACCAGCTCGTCCCAGCACCAGCCACACGGCTTGGCAGTTCGAACAAGTTGACTTAGCACTTTGAAAAATCATCGTCTCGTCCTAATACAGTCCACAAGTCTTCCTATCTTGGATCAAAGCAACCCCTTGCGGATTTGCGGCCGGCCCTTTTTATTCTCTCATTCTCAACAAGCCATTTCGGAAAGGTTTGTTTTAGTCGATCAAGATGAAGCACATCGCAGCCTACCTTTTGCTCACCCTCGGTGGTAAGGAGAACCCCTCGGCTGCTGACATCAAGTCTCTCCTTGAGACCGTCGGTATCGAGGCCGAATCTGAGCGTCTCGACAAGCTCATCGAGGAGCTTAACGGCAAGGACATCAACACTCTCATTGCTGAGGGTCAGGAGAAGCTCGCTTCCGTCCCCGCTGGTGGTGCTGCCCCTGCTGCCGCTGCTGGTGGTGCTGCCCCCGCCGCCGGTGGTGCCGCTCCTGCCGCCGAGGAGAAGAAGGAGGAGGAGAAGGAAGAGTCTGATGACGACATGGGCTTCGGTCTCTTTGACTAAACACAGTCGCCCTCGCTCTCGAACCAAACCCCCCCCCCCAAAAAATGCCGATCTCAATGCATCCCTTGTTGGCTTTTCTAGCATCTGTATGACTTGGGAACCCCACATCTGGTTGCAAAAGACTCGCCTTGTACTCTTTCGTCACTGTACCATCACACACATTCTCGAATGACTACAAGCTTTGCCGTCTTTGAGATGCGATAACATTTCCCTGTCCTTTCAGTGTTCAGTCTGGGTTTGCACCCTACCTTTGTTGAAGTTTGAAGACGTTTGCGTCCCCATACTGGCGATCGGAGAGAGTTTAAGTAGGATGTCACTGCTGCTAAAAGACAGAAACAAATATACTCGATTGACTAAAGTGCTCTCTGTGAGATATATATACATGTGAGCGGCACATGCTCAAGGTGGGTGTAACTCCTACTTAATGATCTACCATGACAACGAGCGGGACTGTGTTGCACCCGATCTCTGATCAGATGGGAGATCTAATCGGATCGGGTGTGCCTGATCACCGATCCGATCGGCAGCGCGTCATCCTTTAGCGTCGCACTGGATGGTAATCTTCAACAACCTTTGCTGCGATCGAGTCGACACATCGCACAACCAAATTGCACAGGCCATAACGATAGGATGAGAAAAAGAGTATATATGAGCAAACAAACTGGCGTTTTACAAACTCGAAACAAGAAGAGCGACAAAGACGAGAGATCAGTGAGTTGAAGGAGGATTGTAGATGATCTTTCTACTCTTAACACCAGCCCACTTGAAACGCTTGACCCAAATGGAAAGTGCAGTGAGAGAGGAGAGAATGATGACAGTCTGCATACCCATTTTCTTCCTAGTATCGTGTTCGGGTTCAGCAGAAAAATGGAGGAAAGTAACAACATCCTTTGCCATCTGGGAAGTGGTAGCAGGAGTACCATCCTCGTAATCCACAAGACCATCGTAAAGAACACGAGCCATGGCAATCTGAGTACCAGGGAAGTAAGAGTTGTAGTTCAAACCATCCTGAACCTTGACACCTGCAGGAGGGTCAGTGTAACCGGTAAGCAGGGCAAAGATGTAATCTGCACCACCATGACGAGCCTTTACCATCAGGCTGAGATCAGGAGGCAAAGCACCAGCGTTGGCAGCTCGTGCAGCCTCGTCATTGGCGTAAGGACGAGGCATGTAATCGGCAAGCTTACCAGGACGCTGGAACATAGCACCCTCATCATCGGGACCATCCTCGTACTCAACCTCCTCAGCCATAGCCTTGGCCTCATCGACAGTATGCGACTGACCGACGAGGTTACGCCAGGCAATACGGTCGAGCGAATGGCAGGAGGAGCAAACCTCACGGTACACCTGGTAACCACGACGAATCGAGGCATGGTCAAAGGTCTCAAAGACACCAGAGTGCGACCAGGGGTACTTGGGTGGGTGGAGACCTTCGTCGGCCATGTTAGCGCTGGCCGTCTCCAAGAAGGGAAGCGTACCGTACAGGTGTCTGTACCAAGCGACCGAACCGGCAGCGACGGCAGTGGCGGCAATAGCGGAGGATCGCGATACCATGAATGACTGCGAAGCCTTAGCGCCAGCCTGTGTCGATGCATTTCGGACCTGTAAAAGTGGAAGAAGGGGTTCAAGTCAGTACAAGATGTTGCTGTTGGATCGAGAATGCCGGTTAATTCAACTCGACACTCGTTCTAATGCCATATGCGTTGCGTATGTGTAGATCGTGCTGCTGCACCGAGGCTTTCCAAAAAAGATGGAGCGATGGCAGATGGCTGCTCTAAGATGTTGGGTGGCATGTGTGTGTGTGTGTCCAATATGCTAAGCTGTTGCACACTGCCATTCCAGATTCACTGCTCAACATCATGCGTCAAGTTGTCGATACGAAGTTCGCCTTGCATTGACCCAAAGCCTAGCAATCGTCCAATCCTCCATCGCGATCGTCTCCTGAGCGTTGCGGGTGGCTGAATTTGGGATGGTGTGCATATGATACCTACCGAAGCGGCCGAGCCGTTGACGGCGGCGCGCAGGGCAGTTCGCGCGCTGTTGAACAAGTTGGCCATGGTGACAATGGCAAGCCAATGGTAAGGCGGATGAGTAGGCTAGGCTATTGATGACGAGGCAAGGTGAGAAGGAGCGATGTGAGAAGGAGCAGAGGTGAATGGACAATGTTAACTGCTGAAACTGTCAATTCAACTTGAAAGATTCGAGTGTATTTCCAGACTTGCGGGCAAAGGACGAGAGTGTTAGAATACTTTGAATTTGGCTCAATTTCCAAGCCTCGCTGAATACAACCTCTCTTAAAACTGAAATCCAACCGCAACTCACTTGGATAATTGTCTTTTCAACGCCTCCACGCCTCCACGCCTCCACGCCTCGCTGATTTCAAATCGAGATGGCATTTGTAATCCAGTTTTGAGCGTCTCATCCGCGCCTCAGAAAGGTCGCTCAGCCAATCAAAGCCAGCCCCTCACCCGCTTTTCGCACGATAGGCGCCCATGCCTGTATCTCACTCTCTCTCGTCATCCTCCGTTGGCAGGAGCTGCTGATGGTATGGTGTTCGCTTGCAATATGCTTGGATGTCATCTGCAGAGCGGCGACCATGCTTTATCATTCGGCTGGGTATCGTGATTGCAAAAACACTTGGCCCACTTTGCGACTCAGCGCAGGTCCGATCTTCTTGCGCTGGTCTAAGTTCTCCGTAGAGCTGGAAAGCAGCGTATCTGCTTTCTTGGTCTCATCCGCTGGTCCTTGGTATGCCTCTGTGAGTTGACGGAGGGTGCTGTAGATGGTCAGCATCTCTCGCACCTTCTCGGCGCTCATGCCTTTGATGCACAGGAGCATCTTGCCAAAGACCTCCGTGGATGTCAGACCAGCACTCTTGCTGTTGAGTGCCTGAAAGGCTTCGAATGAGGTCAGGATAGATGCAGAGGGCAGCTTTTTTTGCAGCTCATCCCTTGTCTGCAGGAAGCTTGAGCGAGAGATGACTGCACTCGGTATCACTGAAAGATCTCGTCGTTCGTAGATCTTGCGGACGATGCGGTCCATTGCTGCTAGATAGTCGATGCTGGCAATCAGACCTGAGGTCCGCTCGACAAAGAAGCCATCCACCACCTGTGAGCTACTGAGTGCCGTCTGGATTTGCGGTGCAAACTTGCCCATCTCATCCTCCACGTCGTAGTCTTCAATGAGATAAAGCACTTTACATAGTCCCGAGCACGACAATCGGAACTGTCAAGCAGAGATGCACAACAATAGTCCTCCAAGAAAGCATCGGTTAGCATGATGCCCGTCCGACCGTCTGAGCTAGGCGCTGTCGTCACTTACCTTTTGCTCCTTCCATCGTCCATCAAGGATGGAGCTGGTAAGATCGTCGAGCCGCTTCCTCTCTACAATGTGGTCTAGCACAACTTCGTCTGCTTCGAGGCCGCTCCGATTTTTCCGGCGTGCTATCCAGACAGCATCTCCCACTTGCAGCGCTCGTGTCTCGGTGTCTATTCCCCGCTCGAGCAAGAGTGTAGCTATTGGTTCTTTCTCCTGTCGTCCTCCGGGTCTGTGACGCTCGCGGTTGTCGACGAGGAGATGGATGGTATAGCTGCCTGCTTTCAACACCTCTGGCTCCAATGTCGAGAGGCGTTCGTTGAGTGTATCTTCTTGCTCGTCCTCTGAAACATGGTCCTCCAGTTCTTCTTCAGCCAGTTCTTCTTGACCGAGTTCTTCTTCACCCAGATCCTCACCGGCTTCAGTCGCATCTTGGACGTCGGTCGGTTCAACACGAGCGTCTTTAGCAAGCGTCTCTGCAATCGTTGCACCTTGATCGCTTAGAGCATACCGAGCTGGATTGCCGGACTGCAGCACGTATCCTTTAGCGATGAGCGTCTTGATGCTGGTCCAGCCTGTATAGAAGGAGCGAGAGCTACCTGCACTGCCGCCAGATGTGCCATGGTGACTGGAAAGCGGCACGGCTGCTGATGCTCGAGATGAAGATCCGCCGAGCTCGTACTCGGTATCCGAGTAAGGTCGAGCAGCATTGATCAGCTGTGTTTTGGAGACCTTCTGCTGCTGCTGCAAAGAGCCGCGGGCGCTGGTGGTGATGAAGAGTCCAACGAGTAGACCGTATGCGCCTGAGCGGTGCTGGGGCACATAAGCGCGCTTCTTGGTCGGCCGATCTGATGCGCCTCGCTTGTTTCGTTTGGCTGCACCATGGCTGCCATCTTGCGCTTCTACGGCCAGATGTTCTCTTGCTTCTGCTCCACCATCATCATTTGTCGCCGATGCTGACTTGCTCTTCGAAGTTGAGACCTGGCGCAAAGGCCGCTCTGGCATCGCCTTTCCATTCTCCTGACACCATTTCTGCAATTCCTGTTCGATCTTGTTGGAAATCGTCGGTCCGATGCCAGATAGTTGCGTCGTTTGACATGGATGTTGCAACTCGATCGGACAGGCTGCCAAGGATTGGTGTGCCTTTCGGTATGTACGGGCTACCTTGGAGCCTTTTGCTTGTGCTTCTTCGGCCCATGCTGCGAGGAAGGTGAGCCATAGTGTATTTCCACCTGCGGTGCTGTTGTTGTCGTCCGCACTCATCGCTACGGCTGTCTTTACCATATTCCTCGCCGCCAGATGACAGCGACTGTATGGAGAAAGGGTTGCGGCTAAGATCAACGCTCGATTCGCGGCTGACCGCGTCAGAAAGGGTTCCTCCTTGTACAAGGCGAATCGCGGCACCAGCGAGACGACGAAACGGCGAAACGGCGAGACGGCGAAACGGCGAAACGCTGACACGCAGAGCCTAAAAGGTTTTTTTCGGACAGAATTTTGTGGTCGCCTTTTCTGGGTTCCCTTTTGGAAAGCAGTTTGGTGTTCCTGACGACAATGGAAGCGGCGCTGAAAAGAAGGAGCTTGCCAGGCCTCTGCGACTCTGCCAAAGCCAAAGCCAAGCCGAATGCTCTCAGAGGGACAAGCTGTGGTTGTGCGTGCGTCAAACCATTCAAAACCAACATCGAGCTGAGAACCATGAGCGGACGTTTGGAGCTATCCAACTCTGACAAACCCCCAACAAGATCGCAGCGACAGAGTTCAACTGCAACTTGTATCTACCTCTTACCGAACAGAACTATGCTGGAATCGGGTCAAGTAGGCCGATATCTAGTTTGCCAACGGGAAAATCGGCTTTGTCAGCCCGATTATGGATTTCTTTTTTAGACTTTCAAGTTGTTCCCAACATCTCGAGCTTTCACTGGGCTGCCAAGCGAGGATTCCTTAGATCGCCAGTGGAGGTCAATAGCAGAGCACAGACAGGCGAAAGAATAGAAAGAATAAAAAGAATAAAAAGAATAAAAATGATAAGCGATGATAAGCAATGATAAGCGGGCTCAATTTTGTTGAGCATTTTTCTGTGCGTTCCCTCTTGGCGACATCAAAGATTTCGATTCCTCTCTGGCTCATCCTCAAGCCAACATTGGTCTTTTTGTAGCTCTCCCTTTTCGCATCATTTTCCCCACTCTAGGGGGTATCAAAGTTTTTGCGTTTTTAAAAACCCGGGTTTTTTCAAGAGCACATTTTTCAAAAAAATGCAAAAGCTTACATAAGACCCACAAAGGGAAAAAAAAAAACCATGTTTTCAAAAATGCAGCTCAGGAGGCGTGTTTGTGAAAACATGGTTTTTTTTATCACTCCACATCTTCTCTCCTTTCCTCACTCTTGTCGCACTTTTGCTCACTCCCTCTTCCTTGTGCTCATTCAACATGACCTCCTCCACTGATGATTCTGGTGACATCTCTGCAGAGTTGTTATGCCAGTCCACTACACCTACAAGCTCTGCAACTCAGACCAAAAGCATGCCTGTGCTGTCTCAATCTGGTTCTACAAGTGCTCCTGACATCCACACTTCCTGTCCAACTCGAGCCTCTAGATCTGCCACAGGCAAGAAGAACTTGACATGGTCAGGTGCCAATGTTCTTCACCTTGTCATGATCCTCTACAACAACAACTCCTACCAGCACACTCTGCTGCCATCTCAAGAATTGGCTGAGAGTGATCCAGCCCTCAATATTCTGCAAACATCCCATTTTTTGGGATATCTCCAAGATGATTTTCCCAGGTGCATCTGTCGATCCCAATCACATCAAGTCCAAGCTGAGGTGGCTGCTAGAGACATACTACAGGGAGAAGAAGAAGCTTTCACTCACTGGAGCTGGTATGCTGCTGGAGGACATGGATGCATCCAACCCAGTAAGTTTTGGTGATCTTTGTTGCTTGCAATAGTATGCTTGGATGCTGATTCATACTTTCAATTTTAAACAGTCCTACGTATCTCGCATTGCCCTGTCAACAAAGTATGCTTGGTTTGAAAGGATGCACAAGATGATGAATGGCCAATTCAATGCTGATCCCACAGCACTTATCACAACTCCCAGTCTTGACTTCACCAGTGATGATGAGCCTGACATGCCTTCAAATGGCTCAGCTGACATACCCATGGATATTTGTGGCAGCGAGCTGTATGATCACAGCACTCATGGCTGTGGTTTGCCTCCTATTCTCGACTTCATCGAACCCACCAACCCCCCAGCTGCTGTTGCATCCACTTCTGGTGCATCCTTTGCTGGCACTGGTGATGATGACATCTTTAACACACCTTTGCCTCCACCTTTGCAGGCTCGACCACCTTCCTCCACTGCTGGCAGTTTGGATGTCTCTGATTCCACCTCTTCTCAATCTTCAGCCCAGCTCTCTCCCAGCATCAAGTGCAAGCAAGGTGCCCTTGATCACAAGCACAACACACTTGCTGAAGCTTTCTATCATTCTTCCATTGATACCCTTCAGATCTGCCTGCAGCTTGAACAGGAATGCACCAGATGCAAGAAAATACTGGAGGCTGAGCATACCAAGTGCAAGGAGATGCACCTGCATCATGAGAGGGAGGAGAAAGAGTGCGATGAATGTGTTCGCACATGTGATTGTGAAATGGTGATGGAGATGGTGTGCCTCCTTGCTTCTCAGGCCAGTGTCAAACAGGATGCTCATCAGAACACCAGCAACAACAACAACATGGACTCTTCATTCAATCTTCCTGTCTTGTAGCATTACATGTACTATCATCCAGTCTCAATGCAAAGTCATTTCTGAGTGTTTTTCTGTAGAGTGCAAGTATGAGGTGAATAAAAATGCTGTGCAGCACAGTCACATAATGAGCTCAAAAGCATTTAAACAAAAAATTTCACTCTCACACCTCTTCCATTACTACCACCACTCCACTCTGCAACCTTTCAGCATCGCTCTTGCTGCCATCCCCCCTCTCCATGCTCCCTCTCCAACTCCCTTCCTCCTTCCAGCCATGGTGTGCTACAGTGACAAGCAAGTAATTCTCAATGACATTGTCCACACTCTTGAGCTCTCTATACCTGCAGAGGTCATCCAAAACACTGACAGAGTGCAGCACTCCTGCAGCACTGACATCAACAACTTGGACAACGATGGTGACCCAATTCTGCTCTCATGACACCTTGTCTGCTTGTACACTTTCATATGCAAGCAAAGGTACACAATCACACATTGCACTCCTCTTGGCCATGCTGATAAGCTTATCCACCTTCTCAACAGGTACAAATCAAGCAATCATAGGATGTATCATGGACTTGTTCGTATGTCGCCTGAAGCATTCAACAATCTCACCATCCGACTCCAGCAAACAGAGGCTTTCTGGTGGAACTACAGCAGCTCAGGTGTGATGTCTCTCAACAAAGTGCAAGAGATTCTTTCAGTGGCTCTGTACAGACTTGGCCATTCTGGAAATGGAGGTGGTGAACATGATGCTGCTTTGCAATGTGGCTGTGGTGTTGGGAGCATTGTTGGATACACCAATCACACAGTCGCTGGCCTCCTTGAGCTAAACAACGAGGTCATGCAGTTTGCTTCAGAGGGAGAGAGACAACATGCTTCTGCCTGGGTGTGCAATACAACTGGGGTTGAAGAGTGGGGTAAGGGCTGGCTTGTGGTGGATGGCACACACATCCCTCTTGCCTGGAAGCCAGGAGTGCTCAGTTGAGAGCACTTCTGCTACAAAGGCTTCCACAGCATCAATGTAGCACTGGTGATCCTGCCACACTCACTGCGGATTGTTGAATCAGTTGTTGGACAGCCTGGCAGTGTTCAGGATTCAAAGGTTTGGGCCTCAGGCAGCAACATCCTGAAGAAGCCTCACCTGTACCTTGACAAAGGTGAGTTCATCTGGGTTGATGGTGGATATGGCCATTCTGCCTTCACAGTTGGACCATTCTCTCACATTGCTGCTGACAAGAGTCAAGACCTTTGACACTTCAACTACATGCTCTCTTGAGTCTGAGTATGAGTTGAACATGCCATTGCATACCTGAAGAACCACTTCCAGTGCCTTACAGGCTATCATGGTAACATCTACCATTTCAAGGACCACATCACTGCTGCCGAGATGATCCAAGCCTGCATTGTTGCCCACACCTTTGCAAGTCAATATGACTGTCCTGCTGATATTGCTGACCTGCTGTTGCCCTCTTTCTCTGAGGATGAGGTGAGTGAGGTTGTTCAAAGCCTCCAACTTGATGCCAGTGATACACAAGAGCTCAGGAGGACAAGATGCACAAATCAGCAGGAATACAAACTGGATCTTGCCACTGCAACACAAGGGATGTCACAGTATGCAGTGTCAAGACTTTGAAGTTCTGCTGCACATGATCTTCAAGAGGGTTTGTTCCAGGTGCTGTTCAGATCCACTGGGTGCAATGAGGAAGACACTACTGCATTGTCTCAATGTCATGAGAGGACTACTGTGGACTACATTGCCATGACTCAAAGCACATCAGCTTGGAGACAGGAGCAAGTCTTGACACAACCATTCTCGATCTGACAGGCACTCTCTCTTCTTCTGTTCAATACAATTCTTCTCACCACCATATGAAACATTACATTGAGTGCATTGTGTGAAGAGGAAAGCAAGATATAAGCAAGCAATGGGTAATAGCGATGAGAGCGACAAGTAACATGACCACTGTTAGGTTTTGTATTTTATCGGCCATATGATTTCATCATGTTTTTGGAAACCTGCTTTTCCTTGGGGGGGGGTTCAAATTCCCTCCAAAAATGCGCTCTCGAAAAAACCCGCATTTTTAAAATCGCAAAAACTTTGATACCCCCTTCTGAGCTTTTTGTCCTTTTTTGTTTTTTGTTTTTTGTTTTTTGTTTTTTGTTTTTTGTTTTTTGTTTTTTGTTTTTTGTTTTTTGTTTTTTGTTTTTTGTTTTTTTTTTGTCTTTTTTTTTTTTTTGTCTTTTTCCTATCGGCTCTTCCGAAAGATCGCATCCGAATCTCAGCCGTCGACAACTCAGCCTTGAATAATCCGCCGACCGAGTTCTGATCTTCTCTTCTTTCCACCATCATCCCCTCCTGCCACTGGCACCCAGATCACCTTGTCTTGCCTCGCCTTGCCTCGCCTCGCCTCCATCTCATTCGATATTCGCGACGCCAACCTCGGGCTCTCACACGTCGACCCTGCACCTTCATCAAGACTTCCCTCACCCTTTTTAACGACCGCAGCCTATTTATCCCTCTGGCTCATCTCTCGAATCGCCGGAACAAGTTGATAACCAGCTCCCTCTCTGGCTTCACTCCTGCTTCAGTTGCTATCTTTGAGATCCCTCGCTCAACGCAAAAGTTGCCTTCTCTCTCTTTCCCCCCCCCCCCCCCCCCGCGTCAACGAGAACGCATTCATCCCGCTATCTCGAACGCCGCATCGCTTTGTCTTTTTCTTTCTTTCTTTTTGCTGCTGCTGCTGCATCCCTAAAGCATCGTCTAAGCTTATCGCACTAGTTTAGCCAAAATGCCAACACCGGACCATAAAGCGGTCAGCCACTTTATTGGTAAGTTGCATTCGATTTTCGCTTCTCTGAGGCCAACAGGTCCGTCGCCTTCTTTGCCTTGCTTGTGCAACGAAAACTGACATTCTCTACTTTGCTCTGCTTTGCTCTGCTTTGCTCTGCTTTGCTCTGCTTTGCTCTGTCACTCTAGGCGGCAACCCGCTCGAGACAGCTCCTGCAAGCCCTGTCGCCGACTTCATTCGCAAGCAGGGCGGTCACAGTGTCATCACCAAGGTCCTCATTTGCAACAACGGTATTGCTGCCGTCAAGGAGATCCGTTCCATCCGAAAATGGGCTTACGAGACTTTTGGCGATGAGCGTGCCATCGAGTTCACCGTCATGGCCACCCCGGAAGATCTCAAGGTCAACGCCGATTACATTCGTATGGCTGACCAGTATCTCGAGGTCCCCGGTGGTTCCAACAACAACAACTACGCCAATGTCGACTTGATTGTCGATGTCGCAGAGCGCGCCCGTGTTCACGCCGTCTGGGCTGGTTGGGGTCACGCTTCTGAGAACCCTCGTCTTCCCGAATCGCTCGCTGCTTCCAAGCACAAGATCATCTTCATCGGTCCTCCTGGCTCTGCCATGCGATCCCTCGGCGACAAGATCTCCTCCACCATCGTTGCTCAGCATGCCGACGTTCCATGCATGCCCTGGTCCGGTACGGGTATCAAGGAGACCATCATGAGTCAGCAGGGTTTCTTGACCGTCTCGGACGACGTCTACCAGCAGGCCTGCATCCACAACGCCCAAGAGGGTCTCGAAAGGGCTGAAAAGATTGGCTTCCCCGTCATGATCAAGGCCTCGGAAGGTGGAGGAGGAAAGGGTATTCGAATGTGCACCAACGCCCAAGACTTTAAGCAGCTCTACAATGCCGTCCTCGGTGAGGTGCCCGGTTCGCCCGTTTTCGTCATGAAGCTCGCTGGCCAGGCTCGCCACCTCGAGGTCCAACTGCTCGCAGATCAGTACGGCAACGCTATCTCCATCTTTGGCCGCGACTGTTCCGTCCAGCGTCGTCACCAGAAGATTATCGAGGAGGCTCCCGTCACCATTGCTCCCGAAGATGCTCGAGAGGCCATGGAGAAGGCCGCCGTTCGTCTCGCCAAACTTGTCGGCTACGTCTCTGCCGGTACCGTCGAGTGGCTTTACTCTCCCGAGTCTGGTGACTACGCTTTCCTCGAGCTCAACCCTCGTCTCCAGGTCGAGCACCCCACCACCGAGATGGTCTCGGGTGTCAACATCCCCGCTGCCCAGCTCCAGGTTGCTATGGGCATCCCTCTCTACTCCATCCGTGACATCCGAACTCTCTACGGCATGGACCCCCGCGGTAACGAGGTGATCGACTTTGACTTTTCCAGCCCCGAGTCGTTCAAGACCCAGCGCAAGCCCCAGCCTCAGGGTCACGTCGTTGCCTGCCGTATCACCGCCGAGAACCCGGATACCGGTTTCAAGCCCGGCATGGGTGCCCTGACCGAGCTCAACTTCCGTTCCAGTACCTCCACCTGGGGTTACTTCTCTGTCGGTACTAGCGGTGCCCTCCACGAGTACGCCGATTCGCAGTTCGGACACATCTTCGCCTACGGTGCCGACCGATCCGAGGCCCGAAAGCAGATGGTCATCTCACTCAAGGAGTTGTCCATTCGTGGTGATTTCCGTACCACCGTCGAATACCTCATCAAGCTCCTCGAGACCGACGCTTTCGAGTCCAACAAGATTACCACTGGCTGGCTCGATGGCCTCATCCAGGACCGTCTCACTGCCGAGCGTCCTCCCTCGGACCTAGCTGTCATTTGTGGTGCCGCCGTCAAGGCTCACCTCCTTGCCCGCGAGTGCGAGGATGAGTACAAGCGTATTCTCAACAAAGGTCAGGTGCCTCCTCGTGACACCATCAAGACTGTCTTCTCGATCGACTTTATCTACGAGAACGTCAAGTACAACTTCACTGCTACCCGCAGCTCCGTTTCTGGCTGGGTTCTCTACCTCAACGGTGGCCGTACTCTCGTTCAGCTTCGTCCTCTTACCGACGGTGGTCTACTCATCGGTCTTGCCGGCAAGTCGCATCCCGTTTACTGGCGTGAGGAGGTCGGCATGACCCGTCTCATGATCGACTCCAAGACCTGCCTCATTGAGCAGGAGAACGACCCCACCCAGATCCGATCGCCCTCGCCTGGTAAGCTTGTTCGCTTCCTCGTCGACTCGGGCGACCACGTCAAGGCCGGCCAGGCTATTGCTGAGATTGAGGTCATGAAGATGTACCTTCCTCTCGTCGCCGCTGAGGATGGTGTTGTCTCTTTCGTCAAGACTGCAGGTGTTGCTCTTTCGCCCGGAGACATTATCGGTATCCTCTCGCTCGACGACCCCAGCCGTGTTCAGCACGCCAAGCCCTTTGCTGGCCAGCTTCCAGACTTTGGTCTTCCCATCATCATTGGCAGCAAGCCCCACCAGCGCTACTCATACCTTGTCGAGGTACTCAACGACATTCTCGACGGTTACGACCAGAGCTTCCGCATGCAGACTGTCATCAAGGAGCTCATCGAGACCCTTCGCAACCCCGAGCTTCCCTATGGTCAGGCTTCTCAGATCCTCTCCAGCTTGAGTGGTCGTATCCCCGCCAGGCTCGAGGATGTTGTCCGCAACACCATCGAGATGAGCCACTCCAAGAACGTCGACTTCCCTGCCGCTCGTCTTCGCAAGCTCACCGAGAACTTCCTCCGCGACAGCGTCGACGCTGCCATCCGCCAGCAGGTACAGATCACCATCACTCCTCTCTATCAACTCTTTGAGGCCTACGCCGCCGGCCTCAAGGCTCACGAGGGTAACGTTCTCGCTTCCTTCCTCACCAAGTACTACGAGATCGAGTCCAAGTTCACTGGTGAAGCTGACGTTGTCCTCGAGCTTCGTCTCCAGGCCGATGGCGATCTGGACAAGGTTGTTGCCCTGCAGACCTCCCGCAACGGTCTCAACCGCAAGAACGCGCTCTTGCTCAACCTCCTCGACAAGCACATCAAGGCTACCTCGCTCGTCTCGCGCACCAGTGGCGCTCAGATGATCGAGGCTCTGCGCAAGCTCGCCTCTCTTCAGGGCAAGTCGACCGCTCCTGTCGCGCTTAAGGCCCGAGAGGTCTCGCTCGACGCCGACATGCCCAGCCTTGCTGACCGTTCTGCCCAGATGCAGGCTATTCTCCGTGGCTCCGTCACCTCGTCCAAGTACGGTGGTGACGACGAGTACCACGCTCCTTCGCTCGAGGTCCTTCGTGAGCTCAGCGACTCGCAATACAGTGTCTACGACGTCTTGCACAGCTTCTTCGGCCACCGCGAGCATCACGTCGCCTTTGCCGCTCTCTGCACCTACGTCGTTCGAGCTTACCGTGCCTACGAGATTGTCAATTTCAACTACGCTGTCGAGGACTTTGATGTCGAGGAGCGTGCCGTGCTCACCTGGCAGTTCCAGCTGCCTCGCAGCGCCTCTTCGCTCAAGGAGCGCGAGCGTCAGGTCTCCATCAGCGATCTCAACATGATGGACAACAGGAAGGCTCGTGCCACTTCCGAGCTCCGCACCGGTGCCATGGCCAGTTGCGCCGATGTTGAGGACATTACTGACCTCCTTCCCAAGGTGCTCAAATTCTTCGGCTCTTCCAGTGGTGCTCCCATCAACGTACTCAACATTGCTGTTGTTGACCAATCCGACTTTGTCGATGCTGAGGTTCGAAGCAAGCTTGCTCAGTACACCAACGCCTGCAGCAAGGAGCTCGCTGCCGCCCGTATCCGCCGTGTCACCTTCCTCCTCTGTCAGCCCGGCATGTATCCCTTCTTTGCCACCTTCCGTCCCAACGAGCAGGGCATCTGGGCCGAGGAGAAGGCGATTCGCAACATCGAACCCGCGCTTGCCTACCAGCTTGAGCTTGACAGAGTCAGCAAGAACTTCGAGCTCACCCCCGTGCCGGTCTCTTCGTCCACGATCCACTTGTACTTTGCTCGTGGTATCCAGAACTCCGCCGACACTCGATTCTTTGTCCGTTCGCTCGTCCGACCTGGCCGCGTTCAGGGCGACATGGCTGCTTACCTCATTTCCGAGTCGGACCGTATTGTCAACGACATTCTCAATGTCATCGAGGTTGCTCTTGGCCAGCCCGAGTACCGCACCGCTGATGCCTCGCACATCTTCATGTCTTTCATCTACCAGCTTGATGTCAGCCTTGAGGATGTCCAAAGGGCCATCGCTGGCTTCCTCGAGCGTCACGGTACCCGCTTCTTCCGTCTCCGCATCACCGGCGCCGAGATCCGCATGATCCTTAGCAACTCGAACGGTGAGCCTCGCCCCATCCGTGCATTCGTTACCAACGAGACCGGTCTGGTCGTGCGATACGAGACTTACGAGGAGATCGCTGCCGATGATGGTTCGGTCGTCCTCCGCGGCATCGAGCCTCAGGGTAAGGAGGCTACACTCAACGCTCAGAGCGCCCACTTTGCTTACACTACCAAAGTCGCTCTGCAGTCGCGACGATCGCGTGCTCACGCTCTCCAGACCACCTTTGTCTACGACTTTATCGATGTCCTTGGTCAGGCCGTCCGAGCCTCGTGGAGGAAGGTCGCTGCCAGCAAGATCCCAAGCGAGGTCATCAAGTCGGCTGTCGAGCTCGTCTTTGATGAGCAGGAGAACCTGCGCGAGGTCAAGCGTGCTCCTGGTATGAACAACATCGGAATGGTTGCTTGGCTTGTCGAGGTGGTCACTCCTGAGTACCCCACCGGCCGCAAGCTTGTTGTCATTTGCAACGATGTTACCATCCAGGCTGGTTCGTTCGGCCCTGTCGAGGACCGCTTCTTCGCCGCTGCCTCAAAGCTCGCCCGTGAGCTCGGTATTCCTCGTCTCTACATCTCAGCCAACTCTGGTGCCCGTATCGGTTTGGCCACCGAGGTTCTTGACCTGTTCAAGGTCAAGTTTGTTGACGACGACCCCGCCAAGGGCTTCGAGTACATCTACCTGGACGACGAGTCGCTTCGCGCTGTTCAGGCCCAGGCTCCCGGTAGCGTCATGACCAAGCCCATCAAGGCTGAGGATGGTACCACCCACAACGTCATCAGCGATATCATCGGCAAGCCTCAGGAAGGTCTCGGTGTCGAGTGTCTCTCCGGCAGTGGTCTCATCGCCGGTGAGACGAGCCGTGCCAAAGACTCGATCTTCACTGCCACCATTGTCACTGGTCGCAGTGTCGGTATCGGTGCCTACCTTGCACGTCTTGGTGAGCGTGTCATCCAGGTTGAGGGCTCGCCCTTGATCTTGACCGGTTACCAGGCTCTCAACAAGCTGCTTGGTCGTGAGGTCTACACCTCGAACTTGCAGCTCGGTGGTCCTCAGATCATGTACAAGAACGGTGTCTCGCACTTGACTGCACAGGACGACCTTGATGCTGTCAAGGCCTTTGTCAACTGGATGTCTTACGTTCCTGCTCAGCGTGGCGGTCCTTTGCCCATCATGCCCACCACCGACAGCTGGGACCGTGCTGTTACCTACCAGCCTCCTCGTGGTCCTTACGACCCACGATGGCTCATCAACGGCAAGACCGAGGAGGATGGCTCCAAGCTCACTGGTCTCTTGGACCAGGGCTCGTTTGTCGAGACCCTCGGCGGCTGGGCTACTTCGGTTGTCACTGGTCGTGCTCGTCTGGGTGGTATTCCGGTGGGTGTCATTGCTGTTGAGACTCGAACTCTGGAACGTGTCGTCCCAGCAGACCCTGCCAACCCTAACTCGACCGAGCAGCGCATCATGGAGGCTGGTCAGGTCTGGTACCCTAACTCGGCGTACAAGACTGCTCAGGCCATCTGGGACTTTGACAAGGAGGGTCTTGCTCTCGTCATCCTTGCCAACTGGCGTGGTTTCTCTGGTGGTCAGCAGGACATGTACGACGAGATCCTCAAGCAGGGTTCCAAGATCGTCGATGGACTTTCGTCGTACAAGCAGCCCGTCTTTGTTCACATCCCACCCATGGGTGAGCTTCGTGGTGGTTCTTGGGTCGTAGTTGACTCTGCCATCAACGACAATGGCATGATCGAGATGTCGGCCGATGTCAACAGCGCACGAGGTGGTGTGCTCGAGGCTTCGGGTCTGGTCGAGATCAAGTACCGTGCTGACAAGCAGCGCGCCACCATGGAGCGTCTTGACAGCGTCTACGCCAAGCTCAGCAAGGAAGCTGCTGAAGCCTCGGACTTGACTGCTCAGACCACCGCTCGCAAAGCCTTGGCTGAGCGTGAGAAGCAGCTGAGCCCCATCTTCACTGCGATTGCCATCGAATACGCTGATGCGCACGACCGTGCAGGACGCATGCTTGCCACTGGTGTCTTGCGATCTGCTCTGCCATGGGAGAACGCACGTCGATACTTCTACTGGCGTCTCAGGAGAAGGCTCACGGAGGTCGCTGCCGAGCGTACCATTGCGGAGGCCAACCCATTGCTCAAGCACGTCGAGCGAATTGCTGTGCTTCGACAGTTTGTCGGTGCTGCTGCCTCGGAGGATGACAAGGCTGTGGCTGAACACCTTGAGGCTTCGACCGCTTCGTTGTTGAACGCGACAAAGCAGCTTAAGGCTCAGTACATCTTGGCTCAGATCTCGAGCTTGGATCCTGAACTCAAGGCTCAGCTTGCTGCTTCTTTGCAGCAGTAGATGGACACCATTGTTTGCATTATTCTACATCTTCTTCTCTCTCGCATGGCTATCTTTTTTGCAACTTTTTTTGTAGGAAGGTGATGCTGTTGCGTCTCTCTCTCTCTCTCTCTCTCTCGGCGAGGATGAGGTTGGATTGAGGGATCGGCAAACCTTGTTCGATTCAGCGAGATGAGGCAGGATCGTCAGCCACTCTCGCATCAGTCTCTTCCTTGTTGATGCGCTTCTTTCTGTGTTTCGTTGACGCTGCCTGGCACTGTGACAACTGAGGGGTTGTACTCAATGCTTTACGTTGGCAATGTTTGCGCTTCGTCATCTCTTTCTTTTTGGTTCGCCTGTACTCTGTTTTCACCGTATAGACTCTGACTTGCAAATGTCGAATAGTGTTCCTTTGATCTTGCGCGAGGTTGGAGGAGAGGATGATGAGCTGGAGATTTGGCTTGCAGCTGTCAATTTATCAAAGCGCCTTGAGGATTGCGCAAATGCTTTCCGCTTCTTCTCCTTTCTATACCACCTCGATTCTCGTTTTCAAGTTGTGTACCTATCCACTGCCGCAGAGCTTTCTTCTTGCTTGGGGCAGAGATCAAAATGACTCACACGCAAAGGTACAAAGCAACTTCAGCAAAGCTTTTAGCAATGGGAACAACTTGCATCCCTACCTACCTAGAAAAAGCTTTCCCTCCTATTTCACCACACAACTCGAGCTCTCCTGTTCCCTTTGAATTCTCCCTTACAGCACTCGGTTTAACGCAGCAGCCATTAACATCTTCGGTTGAAACAAGCATCCCAGATGACCAAGCAGAAGATAATGTACAAGAACAAATGGATCTCCATGTCCCATTCTATATCAAAGTAAAAGGCAAAGGTAAGGGTAGACGAGTCTTGTACGATGCTATGAAATCTTCGGTTGCTCAAATATACGGTAGGTAATCAACCCCCCTCCCCTCCTCCCCCCCTCCTCTCCTGGTCTCTGCAAATCTACCTCTCACCGGAGAAACATTCTACTGACATTCAGCATGGTTGCTACAAAGAGTAGAATTGGCAGCACAAACAGGTCTACCCGAACCTAACTTCACAACAAGCTCTTCTGGTGCTGCGTAAGTTCGCCTTTCCCGCCTTCGGATCTTCAAGCTCGACTGACAAGGGCACAAGAGTGACTCGACCGACTTGAGATATACAGACACGAGCGGAGATTCACAGCTGAAGTAAGCTTGGACCAACTCGCAGCGACTCGCGGTTGTGGAGGAAGTATAAAGGAAGCAAAAGAGGAAGCATGTAAGCTACTTGCCGAGTTGATCCTTTGCAGAAACAAAGACGCTTGTCTCACTGCCTAGCGACCTCTGTATATGGTATGCTAAAAATCTGACCATAATAACACCCATGTATATATATGTAAAGAAAAGCAATGGCAATGGCAATGGCAATGGCTTTGTCTAAACACTAAGTCAAGATAGGCTTAGTGTAGCACAGTGCAAGCAGAAAGTCTTGTGACATTTTTTCGGCCCACCACATTTAGCAAGTTTGTTCCTCTTCCCGCGAACACGAGGCTCGACGAGACAGTCAAGGCTCGTGTCTAGCATGCGATCTGGCAGGGTGCAAGATCGATAGGCATGCTTGCCTCTATTCGATAATGCGCCGTGCAGGGATGGCGAGGATCGAGGTTGCTTCATTTGATCCCAGTGCTCGCCAGTCCATTCTGGCGTTGGGTGAGCATGGGTATTGGCTGATGAAGTTGAACGTGTCAATGTTGAGGATTGCTTTTGAGAAGCTGATGCGTCAACAGCTAGCTGATCGAGTTTTGTTTGTTCTTGTCGACTGGTAACTGATAAAGGTTCAAGTGACGGTGTGGACAACGAATACGCTATACCTTCTACGACTGGTGAACAACATTGCGATCTCACGAATTGCGCAGCCTCTCCAGCACCTGCCAGCAATATCGCCTCCTCCTGCACAACCCGATCAGCAGGCTGCACTGTCTCCACCAATGTCCAAGGTGAAGGAATGCCTCTATCCAGAGAAGGCAGAGATGGGTATGTTTTACTTCTCGCAGCTGCTTCTCGAACTCGCGATGGAATGGGTAACAAGCAAAGTGTCTCAGCCGGCTCAGCTGGTGAAGACGAACGAGACTCTTCAGGCTCGACTTGATCCAAATCCTCTGTTTGATGCACTGTCGAAGGAGTCCTGAGAGAAACACGCTCCTGACTCGAACGCATCTCTAGCTCTATTACTGTTTCAGAATCTCGTCGCACTGCAGTGCAAGGTCTAGAGTGCGCCCAAGATGCGCGTACTATGGATGATTGAGGCATTGCTGAAGATGTTGGCGAGGCTGCTGGATCGCATGCTTGGGAGCAAGCTCGGTCGACGATGAGTGAAGAAGGGTATGGGCTGGTTGGTGAAGCAGTGTTGTTTTCTGCTATGGCTTCAGCGTCAACAGTGTCTTCTGGCGTCGTTGCCGGCAAGTTATCGTTCGTTACCTCAATGACCTGCTCATCGTCTTGCTCGTCGGAAACTAGATCGATATAGAGTCGTGAGGTGTTGTCGGTGATCTTGAGCAGGTCAGCGAGACCAAAGATGTCGTTGTAAGGCAGCGTCTCGAAGGGCGTGGTGCATTGCAGGAGCTCCTCAATGTTCTGCCGCTTGGTTCGGATCGAGTCGACGAGCTCTTCGTCCGAGTCGCTGTCCACTGTCACTACGTCAGTGTCGTCTTGGTCTTCGGATGATGAAACTTGACGAGATGGTGATCGTCGATCTGTTCCTCGCGGCGGAACAAGTTTGCGGCTTGGCGGCGGTAGTGGTGGTCTGCGTCGGGCCATCAAAGCATCGTTGTCTGCCACTGAGCTACTCCACATGGGATCGCCCAAGTCAATCATGTCCTCACCCTCAGCCTCTTGATCAATTTGCCCTGTATCGCCAAGCAAAGCTTTCCGGCGCGCCTCAGCTTGCAGGAACTCGCGCAAGTCCGGATCGTACGCCGCCGGATCATCCTCTTGATCCTCCGACTCACTCGACGACACACGAGCCATCTGCTGTGTTCCCCTATGCGCTTGAAAAAGCCCGTGTGTCGGATGAATATGATCATGATACTCATCCTCCCGATCATCCATCTCCCTTGCCTCAGGTCGATCTTTCCACCCCTGTAACTCTTCATCCTTTATAAACACTCCGAACTCCATGCTCTCTCTCAAACTGCGCAAGCTGCCTCTATCCTTGACTACAACAATGGGTTCGCCATTGGCTCTGTTTCCGAGATAGATCTCATCCTGCTCCTGTAAATGTGCATCTTTGAAACGTTCAAAGATGCTATCCCATTTACGCTTTAGCCGTTGTGTGGACTGCTGGTGGAGGTACTCGACTGTCTCTGTGCCATCGGGATTGTAGCGCTGGATGATGTTGCGCATTTGCGAGGTGAATTGCAGCCGGCGACGCTTTTTTGGCTTGGGAACGGGTGTGGTAGGCTCGTAGGTTGATCCTGGACGTGGACGAGATGGTCCTGCTTCCGCTCCGGCATAGCTCGGCTCGTATGGACCTGATGGATACATGGCCACAAGATCAATCAAAGGCTGCTAGTGGCAGTATCGCCTCTTCTTGCGATGGTAGCCAGGCTTCGAGCGAGGTTGTGGGTTGCTGGGAAGAGAGGAGGTCTCAATTGTGTTTGCGAGAAGGAAGCTTTGAGTTAGTTGAATGCATGCGCCCTAACACCCGATTCAGGGTCCAATCGACACCTTTTTTCTGATCTTACCCCGATCCAAAGTCCCGATCCAAAGTCCCGATTCATAGTCCCGATTCTGGGCACCTGTGCACGGACCTGTCGTACAACACTGTTTCAGGAATCGCATAGGACATCGGACAAGCTTCTTCTCGTTTACCAACCACAACAAGCTCCAACAACGCAGTCGATCATCTGAGCACCGCTCCATAGAGCCACTCCAAGTAGCGAGGCAGCGATGGGCTCGTGGCCATCTCATTGGAGCCCACCATGTACTTTGAGAGGAAGGAGCTGATCCAGTCCGTAAGTGTCTAACACGGTGCACTGCACATCTTTTAAGGTCCTACATTGATCTTTTAAGGTCCTACATTGATCTTTTAAGGTCCTACATTGATCTTTTAACGTCCTACATTGACACTTGAACTCATATCTTGTGTCCCCTTGTATCGACAGCTGGATCTGCTCTGCTTTGTGCTCTTCGTATACACCTGGCTGCTGGACAATCGCACCTTCTTGCTCGTAGTCAAAGCCGCTCTGCAGGTACAGTTCTGTAACGCGGTGCAGATGCATCCGACCTGGTCGCTCCCCTTCTTGGTCGTCTTTCTTTGCTCTCTCAACCTCATCTTCGCGCTAGTGCACCTACTTACACCGGCAAGCCAGACAAACAGCCAAGATGCCATGCTCATTGACTTTGTCGGCCAAGTCACGTTGCCCGGCCGCGTTCAAATGTTCTTCATCGACGCATTGGTGTGCTTCGTTCAGCTGCTCATGACCGTTATTGCGTTCGAGACGAGCAAAGATGAGCTCAAGCCCGATGGTGAGCCCAGCGTGCTGGATGACCTTACCAGTTTTCTGGAACAAGACGATCTGGGACACGGCTGGGATGTTCGCGATGAAGAAGCTACGCTCTTTGGTCTCGACGAAGAAGAGGAGAGGAAGAGTCAACATACCAGCTTGACACATCATATCGCAGTTGTACGATTACGACCAATCTTTGATCAGATCAGATCGAGACAGTTGCTGCCTACACAGTCAGCGGACGAGTCAGATGGTGCACAGGAGGCATCAACACAATCTCCATTACAGCCTGCTTCAACCGTTGCAGATGGGACAAGGCCGGACACAAGCCGCATTCGTCGCTTCTCACAACCTCCTCGCACAGCACTCCCGGACTCAAGTCGGCAAGGAGAAGAACGCGTCACAGAAGGCTTGGGTGAGATATCAGCAGACAACTCCTGGCCACCCATGTGGCTCATCATTGGGCGAAACATGATTGGCGGTGAACCTAGTCTACCCTCCTTTCGACGCATGCAAGGCCTTACTTCCATAACTGACAGCATCATGGGTCGCTTCGGTAGAAACCTCAGTCAAGCACCAAACGGTACTCAGTAAACAAGCATCAACCGCAACGCTCCACCAAAAAGTTAGGCTTTGGATAGATCAACATGATAACTTGTATTTGTATCCAACAGAATCCTCTCAATAACAACAAACCCCTTCGACGACCACTCACAAAGCTTCAAACCAGAAGATGGCAATGAGATTGTGCAATCTCTTCAAAACGTGCCTCCTCATATCTCGGTTCAAGGACGATCTGCAAGAACCGCCTAAAACCCTGCATCAGCCTTGCACAAAGCGGACAACTACCGACACAGGATGGCATCAATATTTCCTGTTAGTTTAAGTCGCCAACCGTGGAGTGTATACAGGTGCGCAACTAGATAAGACAGGAGTAGACAACAAAAGCCATCCAAAACGCTCAAGATCCAAGGAGGAGGAGCAGGCGGCATCAGGACAAAGAGGGGAAAGTATACACAGAAAACAGGCGGGGAGGTCTGCTTTTGGTTCGTATGTTCTGCATTGCTTTTGTGCAAAGAGAATCGCATGTGTGTGTGTGTGTGTGTGTGTGCGTGTGTGTGTAAGGTAATGCAGATCCGTTCATCGGGTGAACGGAATGCATGTGTAAAGGTGTGGTTAAGACAAAGGAGTAGGCGGCGTGGCGTGTGTTTCATCGTACCCTTGAGATTGCAGTTGAGCGTCGAGAAAGATCCTTGGTTCGAAGTGAAAGAGTTGGGACCAAGGCGGAGATCGACAAAAGAACTGGAGAAAGAGAACACAAGAAGCAGAGAAGCTGGAAAGCAGAGAAGCTGGAAACAAGTTGGCTATAATCACAAGAAATCACCACCTCCTCCATCCATATACTCTCTTGAGCGAAACCAAGCTGCCTCCTCTAGCTCAGCGACTCGAGAGGCACAATCATATCGCCTTTTTGGCCGGGTGCGCGGGTGTGTGTGGAATATGGAAACAAGTCGATATGTATTGTAGATAGGTGTGTGCGCATGTTGCTGTGAAACGCTTAGATGCTCGAAGGGTAGAGCATGATGCGAACACGAGCGGCGAAAGCCTGAGGAGGGATGTTGTGTGCGAACTTGGCACGAACAACACCCGAGTTACCGTGGGGACGGGTGATGCGACCCCAGATGACGCGGATCTTGGAGCCACGGACCTCCTTGGTGGCCTTGTAGACGTAGGCGACACGCTTGCCGAGGTAGAACTTGGCCTCGTCTGTCTTCTCGACACCCTCAATCTTGATGAGCGAGGTGTGGCACCTAGCGACGCGCTGCGAGCGCTTGTGGCCCATGATCCTTCCCTTGACGTAAAGACGAGACTGCAAGGAAGAAAGCAATTAAGAAGAGTACGGGAGGGGTCAGTGAATACTGCTGTTGGATACTGCTGTTATTGGTGGGTGTTGTCGATATTGAGAGAGCCCGCAAGGCAGGAAATGCCGACATCGCCAGATGTACATGTTTGGACATTGTGCTGAAGATACTGAATTAAGGTTGACGGAAGTTGGCCAACTAATACTGGAATGGTGTTGCAATGTCGATGGATTTCGATGCTGTAGGGGGCCGAGGATACGTTGGCTCGGACTGAATGCGGTTATCCTTGCAGGTCACCCGTCAACGTCTCTTTTCGCGAGGATGATGTCTTGACATATCGACCTAACGAAAGCCCGCCAAGGCTTCAGCCGGCAAAGCCTTTCACGAGTCGACAAGTGCACCTTGTTGCGCTTGCTCTCCGTGTCACCTGCAAACAGTCCTTGCCTACGGTCAGGCATGAGAATCCCCGATAGTTGCTGTTATCCGATTGACGATCTCTACAGAACTGCTACGATATCTTCCATCCAGAGCGCTTATGTTGTATGCAGTGGTTGTGTCGATTTGTCCTTGCGTCATTCCAACGGGGCACTCTACTACACTTCAACACAAATGACGATGTCTGATTTTCCTGGACGAGAGCGACTTGACCCGGAATGTAGCGATGCGGTGAGCGCAGCTGGCACTGATTGCGATGGTATGGATATAGTCGATATGTTGGGTATAGGTAGATGTCGATTTGGCGGGATGAATCCTACGCTGGCTGAAGATGATCGCGGATGCGACTGGATGTGACTGACTGCGTTGTCGAAGGGGCTCTCGTTCATCGATGATATCTTACCATTTTGACGAGGTGTGATGTGTTGATGGTCTTGACGGTGGAGCAGAAGGAGATGTCGACGACCAAGACACACTTTCTCAGCTGCTACAAGCGCAATTCCAGATTTCCATTGTTAGCGCAGCAGCACACACTCGACATTCTCACACTCGACATTCTCAACCTCAAAATCCTCCTTCCGATTCTTCCCTGGCTTGCAGACTGCGATTAAATCTTTCGAGGCAGCAGATGGCTTTCTTGACTTTCTTGACTTTCTTGACTTTCTTGGCTTTCTTTCCTTTTCATTCGAGGTCGGCCGAGGATGATATTTCGGCACGTGCTCAAAAACAGATCTCTTATCGACACCACAAGGCAACTCTGGCTCCCGATCCTGATCAAATTTCCAGATCCAAACTTTTCGAATTTCGGTGCTCACTTTTTTGTCAAGGAGGGTCCACGCTGCAACACGTTCAGTGTCGCGATCGTTGTCACTACCGCCACCACTCTCATCGACCACCTCCTTATCATCAACTTGGTCGACCGTTTCATTACACCAACACCCCCATAAATACTAAGCATCCGCGCTTGCAGCCCATTATGACGCGCACACGACACGGCAAAAAGACGCACCACGCTCGTCGCGATGTCAAGCGAGGCATGAGGACAAGAGCCATGAAGCTCCACCCTGATCAGATTCAGGCCAATCTCAAGGACCCCAAGAAGCTCGAAGCTTTGCAGAATCCCAAGGAGCTCGATGTCGAAAAGGCCGGTCTCGGTCTCTTCTACTGTGTCGAGTGCGATCGACACTTTCCTTCGCAAAAGGATCAGCTCAGCCACATGGCTTCCAAGTTGCACAAGCGTCGCGCCAAAAAGATCACCGAGGAGCCCGCCTACACGATCGAGGAGAGCTTGCGAGCTGTCGGTATCCGTATCGACAACAGGCAGCGAACATCAAAGCCCGCTGAAGAGCCCGTTCAGGAGATGGCCTGAGCGCACCAGCAGCTTTCCATTCGATCAGGCCCCCATATTTTCTACCTAGAGCGACCACGCCAACAGGAGTCCACGTCAGAAACTACCTGCCTCAAGTATCGCTGCCGCCCTCGTTGCGTCCCACTTGTGATCGTATCCAATGACGAGCTCAGCATCAGAGCGTAACTAGTGTAACACACTTGCGCTGCCTGCGATCCCCCATCAACGGTCTAACCGACGTCTTCCGCCGTTGCTCTCGCGGTCCTTTCAAACAGTTCCAGCTGATCTATTGCAGTCTCTTTACTATTGCCTAGCATCACCCATATACCCACAAGCATGTATTTTTACACAATCTCTATCCTTTCCATTTTTCGTCCAACACGTCGCTCAAACTTGTGTTTTCTCAGAAGTGCAGAAGCGCACAAGCGCACAAGAGTTCCTGCTCACCACTGCATCACAGAGAGGAAGAGGCTGAGCAATATCCTCTTGAATTGGGTGATATGGTCAACCTCGGGCCCACCTTTGAGGATGAGCTTCGTAGCTGTGAGTCAAGTATTCCGTATTCCGTATTCCGAATTCCGAATTCCGAGATTACAATGCGCAAGCCATGTCACGTGCAGCGCTGTTTCGCATCAAAGTTCAAGTCAACTTAACACGAAGATCAACACTCTGCTCTTCAACTTGGTCAACACTCGATCTTCCTTTTGCATCGCTCTGTTGACCACCTTCAAGCCTCTCACCACCCGCCACACCTCGGCGATTGAGCTGCATAGATTCATCATGGCAGCCAGCGGTGCATCAACCTCGATCGTCAGTTACGACTGGGGCACTTCATCCGATCTGAAGGCGTTCTACACACAGACATACACCATCTTCACATCTTTACAACGTATCCATCAGGAGGCTCTTCTCACAGATCGCGCAGGCCACGGTGCTGCAGGAACATCTGTGCTACCGTCTGCGGAGACGATTCAATACTACAACAGGATCAGCGAGCACTACGCACGAGCCGTCCAGGACTATCTTGAAAGGATACAGCTCGACGACTCTGTGGACACCGCACAGTTTCAGGCATGGCGAGATGCACAGACTATTCTTAGGCTCGCCGAGCTACTGTATTACCCAAAGGATGGTAGAGGCATCAGTGTCGTCGGCGAGGAGCTTCTGCATTGGCTCAACTCGTTCGACGTTGCACCCACCACTGAAGAAGGCCAGATGATTGCGGAATCGGCTGTCCCCCATGAACACCCTTCCTACTGGGACTATGTCCTTCGATGCCTGCTTCGCGGCTTCCACACCTCAGCAGCCTCTGTACTCAAGTCGCTCGACTCCCACTCTTCGCCTGTCATCCAGAGAGTAGCACAGAAAGCAGCCAAACTTCTCTCAACACTGCCGCGATCCACCAAGTTTTCCATGGAACACGAATTCGTCGCCGCACACCGCAGCTGGCTAGGATCAGTCCGCAAGCTCATCAGCAGTCTTGAAGCAGAGATGGACGAGATGGAGGCCGAAGCTGGTCACACCGAACAAGTTGAGGACGAAAGGCTGGAATACGAGGCGCAATTTAGGTGCCTTCTCGAGCTTATGGCAGGCGTCAAAGATCGCATCTTCGAGGCTTGCGAGGATTGGCGCGAGGCTCTCGGCGCGTGGGCCACCCTCGTACACCCGACACTGAAACGTGATGATGTGCCAACAACAGCGGCTATCATCCTAGAAAAGTTTCCTATCGACGGCACCATCCCAGGCGAAGCGGTACAGCAGCACTTGATCAAGGGAGAAGTAAGACAGGCGGTCCAGAAGGCACAGCAGGTGGACATCTGGCTTGGAGCGCATCTTGGCGACCTTGCAGACAAGGTAGGGCTGCTGGAAGACGAACAACAAGCAGAGACAAGCGACTTGCGCCAAGATTTGCTGCTCAAGTATGCCCAGGACCTGTTGGACGAGCAGGGATTGTGGAGGATCGGCATTGACTACTTGGCCGCGTGCGGGCCGGAAGGGAGGAAGAAGATCTCGCACGTCATCTTGTCTGTTCCACTGCACGGACCGGGGCTAGAAGAAGAGGATGACGACGATACTATGGACCAAGGTGCTGACGGCAACGATGCTCGTTCATCCAACAAGTCGTCAGAATTGGCCAGGGCAGAGCAAGTGTTGCGCGCATGCTCAGAACACGGACTCGAGACAGAGGCACGAGTGGTATGCCGCAGGATGTCACGATCTTTGATGGAGCAAGGGCAGTACGGAGTGGCGATCGCATACTGTGTGCGAGCATCAGACACAGTTCTCATTCGCACAATCGCGGATCGCATTTTGGGAGAATACGTGACGAAAGGCTCTCAAGCATTCAACGAGATCGTCGACTCGTTCCCATCCTCGCTCATCTCACCAGCTGACGGTCTCGACCTCAACGGCGAGGATATGGTCGATGAGCAGAAACTCACCCTCAGCAAACACGCACGAGGCTTCTTCTCCAAACGACTCGCCTTTCTCGCACGCTTCAGAGACTTTCACCGACTGTACGCAGATGGACAGTGGGCTGCTGCTGCGGGCCTCCTTGTTGAGCTCGTCACGACCGAAGCCGCGCCAGAGCGCTTCCTGGCCGTCTTGCTTGTCGATGCCATCCCGTTGCTCGAAGACGGTCAAGCAACCTGGTTCGACCGCTCTCAAACGTTCGAGCTGATCCGCATCGTCGAACGCATCACCAACGCTGTCTCGATGCACCCAGACATGTCGGAACACTTGCTCGGCTACCTCAATCAGCTGCTCGGCGTCGAGCAATCTCGGCAACAAAGCCAGAACAAGGAAGCAGGATACAACAAGCAGGTCTACCCGGTCAAGCCTTCTGACAAGCTCGATGCAGTGAGGCTGTCATTGGCACGCAACCTGGCACGTGTAGGAGTAATGCAAGCTGGCATTGCTTGATACAGGAGCTACAATCTAAATCTGCACTGATACCGTCTCATTCTTGTCTGGCTGCACTGTGGAATGATGTGAGCTGGGTCTGTGAAGGTGATGTGTCTCTGCTCTGACAAGCTGAATGAAGGCTTGAGTGAACATGTAGTGATGGCCAGGGCCTCCCAGTGAGAAGGTGGAGCGCTGAGCCTGCTGATCGTGCCGATTCCAAGAAGAACGCCAAGGTGTCGCGTAAAGTGTGTCGCGTAAAGTGAATCGCGTAAAGTGAATCGCGTAAAGTGAATCACGTGAAGTGGAATCAGACCCACGTGACACACGCCCAAATGCTGATTTGCGGAAAAGAACAACAGAGTGCAAAGCTCAACTGTCTTATGCTTCTTACCCTTCATACCACACCACTTTTGATCGGCATGGTCTCCAAGCAGTCACTACGGTCCGAATTGCAACAGCCCTACGATCCATCATACACAGCGCACGACTGCCGACATGAGCTCGAAAGGCAAAGGAAAAGCGGACGACACCAGCGCTTCGGCGTCCGCTACGGACCTCGACCTCCTCCCATGGGTGGAAAAGTATCGTCCTGCCACTCTTGAAGACCTCGTATCCCACAAAGACATCACATCGACCATTCAGAACTTCATCGACAGGAATCGGCTGCCACATCTCCTCTTCTATGGTCCTCCTGGTACAGGTAAAACATCGACCATCTTGGCCATGGCGAGAAAGATCTTTGGCCCACAGTTCCGCAACAGCGTTCTAGAGCTCAATGCCTCCGACGACAGAGGTATCGAGGTAGTCAGAGAGCAGATCAAGGGTTTCGCCAGTACGAAGAGCGTCTTCAGCTCCAAAGGCGGCTTTAAGCTGATTGTGCTTGATGAGGCTGATGCCATGACACAAGCAGCACAGGGTGCTTTGAGAAGAGGTAAGTTACCGCACATTACAGCTTACACTGGCACAGTCGTACTAACTCTATCCGATCTCTCCCTCGGTGATATGGACAGTGATCGAGCAATACACAAAGAATGTTCGATTCTGCATCATTTGCAATTACGTCAACAAGATCATCCCTGCTATTCAGTCCCGATGCACACGTTTCCGTTTCAACCCGCTGCAGCTCGACCAAGTGGAAGACCGTCTGAACCATGTCATTGAGAATGAAGGCTGCAAGATCACACAAGATGGCAAGGAAGCACTGCTGAAACTCTCTCGTGGTGATATGCGTCGTGCACTCAACGTCCTACAAGCCTGTCATGCAGCATCAGATCACATTGACGAAACAGCGGTCTACAACTGCACAGGAAACCCACACCCTTCCGACATCGAAGCAATGCTCAAGTCGATGATGCAAGAGGAATTCACAACAGCATACACAACCATCTCCGGGTTGAAGACAGCAAAGGGTATCGCATTGGCAGATATGATCAGTGGAGTGTACGACTTGTTAGCGACAATCAAGTTGCCGGCTAAGTCGAAAATTTACTTGCTCGATCATCTTGCGCATACAGAGTAAGTTAGAGCTGCCAGTTGCCATTGTAGCTGTCGAATCTAAGACTAATGAAGCTCGATACTGACCCCTTTCTGTGCCATCTCTCCTTGCACATTACAGACACCGTTTGAGTACAGGTGGCTCGGAAAAGATCCAACTGACAGCTTTGCTCGGTGCAGTCAAGGTCGCTGTAGAGCTCTCACAGGCATAAAGCAGCACACAGCTCATCGCAATCACAGACATCTCACACCTTGCAGATCGCGTACAGTACAGTACATGTGAGTGTAGACAGCCACAGTCTCTCTCACATCAGATGAGACAGGGTAAACGTATGTGAATTGCCAGCATGAATGCAAAAGAATCAACAAGCTTGAACGGAAAGGCTCAAGCAATGGGAGCCTGATTCTGCCAAACCAAGTCAAGCTCCTCCCTAAGCGTCTCCTCCCTAAACCTCAACCTGATATCCGGCACATTACTCTTGGCAACAACATTGCCTCTAGGACCAGCAAGTTGGAAGTTAGGACCCAACCAGTGTCGTTTGATCTCCATCTCCCATCCTGACTGCAAGACTGAGTTACGTGCTAGTTCGCACATGTCTGCCGGGGTCAATTTGTAGATCTGCGTCGCGACCGAGTATTCTTCCAGCAAGGGCTCTTTGGATAGATGGAACTGCAGAGGGTCATCAGTGCTGATGCTGACGTTCATGCCCATTTTGAGGAAAGTAGGGAAAGGATTGCGCTCGTAGGAGAGGAAGAGAGCATTGTTGCTCAATGGCGACATGGCCAAACCGATCTGCTTGAGATAGTAAAGGTACTGCAGAGCCGGAACTTTGCGAAGCAAGATACCGTGAGAAATCGACTGCGAAGTCAAAAAGGCAGCAGCCATGTGATCAGTGTCACCTGCTTCACCAGCATGAGGTCGAAGGACAAACGTGTTGAAGCCACGAAGCTTGCGCCACTGATTGAGACTGGAGATGTTGGCAAACATGTAATAAAGCCAATAGTTGTACGGCGGACTATGCTTGAAGTGCCACAACTTGGGTACGGGGAACTTCTTGTGAACACGTCTCTCGGGCTTGCTTTCATCGTCAACAAGATCGAAGCCAACAACACGCTGCAGGAAAACGTGCAGCTTGCGATGGCTCTGCGGATTCTTAGTAACCTCGAACAAAGGCTCATAGACATTACGAATAATCTGCTCGAAGTTTTCAACAGTGCCGTTGGCCTTATAGACATCATAAAGACGCGGTACCTGGATGAGCCATCGGACATTAGGGCTGAAAAGACCATTGTCAACAACCCAGCTGGCGAGTTTATCCCATTCACCCTTAGTCCTTCCATAGATGGAAACACGATATTCGGCCATCTGATACTTGCTCTGCTCGAGATCGGCCATAACCTCCTTGGTGAGTTCAGCCAGATACCTGCCCTTGATCAGGTTATCCGTCTTGAGGAAGATCTCGCGCAGACGTGATTCGCCCATAGGATTGTATTTCAAGTTGAACTTGTCGAAGCGGTGGAAGGCATCCTGATGAGCGTGCATGTCGAGAGTGTCAATGCTGAGATCGTAGGCGGTAAGGTTGAGCGACTCGAAAACTTGCTGCAAAGTGAGATCCTTTCCATCACGATGAATAACAATGTCGTCGGGGAAGCGCTTGATCTTGGCCTTGATGAAGCGGAGAAGATGCTTCTGGTTCATGGAAGCACTGTGGTGGATGTGGGTATCCACCTTACGAACGTTGTAAAAGTCACGGTGAGGGACTCGCTTCATGTCGGCAAGCTCGCGATATTCGTTGAGAAGGAAGTAGAGGTTCCACTTGCTTTCCAGGTATTTGAGACGACGCCAAGCGTAACTCTTAACCGGTCCGTCAGAGATGACGCTGAGGAGGTAGTCGAGGTCCCTGAAGTACTCTCGAATGGTGGGCACATTGAAGAGTGGTTGCTTCCTGTGTCCAGTCGGGATAGTGGCAGGGGCGGGTTCGTCGACGTTCTGTGTAGGTGTAGAAAGTGCGACGGGTGCTTCACCTTGGTAGACCTGAATGACACCGGTCTCATCCATGTGCCAAGTCAGCTGGGAGCCATCTCGAACGTGTTGATCGGGGATGACGACATCTTGTTCGCGGTAGAGGCCAGGTTTGCCTCCAGTGCTTTCAAGCAATGCCTGAGCAGCCTGAGCATTTGCGGGACTGGCAGGGGGAATGGGAGGTGGAAGGGGGTTGACCGAGGTAGGACGCACGACAAAGGATGACTCGGGTGGCGGGTTGAAGAGTTCCCAGTGGGGGCGAGGTGGGGCAGGGTAAATGCGCCATGGCTTTGGGGTATCTGTGTTCGGATGCAGAGAAGAGCCATCGATCTTGATAGATCCTTCGGGGACAGGCCCAGATGTGGCTTGGGGAGTCTTGTCCCCACTGGCAGCTGCATAACGCGCACAGTATTCGGCGTCCCAGTTCTTCGGGTTGTCCTCCATGGAAGCCTGCAAAGCGACACCCATGTACTTGTCCCTGAGTTGGAGACAGGTCTGCAAGCTGGTGTAGAGAGCACGAAGTTCGCCGGAAAGCTCAGAGTGAACAGCGACATTGGATGCGCTCAAGTGGTTGGGGTCGGCACCGGCTGGAGCAGCGAGAAGAGCATGAGGCGCAGCTCCGAGGCCAGCAGCGGCAGCAGCGGCTTCAGCAGGGGAAGCGGCGAAATGAGCTTGATCCTTGGCGGCTTGAAGGTTGCTATGCGTAGGCAGTGAAGCCTGATTGGGCTGACCATCGTGAAAAATGGTGGCAACGTTGGGAGGAGGGACGTGGCTGCCATCACCAGAGACATCGAGGTCAGCGTTGGAGCTGCGATCCTCCTGGAGCGAGGCGGAAGAGAAGACGGAGGACCTCTCTGCGAGCCAAGTGGAGGCAAAAGTAGGCTCGAAGTCGTTCTGCGAGGCAGCGGTGAACGAGCCCTGGAGACGAGAGGGGATCTCGATGGCAGGACTGTTCTGGTGGGACGAAGAAATGCGTCTGTGCGCCCAGGAGTGTCCGTCAGATTCGTGAAGACGCTTCTCATCTGCTTCGGAATAGTGGGAGGCATCTGCCCGAGTAGCAGGAGGGGTACGGAGCGAAGCATTGTCTTGTTCGAATGCAATTCTGTCGCTGGAAGCCGGAGAGGAGTTTTGCCTGGTGGAGGACTGCATGCTAACGTTCCGTGCCAAGGCGGAGAGTTCGACATCAGCGCTGTTTGGGCTTCGAGTAGCGCACATGGTATGCATGCTCTTCAGCCCAAGGGGGATTAAAGAATAGAATAAGTTAGTTCAAAGATACGAGTCACACGATTGCAGTGACTGCCGCTTTCGCTTTGAGGATGATGGAATCCAACGAGACTAAGATTAACAAGACGACGACAAGAAGGGAAACGAGCAGGAGGATAGAAAGCTTCTTTTTTGTTTTTTTTTTGCCGAAGGATAAAATATGATGATATATGCTGACATAATCCTAATCGGGGATCGGGCGGGGGCGGAACCGATCTCTCCAGAGATCGGGTACAACACAGTTACGCTCGTTGTCAGACGCGTCTCGCTTGAAAAGACGCGTCGAATCTTTCACGCCTTGCAGATCGGGGAGAGAAGAACAACACTGTTTTGTGCGAGTCGAACATCTGTTCACCAACTTGCTGGTGCGCCATCATCTAATTCACCCTAGCCTGCTCTCGATCATGGACAACGCTCTGCAATCTCTATCCAATACGCTCGACGCCATCAACTCGCGCCAGGCCGCTGCTCGAAGGCGCGCCAGGAAGGGCGCCGATGTCACTCCATTCACTTCGGCCGTCTTGAACCGCGAAGGGCTCGAGATCTACACCTACATCCGGGACGCCGACCCTCAGACGGAAGCGAACCTCTTCTGGTATCCACCTCTTCCTCAGTCAGCCTCAGCATCTCGTGCTGGACCCAGCTCGTCGACTCACGGATCCGCCCACCTTGCACCCGGTCGTACGAATGGCGGTGCCCACATCAACGAGGACGCCAGTGAAGCAGATCTCCTCCTCGCTCCTCGCTTGCCCGAACCTCGTCATGTCGCTCCTCCTACACCGCTCCGCAACACTAATGCTTCCAACAAGCAGACTTTCCAGTCCCAGTCTGAGCAGGGCGTCGATCCACGCGTCTTGCTTCAAGCAGCACAGCGTCTCAATGACACCTGCGGCAAGGGCTCCAGAACACGCAAGCACATCAAGGGTCTTATCAAGACGCACGCCTCGCTCAACCAAGCCATCAAGGCTTACGAACAGCAGATCCGTCAAAGTGAGAATCAGCTCCGCCTCACTGCTCAAGGCAAACCCATTGGCACTTCGCAAGTCTCCTCAACCTCGTCTGAGACGCCGCAACTCAGCAACGCCGATGCTGCTACCGATGAAATCCATGCGCACATTTCCGAGGTGCAGGAGGCAATTCAGAAGGAGCAACTTGAGATCCTTGCTCTCGAAGAGATGATCGCAGAGTTGCGCCAGGCACGCTTTGACCGCCAGAAACAGCAACTCGAGAAGCAACAACGCGCAGAGGCTGCGGCCGAGTTGAGCAAGGTACCATCTCAATCAGCACAGACGTCTCGCCGATCCATGCTACCACGCCACTCCCTTGCCAACGCGGACCAGGCTGACGCTACTGCGCAGCACGCAGCACAACAATCCGATCCGGTCGCCGACGACCAAGATCAAGAGCTGCTTGGCAGCAGAGTCGATCTCACTCACCAAGACGAAGAGGAGCAAGTACAACAGCTTCAGCACAACCCCGAACCTCAGTATGAAGTGCATCAGCGACAAGAGCCCGATGTCTCGCTTGCACGAGAGCAGCACAACTTGTCCACAACTCGATCTTGCGACGATACCCCTGACCTCGCTGTTCAGCAACCTCGAGAGGCAGAACCTGTCGAATCTTTCGAGACTCAGGACAGCGTGGCAGACACATCTGCAGTCATCGAGCCTGTTTCCACGGCTGAAGAAGCCACCGTGGTGTCTCAACAGTCTCAACAACCGCAGCTGCTCGCAGCAATGGGCCAGAGCTCTGATGAGCTGCAACGCGTCACCCAGAAGGTATGGGAGGTGTTTGGCGATGCCTTGCGATCCGTTGCGCCCGGACGTGAGCGCGCTGACTATCACGATACACTTGACCTCTTGAAAGCGCTCATGACGGGTGGCGACAAGCCCAACGCCGGCGACTACTCGGTTGGCTCTGTCCAGACCTCTTCCACCCTCTCCACTGCTGCCAGTGAGGCTTCAGCGGCAGCTTCAGCCCAGCTGACCCCCGAGGTTCTCATGACTGCTTTTGTCATCTTCCAGATGCTTGTATCCGAGGAGCCGCATCGTATGAATATCGACCAACTCAAGCTGCGCGGTCACGAGTGGTGGTCCACCTCAGGCATGCAGGTCTGGCTTCATGCACGCTCGCATGACGAAAATCATGTTGCCATCCGCGCAGAAGCCTTCGAAGATGGTCAGAACCTGGCAAGGAAAGCGACGTACGGAATGATCTCGAAGCAGCTCTTTGCCATTAAGCGACAGAAAGGTGTCGGTCTCGTAGGCTTCGCTTAGGCTTGTCCGCGTCCTCTTCCTCTTGGCTCTAAGTAGCGTAAATACTATATTTCGGAATGCTTATCCTATTGGTCTAGCGGGTATATTGTAATATAATCTAGTGTACATCGATGCAACCTTCTATTGATACTCCATCATTCGCTTGTGAGGATGCCGACCATGGCGGTGTCGATCATTGAATCGATGTTGACCCATGAATGCGTAAGAGCTGTTTGAGTTGACGATGAGCAGAAAGAATCAGATTCGGCCATGTCAGAATCAGGTGTGGTGACTGCATCATGGAGCGCACAAGATCATACCTACCAAACAGTCGTGTGCCATCACGGCCAGCGCAACGCATCAACTCGTCCTCTCCGCCAGGGTGGAAAGGAAGGTAAGGTGTGATATTGTACACCTTACCATAGAAAGCTGACCACGCATCCTCTGGCGTGTTATGCTTCTTGAGTTCGGACGGCGTCACCCTCATTAACGAGGTGACCCCGCCTCTTAGATCGGTGCTGTTTTTAAGTCTAGCCCAATCCAGTGGACTGCATCCGGGAGCGAGTGCAACTTTCTTTCGACGTTTACCTCCTGCACCTTGTACGCCTGAAGCCCCTCCGACACCCACTGGTGCCGTCAATGCTGATGTCGATGGTGGCGCAGCAAGGCCGCCGCTCCGTGGAGGCGCCAGGCCTGATGGCGGTGCCATGAGTGTATTCGAGCTTGTCGATGGTGGCGCGACCGACTGCAAGAATGTTGAGACCTTGGATGGGCCGGCTGCCTTGCTCGTCGAGGAGCTCTGCCTCTGCGCGCTATTCAAGCTGGGGAAAGCGGGAGGTGCATCATCGTCTTGAACGGCAACCTTGACGCCTTCGGTGGCACTTGAAAAGGATTCGGCATCTGAGTCCGAGTCGTCACTGCCACCTCCAGCAGTTGTAGAGATCCGGATGCGGTTAAGATTGATACCTGCAAGTTCGCCAGGTGCGACTGAAGCGGCCATGATGCTACAATGATGCTGCCAAGCCACAAAGCCTGATTCGATAGGAGAAAGAGAGATGATGGTTGGCAAGTATGCAACGGTGGCAACAGTTTGGCATTTGTACGTCGCGGCTAGCCAAATGAGGAAACGTAATTACGTAATTACACGATTACGTAATTACACGATTACGTAATTACATGATTACGTAAGTACAATATCACATAATTACGTAATCACTAGTAAGCTGCCTGAGCTGGGAGCTGCGTTTCGTGGCGGTGTCCCCGCCATGTTGTGCGTGAGAGGGTTGTGTGCATCAATTCGGCAGGTGCATCAACGCACGGACCAGCAACTTGAGGCTCAGTTCGCAGTTGCAATTTGGTGTCGTCTGACTTCTCACACGCACCTCGAGACTCTTTCTGTCGACACTTCCACCATACAATCGACCCCTCTCGACTTCTGCGCAGCATTCTCATCCGCTAGACATTTGCCTACCGTCCATTTCCAACCTGGCGATAGCGAAGCAAGATGTTCACTGCCAAGAATCCTTTTGAGGACATCGTCCTCAAGGCAACTTCGGAAGAGCTCACTTCTGAAAACTGGGAGCTCAACCTCGAGGTTTGTGACAAGGTCTCCTCCGGAGGAGAGTCTGCGTAAGTAGCCCAACGTCCGTCTTTCCGCCTCGGCCAAGCTCAGATCTGACAAAGTTTCAACTCGCTTCATCCGCAAACCTACAGCGCTCGGAATTGCGTCGCAGCCATCCAGAAGCGCCTCGTACACCGCAACGCCAATGTCCAGCTGTACGCTCTCACTCTCGCTGACGCTGTTGCAAAGAATTGCGGACTCACCGCGCATCAAGAACTCGCCGGCAGATCTTTCACCCAGACGCTTGCCAGGATCTGTCTCGACCGCAACACGCATGCTACCGTCAAGAAGCGATGTTACAGCCTTGTTAAGGAGTGGGCGGGAGAGTTTGATGATGAGAGCCTGGGTCTCATGAAGGATACTTACGAGTCCCTCAAATCTCAAGACGCTGTCGTTGAAGACGAGGGTCCATCCACACAGCCACGCGAGCCAACATCCGAGCAGCTCCGGGCTGAAGACGAAGAGCTTAGGAGGGCTCTCGAACTCTCATTGAAAGACCAGGGCGGTCGCAATGCATACAACAGCTACGATGACCAGCAGGCGGAAGCTTCTGGCTCTTCCGCACCCGTGGCCGCTGCCGCTGCCGCTGCTTCTAGCTCCTACTCTCAGCCACAAACATCTCAGTACTCCGCTCCCCCAGCGCAACAGCACTCCACCAACGCAAATGCAAGCACCTCAGCAGCGAGCGCTCACCCAGCCGCGCCATCGGCCGCAGCTATACCAGCTGTTGCTTCTCGCGTTCGTGCTCTGTACGACTTCTCGCCTAACGAACCGGGCGAGCTTGCATTCTCCCGCGGAGAGATCATCAGAGTCCTTGACAGCGTCTACGAACATTGGTGGAGAGGCGAGGTTCGAGGAGAGGCCGGAATTTTTCCCGTCAACTACGTTGAGATCTTGCCAGATCCTACCCCGGAGGAGCTTCAGAGGGAGGCAGAGATGGAGGCTCGCATCTTCTCTCAAGCTGCCGACATTGACAGGCTGCTGAACAAGCTTCGCAGCCTTGACCCTGTGCGCGACAATCTTGCTGAAGATGAAGAGCTGCAAGAGCTGTACCAAAAGTCGCTAGCCATGCGACCCAAGATTGTTAAGCTTATCGACCGCTACAGTAACAAGATCACCGAGCTCAAGGCCATGAACGACAAGTTTGTTCACGCGCGCGGATCATTTGACGAGATGATGGAGCAGAGCCTGTCCAGGTACAATCCTGCCGGTCACTCGAGTCAGGACTACCTTCGCCCTCGTCCCGAGCTCCAGCACCAAGCTTCGGCATCTTCGGCTGACTACGCACAACACCATGGATACTCGAACCCGCATGGCTACCCGGCTCAGTCTACGCCCGGTGTGCCAGCACCTCACGATCAGCAGAGCCAATACCCCTACAACCCTCAGGTACAGCATGGCTATCCCCAGTCCACCGGACCCGCCCCTGTCGATCCCAACTACGGACCCAGCGCTCATGCTGGCGCTCAACCGCAACACCAACCTCCCTTGACCTATCCTGGGATGCCACAGGACCAGCAGTATCAACCTACTCCTCACGACGATGAGAAGCGTCGCCTATACGAACGGGCGAGAGCTGAGAGCGAGGCTTTCCAACAGCAGCATTTCCAGCATCCCCAGGGTCACCCATCGAGCAATGGCTACAATCCAGGTTATCCGTCTCAGCCTGATGCATCCGGCCTCAACCAGCAGATGGGCAACATGAATATTGGAGGTTCCAGCAGCTATCCCTCGCATCCTGTCGGTCACTGATGGCGAAGATGATTGCAATTCTACAAAACTCATGTCAAGCTACGATTCGGTCCGTGTATTCTGAAAACTTGCACCTTGTCACTGAGATGTGAGATCCTTCTACGTAGAGGCTGACCGTTCCTCCCATCTTGATGGCAGGGACTAGTCCACCATTGGCAGTGGTAATGCTGACTGCGTTGTCCATGTCTTGCCAGCCTTTCCCGTATTGAGAGGAATTGACCATAACACAAGATGAGTTTGTACTCCTTTGCGGCGGAGTGTTCTGTGCACTTCTTTATTGCCCAGTCAAATAAGTCCACAGCAATTGGTACCGGATAATTGCTGTGCTCAGTGAAGTACTCAGTACACAGCTTGTTGGAGAAGCTACACATGATGATTGAACTGAGCAGAGAGTCTGCATCCTCAAAAGTTGTCACCTTTTGGTCAAGGACATTTCGAGCAAAGGGGACAACAGACAGCACCATGAACATCTTGCGACACCAAGCGTGCACTGAGACTGACCTTGGGTCAAGGAGGTCTTGCTCATCCCATCTCATCTTTTTGTTTAAACCAGAGAGTACCTTCAAGTGTTGGTTTGAGAGTGTGTTAAGCTCGGGGGTGGATGTCAGCAGTCGCACGCCTGGAACCCGAAATCTATTTATTATAAAAGCTGACTAGGATCTTTCTTGGCAAAATCTATTGTACAGCACGTGCATAAACTGTCCCATAATTTTACATGTCACCATACATCACTCTAATGCTCAATAGCTATAAGTTGTATTGCCACACTGTCTGATATTGTCTGAAAGCCCTGCTTCTTCTCTCCAAGACTGTGTAAATGATATTGACATTGACTAAAAAAATTGTGCTATGAAGAAGAGCCGATTTTTTTTTTTTAATTGTGGGACAGTTTATGGAGCACTCCTCAACAACACCTTAGTACTTTGTATTCCCTCCTTTGGCCTTCAGAACTGCCTTGATGCAGTCTGGCATGCTCTCTATTAGTGTCCTACATGTCTCTGGAGTGATCACTGTCCATTCAGCTTCACATCTCTTGAGCAGTTCATCCCTGGACTTTGCAATCATACTATACCATGAAAGTCACATTTTGAGATGGTGCCAGAGGTGTTCAATCAGGTTTAAGTCTGGTGACTGTGCTGGCCATTGCATAACCTTAATGCTATTACTTTCCAACCACATTATTGTCTTCTTTGACATGTGTTTTGGGTCATTGTCTTGCTGAAACATGACATCAGTGTATGCATGCTGAAGCTGCAAATCTGAGATTGTTTTTAAAAGCTTGTCATTCAAGATATCAATGTATTGGTCTGAATTCATTGAACCCAGCACCAAGTGCATACCTCCCACCCCTTCCCACATCATACAGCCCCAGATCATGATGGAGCCACTGCCAAACTTGACCATCAGCCTGACAAGCTTGCTGTTGAAGCTGGTGTCAGGGGTCTCGCGCCTGAAACCCAGGTCAGTCTGTCGAGATACTCAGTGATTATCAAACTGTGTGACAGCTATTGTCTCAGTATCAATCTTGATGAGCCAGTCATTCGGTGACTATCAAGTTGTGCAATGACAGCAGGTGGCATTGGTTGTATATACTATCGTAGGTTTCGGCTGACCTCTGTGGACACTCCATTCAGGGGTAGCTCAGCATGATCAATATCAATACATAGGTTGTGATGACACCAAGGTCTGGTGTGAGTGTTGATGATGATGAGGTTGATGGTGTGGGTGATAAGGTTGGTGAATGTCAATGATAATGAGGTTGATGGTGTTGGTGGTGAGGTTGGTGGCATCAACACAAGTGTCCAGTGTGTTGACTGATGCTTGAAGTGATCCCCGAACTGCAGTGGACTACTGCCTTTGGTTCTATCTTGATCTGGACTGCTAACCTGCTATGGGGCGCCTTCGGATGTCAGGTAGTGGTGATACAACACACACACTATGATGAGGAGCAACCTTGATAGATTGCTGCTATGCTGACTGAAACTAATATATACTTATGCTGAAGTGATAACTAGTTATGATGGTTGTGTAGAGTGGATGAGGATCCACTTGACCTTTGATGATGAGAAAGCATGGTTATATACCTCTTCACAGCATCACCAGCGACACTGCTCCTGCTCTCTCTCCAGAGAGTACCTTCTTCATCGAGTACTGTTCAGGGGGCCTCTCCTGCTTGCTTGGCACCCCTGTGCCTCTTGAGCTGTGTCGACTCCTTTGACACTGCTCCTCCTCCTCAGGACCTGCTTGCCAGTTCCCTATACACTGCTCCTTCTCCTTTGACTGGTGATGGTTCCTTTGGCTCTTGTCTCTCGAGCCCCCTGAGTGGTAACCATCTGCATGCTCCTTGAGCTTGGTCCTCCTTGTGGCTGTGCCTGGCCCTCCTCGCATATGGCTCAGTGCTCCTTTGCATGTGAGTCCATAGGAGTCCATGGTCTCCATGGAGACTGCACTATGACCATGCTCTCTACTGGTATCGACGAGATCTCCGATACCTGTGCTCCTTCCATATGAACCAGTGACCCTCCTGCTTCTTGAGCATTTAGGCCCATGACAGCTGGCATTCTTAATCCAACAGAACTGCTTACCATCTGGTCCAAAGGAGTTGATCTTCATCTCATTGGACCATACCACATTCTTCCAATCCTCAACAGTCATGTCCTTGTGCTCATTAGCAAATTTGAAATGGGCTTTGGAATGTCTCTTGAGTAGCTTCAGTTTTTTCACTAACCTTCATGCTTTGTAATGACAGTAATGAAGTGCTTTTCTTACTGTGGTTGGGCATGCTTTGATTTGAAATGTCTCCTGCAGTGCATGACATGCTTTCCTGACTGTGGAGGTTGAATTGAGCTCGAAATAGTGATCCAGGAAGCAAACATGATGAGGCTGGAGTTTTCTTGGCCAGCCCCCCTTTGACTTTGGAACATCAGCAGAGGTGCTTTTGCTGATGCAATTCACTGTAGACTTGCTCATACCAAGTTGTTCTGCAACTGAACAGATAGATTCCCCATTTTGGATGTGAAAGAGTGCCAATCAGTGCCTCTCTGGGGTGGTTTTTGGCATGATGGTATAGATATGATGGTGTCAGACTGGAAGTGCCACTGGATCACTTGCAGTCATCTGATTGAGCTGAAACTTTCCATGTCACTACTTTTGATGTATATGAAGGCTCCCACCAAGTTACATTGCAAGTTTCATTGTAGTCAACAGCCCACAAGGTCAGGAATGGAGTGGTGTCACTATTTGGGAGCATGCTCCATAAACTGTCCCACAATAAATTTTTTTTTGGCTCTTCTTCATAGCACAATTTTTTTAGTCAATGTCAATATCAATTACACAGTCTTGGAGAGAAGAAGCAGGGCTTTCAGACAATATCAGACAGTGTGGCAATACAACTTATAGCTATTGAGCATTAGAGTGATGTATGGTGACATGTAAAATTATGGGACAGTTTATGCACATGCTGTATAAGCCTTTTAGGATCTTTCTCACTGGAATAGATTGTAACACAGAATTAGAACAGATTCTGACTAACCATTGTGGACACTCTGTCCAGTGGTAGTGTGGCACAATCAAGATCCTAGCAAACCTACTTGAGACTACACCAGGGTGTGGTGCAACAGCATCTGTCTTGACACAAGTGTCTGCAATGTCAACAGTTGCACAATTGATTGATTGAATGGTAACTGGACCACAGTGGACAACTTCCTTTGGTATGAGATTGAGAGTGCTAGACTGCAGAGACTGCCTTTGGTATCAATCATTATCTGGACCACAGTTGAGAACTGCCTATGGACATTGTCAATAGTGGTGATACAACACACATGCTACAATAGAAGCAATGCTCTGCAATTTCAACTGTTTGATGTAATACCAAGTATACTTGTTGTGAAGCTATAGCTAGTAATATATGGTGTAGAGTGGATGGGGATCCACTTGCCTACCATGAATAGAATACATGTCTTATATCAACATCTATCAACATCTCCCACAGCGTTGCCTGCAATGCTGCTCCTGCTATACCAAGAGGTGTACCCTCTTCGTTGAGCACTGCTTTTCCTCCTCCTTGTGGTCAAGCAGCTCCATTGTCAGTTCATCATTGATAGGGGTTGCCCCCACTTCATCCAAGTGGTAAAGCGCACCCCCTTTCATCCTGCTCCTGATGGTGGCACCCACCTCCTTGCACCTAGCTCATCATCGTCTAGGGCCCCTACCTCATTAGGCAGCAGCTCGTTTCTTGCCCGTTGTCTTCTTATTGCAGGATTGGTAATAGAAGCATCTTCTCATTGGCTTCCCTGAGATCTGTTGTACAAGCATGTTACTACTGATCCCAGCAGGTTCTGTAGTAAGATGTTGCTACTGCCGATCTTGACAGGTTCTGCCATAGAGCCTTTGATCCTACCGATCTCACTGAGCTCTGTCAGAAACCTCTTGTAGCCCACTCCACGATTTGCTGCGCATGGTCACTTCATATGACTCCAGTTCTTCCTGCGCATCCCTCCGGCCCTATGACAGGATGGAGATCCACTCAGCCACTGTGACAAAGAGAATGTGTGTTTATATGGACATCCTCGCAGTGTCGCCTGCAACACTGCTCTTGCTCTATGAGGCCTCATTCAACACTGCCCCTTGTCCATCCTACAGTCCCTGCCTTTCTTATGATGTCCCCTCTTCTTTAGCACTGCTTCTCCTGCTCCTTGTGGATGAGGGGTCCTCATGCTGTTTCATCATTGATAGGGGTCATGTCATGGGCCTGGATGCTCAAGAAGCAGGAGGGTCACGGGTTCATATGGAAGGAGCACAGGTATCGAAGATCTAGTCGAGATCAGTAGAGAGCATGGTCGTAGTGCAGTCTCCATGGAGACCATGGACTCCTATGGACTCACATGCAAAGGAGGGCCAAGCACAGCCACGAGGAGGACCAAGCTCAAGGAGCAGGCACAGCCACGAAGAGGACCAAGCTCAAGGAGCAGGCACAGCCACAAAGAGGACCAAGCTCAAGGAGCATGCAGATGGTTACCACTCAGGGGCTCGAGAGACAAGAGCCAAAGGAACTGTCACTGATCAGAGGAGGAGGAGCAGTGTCGAAGGAGTTGACACCAGGTCATGAGGAGGAGGAGCAGTGTCGAAGGAGTCGACACAGCTCAAGAGGCACAGGGGTGCCAAGCAGGAGAGGCCCCTGAGCAGTACTCGATGAAGAAGGTACTCTCTGGAGAGAGAGCAGGAGCAGCATCACTGGCGATGCTGAGAAGAGGTATATAACCATGCTTTCTCATCATCAAAGGTCGAGTGGATCCTCATCCACTCTACTCACCATAACTAGTTATCACTTCAGCATAAGTATATATTAGTTTCAGTCAGCATAGCAGCAATCCATCAAAGGTTGCTCCTCATCGTAGTGTGTGTGTTGTATCACCACTACCTGATGTCCAAAGGCGCCCATAGCAGGTTAGCAGTCCGGATCAAGATAGAACCAAAGGCAGTAGTCCACTGCAGTCCGGGGATCACTTCAAGCATCAAGTCAACACACCAGACACTCGTGTTGACACCACCAACCTTATCACCAACACCATCAACCTCATTATCATCGACATCACCAATCTCATCACCAACACCATCAACCTCATCATCATCAACACTCACACCAGACCTTGGTGTCATCATAACATTGATATTGATCATGCCGAGCTACCCCTGAACGGAGTGTCCACAGAGGTCAGCCGAAACCTACAATAGTATATACAACGAACGCCACCTGCTGTCACTGCACAACTTGATAGTCACCGATACCGAGACAATAGCTGTCGCACAGTTTGATAGTCACCGAGTATCTCGACAGACCGACCTGGGTTTCAGGCGCGAGACCCCTGACAGGTCACACCCACTTCATCCAAGTGGCAAAGTGACCCACTTTCATCCTGCCCCTGGTGATGGCACCCATCCCTTTGCACCAAGTTCATTGTCATGTAGAGCCCCCACCTCATCAGGGTGTCAAACCCAACATCAGTACTGCATGTCCCTTTATGAGATCTGTGAGAGAGGCTCCCTCCAGTTGGTTCCTGTGAGATCTGTCATATGGTCATGATACTACTGATCCCAACAGACTTCCCTGTAAGATCACACTTGTACCAATTCTGATGACTTCTGTCATAGGATCTCAATACTACTGATCTCAATGAACTCTGTTGGAACTCTTCATTGGCCCAATCCTATGATTCCTGTGCATGGTCTCTTCTCCTATGATCCCAGTTCTTCTTGCGCATCCGGTCCTATGACACTCTACTATTGGTCCTGTAGGGGTCTCGTCATGTCCCTACGTTTGCTCCTCCTGCTCCTTGTGGTCAAGGAGACCCAGTGTTGCTTCATCATTGATAGGGGTTGCTCCCACCTCCTCTGAGTGGCAGGACACACCCTCTTTCATCTGCTCCCACTGATGGCATCCATCCCCTTATGCTGAGTTCATCATCACCTAGGGCCCCTCCTTCATCTGGGTGGTGAGCCCTATCTTCACATGCCCCATTGTCCTTCTATTGCTAGGGGTCATCTGACCCCCACACCTTGATCATCTTCTCCTGGGCGGTGTGTCTTGCAAGATTGGTGTGATTAGCCCCCTTGACTTGGTTTTGTCAAGATCTGTCATACAGCCCTTGTTCTGCCAATCCAGATGAGTTCAATTGTAAGGTCTCTCTTCTGCCAATCTTGATGAACTCTGTTGAAAACTATTTATTTGCCCAATTCCACGATTCGTGCACATGGCACTCCCATCTGCGCACCTTGTCCTATGACAGTGGGCCCCGGCGTAGCATCTTGACCAATCAGGCGACAATTGAGATCATTCGGACTGAAAGTGGGAGTGTTGAGTTGAAGTTGAAGAGAAAATTTTTGCAGCTCTCGAAAATAGAGAGGGGGACTTGGGAGTTTTGGACTCAAATTGCTGAAAACAGTCAAGTCCCCCCCTTCGGACTTGCACTTTGACTCTGTACAAAATCATCATCTAAGAAAGAATATCCTTCAACTGATTAAGAGTCTGAAGCTCAATGCAATGCCACCATCGACAAGGGCTGGTCAAGCAGGGAGGGGAGATGATGATCAAGTGACTACAGCTAATGGACCCAAGGAAGGCTGGCTCATGCAGGTAGTCAGGATCCTTCAGTTAGCAAACCCAGTGCTAACTGCTGAGGAAGCAATCATATGGGCCATGGGCCTAGTTAATATCAACAACCAGGCTCCACACAGGGAGACTGAGAAGATCCTGAAGGACATATCAAGCTCAATTGCACACATCAAGAAACTCAGTGACAGCAATTGGCATACCTGGGAGCCTACCTTCATTGACTGCCTCCAGAGAGTACACAATGCAAAGGAGATCCTATATGGCACCATTGCACCTGGAAACAAAGACTATGATGAAGACTTAGGCAAAGCCCTTGTAGGCCTCATCCATGCTTGCTGTGACAGTAGCCCAGACAGCTGCATTGACACCTACACTGTTAGAGGTGCTAATGAGGAAGTACAGCTTGGTAGCACACTTTATACTAAACTCAAGAAGGCACTGACACTGAATGATGCAGTCAAGCAAGCAGGACTACAGGACCACATCCACACTGTGCACCTGCATAACTGGGACATGGTCAAGCTAGGCAAGGAACTTGACTCCATCTGGAATGATGCAGCATGCCTTGGCAAGCGTTTTGATGAGGACCTCAAGAAATCTACTCTTTACTGTTGCACAGCCCAAGATTGGTTCTATGCCAACTCTGTTGATGCACTCAAGACTGCCAAACCTGATTGCAAGTATGATGAGGCCTATCAAACACTTGTGAAGAAGCAGCAAGATGGTGAAATCTCTGGCCATATCAGAGGAGCAGCCAGGGTTGCCATGGGTACAGGACAGTCAGACACTAGTCAGGCAATGCAAGCACCCAAGGGCAGATGCAATCCTTGCAATCCTATGGCCCCTCCAGAATGCTATGCTTGTGGAGAACCAAACCATATCACATGCAACTGCACAAGCAGCAACATTTCCCACAACCCCACACCCAACACAGCTGGATCCAGTGCCCACCTGGCTCAAGAAGTAAGTCAGTAGGAACTTGGGTGCACCTTCTTAGCAAATGGCCAGTACAAGCAACCAACAAGTGATGCCTGGATTGTAGATTCCAGTGCAACCCATCATATGGTAAATGATAGGGACATGTTGCTCACTTGGCAGGCCAGATCAGTATGGCAGGAGATGAAAGGCTTCAGGTAAAGGCAATTGGAGATGCTTCCCTCCAGGTTGGAGATGCAACCATTCAGTTGTTGGATGTACTCTATGTGCAAAAACTTAATGTGAACTTATTGTCCATACAAGGCTTGATAGAGAATGGTGCACAGGTAACCTTTGATGAGTTTGGAACCACCATAAAGCAGAATGATGGCACCCAAATACAATACAAGAGGAACAGGAAACAAGGTTGCTTTGAGGTGCATGGACAGGCACTGGCCTTGGAATTAGAGGAAACACTTAATGATGTCCCAGAGGACAACCAGAACACAGGAAAGTGAAACAGTGTCCCAGAGGACAATCAGAACATGAGTACACACAAGGAAAACAAGGACAGTTACCTTTGGCATGAGAGATTTGGCCACCCAGGATGGGACAAGACAAGGCAGATTCAGGAACACTACCTAGGTACTGATGAGAAGATGGAGCATGAGTCAAAGCACTGCAATACTTGCAGCCAGGGAAAACAGACCCAAGTGCAGATAGGTCTATCAGAGTCAAAAAGGGCAGAGGCACCATTAGAACTGGTGCACATTGATTTGATGACAGACTTCAAGGGCCATGCAAACTATCACTATGCATTAGTTGCAGTGGCTGACTTTTCATCCCTGATCTATGCAGAACCACTCTGCACCAAAGGTGCAGCACTCCCTGCACTAAAGAGATGGGTCACTAGGATGGAACAGGTGACAGACAGGAAACTCAAGATACTTCACAGTGACAATGGTGGAGAGTGGTCCAGCCAAGAAGCTGAGGACTGGCAAGCTCAAGAAGGTTTCAAGTGGCAAAAGACTGTTCCAGGAGTCAGCACTCAGAATGGACAGGCAGAAAGGGCAATTAGGTCAGTCCAAGAGAAGATGTGTTCAATGCTCATCACCTGGGCCTGTTGCAGAGAGTTATGGCTGTTCACAATCACTGCAGTGGCACATGTGATAAACCTCACCCCATCAGCCACCAAGTCCATCCCATATGAAGCCTTTTATGGAACCACTGCACACAAATTGGTGCAACAACTGCAAGTATTTGGATGCCTGGCATGGGTCCATGTCCAATGGAAGGACCAACAAGGCAAATATGGGACAAGAGCAAAACCAGCTATCATGATTGGATATGATGACAAACACAAGGCATGGAAGTTCTGCAACCCAGACTAGCCAGCATCAATCCAATGGAGCAACTCTGCAACATTTCACAAGGACAAGGGCTGGGATGACCACCAGCAGGAAACATACAAGCTTGTAACTGCAGTGGAAGTTGAGGAGGAAGATACTGCAGTAACCACCACAGTGGAAGAGGAGGCTGTCAGAGGTCTCGTGCCTAAAGCCTGATATCTGTAATAGAAACGTGTCTATTACGAATCCTGTTGAGATATGTGGTAACATGTTGTGTATTACTATTTCTATCAAGGTATGTCATAGAGAAGCCTCTATGACTTTTCTCACCCAAAGATGTAATAGTGGGTTTGCTATTGCAGGTTTTGACTGACCACTGTGGACACTCCATCCAGAGGTAGCTCAGCACAATCAATAACTTATATAAGCTGGTACTGACACCAAGGTCTGGTGTGACTGAGACTGCTGGTGGCACTGACACAAGTGTACAGTGTGTCGACTGAGTGCTTGAGGTGATCCCTGGACTGCAGTGGACAACTGTCTTTGGTTCTATGATTGTGAGCCAGACTGCTGGCTCTATGAACCACCTTTGGATGTCAGTGAGTGGTGATACAACACATGTGCTACAATGGAAGCAATCTACTTGTGATTGCAACTGTGCTGACTGAAAACTAATGTATACTTGTGTTGAAGTGATAACTAGTTTGTATGGTGTAGAGTGGATGGGGATCCACTCAACTACTATGATGATGAGCAAGTGTGATTATATAGATGTCTTTGCAGTGTTGCTGGTGATTCTGCTCTTACCCTATGTAGTTTCCTTCTACACTGCTCCTCCTCCTCTCGACTCCTCCAAGCAGGCCTGCCTGCCTTACAATGCTGCTCACCAGCATGGCTCCTGTGAATGGCAGGCTCTCATCAGCTTCATAATCGATAGGGGCCACACCCTCTTCATCTGGGTGGCGACACATGCTCCTACTCATCTCACCAACCTGCCTGTCTTAGGCTCATCATCTGGTCAGGCCCCTTCTTCATCCGGTGGCGACCTCTCCTTGTTCATCATCACCCTTCTGTCCTATCAGCGATAGAGGCCTCCCTCAAACCAATTCCTGTGAGATCTGTTGTTCTCAGCATGGTATTACCATCTCCACTGGATTCCGTAGTAGTGACCTCGTTCCTGCTGATCCTGATGAGTTATGTGTCACCGGAATAGGAATTCCGTTCTCCGAGTCCGGAGCATTTGGGAGTGAAAATGCTTATACTTCAGTGTTGTGTGAATTGGGTACACCAGCTAAGGGTCTAGCTGGTGTAGTGGTTTTACTGCTCACTATGTTCGGTTTGGTTACCCGATTCCCGATCCCGTAACATTATGCCATAGAGTTGTTACTACTACCGACTTCAGTGAACTCTGCATAGGCTCTCGTTTAGCCCGATCCCGCGATTTCTGCGCTCCTCTTCATATGAAACCAGTTCTTCCTGCACATCCATCTGGTCCTATGACAGAGGCTATGTCTGAAGCTGCGGTAGAGGACCTCCTACCAGCCATGGACAATGTGGTTGGTGCCACCAACACAGCAGCATTAAATTTGGACCCAACACTCAGAGAAGCAATGGATGGAGAGGATGCTCAGCTCTGGAAGGAAGCAATCTGCAAGGAACTGGAAGGGCTTGAAGCAATGGGCACATGGGAGGTCATACATCACCCACCTGGAGCACCACTTGTGGACTCAAAGATCATGCTTCACCTAAAAGCTCAATGCAGATGGTGTACCAATAAAACACAAGGCTTGACTAGTTGCAAGAGGTTTTACACAGAGGGAAGGGATTGACTACCAGGAAACCTTCTCTCCAGTCACACCCCTTGGAGCAATCAGGGCCATCCTGGCACTGGCTGTACAAAATGACTGGGAAGTTCATGCCCTAGACATCACAATGGCCTACCTGAATTCCACACTAGAGGAGGCAATCTACATGAAGCCACCAGAAGGATCAGGAGTAGCACCCAGTCAGGTGTACAAGGTAGTCAAAGGCTTGTATGGCCTGAAGAAATCTGGATGGGAATGGAACCTGGAGTTTGATAAGTCTCTGCAGCACATTGGTTTCTTTCAGGTAGAATGTGCCCCCTGCATCTACACCAAGGGACATGGTGAGGACCTAGTCATTGTAGCCATCTACATTGATGACACCCTGGTTATAGGCCCAAAACTTGAAGCTGTTCTGGGAGTCAAGAAACAGATTGGTCAAAAGTGGAAGATGGAAGACAGTGGTGAGGTCACCCACTTGCTCAGCATCAAGATCAGCAGGGACCACACAGAGCATACAATGACAATTGGCCAGGCAGGCTACATTGATCAAGTCATAAAGAAACATCTAGACAAATGCACAAGACCAGCTGCAGCCCCAATGCAGGAGAGCCCAGAGGGAACTGCAGTTGCAAGCAAAGCACAGCAAAAGGAGTACCTGATTATCATCAGCAAACTGCTCTGGATTGCCAACAGTATGTGACCAGATCTCAGCCTTGCAGTGAGTGTTCTTGCTAGACACATGTGGGAACTGTCACAAGAACACTACTGAGCAGCACAGCATGACTTATCCTACCTTGAAGGCACACAGGAAGTTGGGTTAATTTACAGAGTGAATGAACTGAAGGAACCACTGATTGCACATAGCAATGCAAACTGGGTGTCAGGGGTCTCGCACCTGAAACCCAGGTTGGTCTGTCAAGATACTTGGTGACTATCAAACTGTGCAACAGCTATTGTCTCAGTATCAGTCTCGACAAGCTAGTTGTTCAGTGACTATCAAGTTGCGCAATGACAGTGGGTGGCATTTGTTGTATATACTATCATAGGTTTTGGCTGACCTCTGTGGACACTCCATTCAGGGGTAGCTCGGCATGATCAATATCAATGCATAGGTTATGATGACACCAAGGTCTGGTGTGAGTGTTGATGATGATGAGGTTGATGGTGTTGGTGATAAGGTTGGTGGCATCAACATGAGTGTCCAGTGTGTTGACTGATGCTTGAGGTGATCCCCGGACTGCAGTGGACTACTGCCTTTGGTTCTATCTATATCCAGACTGCTGACCTGCTATGGGCCACCTTTGGATGTCAGGTAGTGGTGATACAACACATGCACTATGATGAGGAGCAACCTTGATAGATTGCTACTATGCTGACTGAAACTAATATATACTTATGCTGAAGTGATAACTAGTTATGATGGGTGTAGAGTGGATGAGGATCCACTTGACCTTTGATGATGAGAAAGTATGGTTATATACCTCTTCACAGCATCACCAGCGATGCTGCTCCTGCTCTCTCTCCAGAGAGTACCTTCTTCATTGAGTACTGTACAGGGGCCCCTCTAGCACTGCTCCTCCTCCTTGCTATCCTGCTTGCTTGGCACCCCTGTGCCTCTTGAGCTGTGTCAACTCCTTCGACACTGCTCCTCCTCCTTGCTATCCTGCTTGCTTGGCACCCCTGTGCCTCCTGAGTGGTGTCGACTCCTTCAACACTGCTCCTCCTCCTCAGGACCTGCTTGCCGGTTCCCTATACACTGCTCCTTCTCCTTTGACTGGTGATGGTTCCTTTGGCTCTTGTCTCTCGAGCCCCCTGAGTGGTAACCATCTGCATGCTCCTTGAGCTTGGTCCTCCTTGTGGCTGTGCCTGGCCCTCCTCGCATATGGCTCAGTGCTCCTTTGCATGTGAGTCCATAGGAGTCCATGGTCTCCATGGAGACTGCACTATGACCATGCTCTCTACTGGTATCAACTAGATCTCTGATACCTGTGCTCCTTCCATATGAACCAGTGACCCTCCTGCTTCTTGAGCATTCAGGCCCATGACACTGGGCAAGCGACACCACTGTACAGAGGAAGAGCACATTGGGATCAGTGGCCTTTGTGTATGAAAATGCAGTAGCCTGGAAGTCAGCAACACAGAAATGCATTTTGCTATCTGCTGTTGAAGCTGAGTTCATTGCTGCCACAGAAGCAACATGAGAAGTGCTTTTCCTCAAGCAACTCCTGCACTCAATTGGTATTGCCACCCATACTCCAACAGTCTACTAGACAACAAGGGCTGCATACAAGTTAGCAAGGATCCAGCACAACACTGGAAACTCAAGCATATTGATACCAAGTACCATTTCATTTGTGACAACATCTGAGAGGGAAGAGTGCAAGTCAAATATGTGGACACCAAGCAAAACTTGGCAGACATGCTCACAAAACCTGTTGGGAAACAGGTAATACAGCAAGCCAGATCTGGATTGCACCTACAAACCCTGGCTGTAGACACCAAGACAAGGACACCAAGCTATGCAGCCATCCTGCAAGGACCTGCATGAAACCACAAGCTGAGACAACAGCATGATGAAACAGTGACATATGCTGTTGAGGGAGTTGAAGTTGAAGAGAAATTTTTTGCAGCTCTCGAAAATAGAGAGGGGGACTTGGGAGTTTTGGACTCAAATTGCTGAAAACAGCCAAGACCCCCCTTCGGACTTGCGCTTTGACTCTGTACAAAATCATCATCTAAGAAAGAATACCCTTCAACTTGTTGCCCCTAACCGACATAGGGGTGTCACCTCTAGCAAGATGAGGTTGGTGTTGGTGAACATCACGGCCTGTTTACTAGTCGTACCGAGCTCAGCAAACAAATGCAAACCAGAGTGAATCTCTTCATGGACAAAGATCGTGCATTGCTTGGTAGAGTGTACTAACACATTTGATCATGATAGACAGGGGTGTGATGATCTGTTCCTTATCATCATTGACAGCAAATTTCAGTAGTTGAACGTCTTTTGGGGTGTTGGGTGTACCATAAACCTTGTCTTCCATGACTCGGTTGAGCCGGTTTTGAAGGATCTTAGGCAGTCGTGATAAGAGGTCCTGTACCGGGACAATGAAGGCATCGTAGATTGAGTAGTCTATGTTAGACATCATTGAAGGTGAGTTTGTGGATGAGGTATGGCTTTGAGTTGGGCTCATAACCTGATAAAAGATTAAAGGAGGACTGATGTCGACACTTAGCGATCGACAACAGTCAGATCACAGTAGCTGCTATTAGGGCAGAAACACTATACTCAATTGACTAAAGGAACATACATAGTGAGAGCCTAGAGCTCTCAGCTTGATATATATATTTACATCTTCGTGACACATGCCGAATGTGGCAGTATCCTACTTAATGATGAAGTGTGACAAGAGCGGGACTAAGTTGTACCCGATCTCTTCTGTATCGGCTTAGGTCAACTTACATCATCATATTGGATCGTTACCTTCAGCACCAGCAAGATGATGATAGAAGCATAAGCCGATACGATAAGAGATCGGGTACTGCTTGGTCCCGCTCGTTGTCATACTTCATCCTTGAGAGGACTCCCACCTTTGGGTGCGTGCCACTACTGTATATATATAACAAGCGGAGAGCTCAGGGTTGCCATCATGTTTTTAGTTCAGGTCAATATAGCATAGTGTGATAAAAGATATGACACTTAGCGACGCTTATCGGGTGATATTAGTCAAAGCACAGTATTGCAGCTATTGAGCAGAAACACTATACTATATTGACCTGAGGAAAGAACATTGTGGCAGCCTCGAGCTCTCCGCTTGATATCTGTATACTGTTAGCGGCACATGCGCAAAGGTGAAAGCATCCCTCTTAATGACCAAGTATGACAACAGGCGGGACTAAGCGGTACCCGATCTCTGATCAGATCGCTTTATGTTACTTTTAATGTCTTGCTGGATCGCAACCTTCAGCACTCAATAGCTTGAATACTGTGCTCTGACTGGTATCGACTGTCAAGCGTCGACACCCGTCTCCCTTTACTCTTTGAACAGCGAACAAAGTAACATAAATCCTGACAGGATTTCTTTCGACCTCTAACATCGGATAAAATTGTTCTTAATTTACAATCAGACGACCACGCGGGCGCAAACGATTTCTTAAAAACATGACAATGTTTTCAGCTGTATGTCATACTTGTCCTAAGTACAGTGTTCAAGCTCTTGAGCAAAACACTATACTATATTGACATCAGAAAAGAATGTGGTGAGAGCCTCGAGCTCTCCCCTTGATATATATACAAATTGTCGGTGCATGCCACATGTGGGAGCATCATCCTCAATGACAAAGTACGACAACGAGCGGGACCAAGTATCCGATCCCTCACTTAGATCGGCTCCGCCCGATCTTCAGGGTCGTGCTGGACCGTTACCTTCAGCAGCTCCCACATTTGGCATGTGCCGACACCTTGTATATATATCAAGCAGAGAGCTAGAGGCTACTACCATGTTCTGATCCGGTCAATATAGTATATTGTTTTTGCTCAATAGCTTGAACACTGTGCTTAGACCATCGTCGACCACTGAGTGTCGACACCCGTATTCTTTTATTCTCCAAACATAATCTGGACTTAGTTTTTCAATGCGTATTTTATCTTAACAAGAACCGCGTGATTGGCCCATTACAGAATCACGAACATGCTCGTGATTCTGTAACTGATGTCGCTCGAGATCGAAAAATGCACAGTGATATAGAAAATTAAAGTCGGCGTGGGAACAGTTTGCTTGAGACTCTGAGGAAAATATGCCAGACTTTGCGGACTGAGAAAAGATATGACGCTTAGCAAAGCTTTGATAAAAGAAGAGTGACAATTAGCGACGAGATCTAAGAAAAGAAGAGTGACACTTAGCGACGGAGATTCTTGACTACGACGATTCGATCGAGTGTCGGGAGCCAGCTCGGTGTCCTTTAATAGCGCGGGTCGCATTAGAGTAACCGAGGTATGTCCCACGGAGAGCCCGTAGGCATAAGCACTAGGCTCTTGCCGCATTTAGTCGGTCAATTGAGTATATTTGTTCTGTCTATAAACTAGCAGCGACATCGTACTTAGACTCTCCCCAATCACCAGTATTGGGACCGAAATGACTAAAGTTTCCAACAGGTTATGAGCCCAAACAGCCTATAAGCTACCAACAAGAAAATACACTTTCAACATGTTGAACCACAACTACTCAGCCTACGAAGACTTCATCCAGGATGCCGAGGACATCATCCATCGCCTCCTGATCAAGCTTCAGAGCCAATTCCACAGGATGATCAAAAACAATGTATATGGTATGATGGAGGAGCCAAAGGACAGAACAATCTTTGCCTACTCCAACAGGATGAACAGGAAGCAGGTAGTGACACTGCTCACTATACTTATCAAGTGTGCTAGTCACCTCTACTTTGCAACCCACAAACTAGGCCCATTCCATGATCACTTCGACCTCAGAAAACAGATGAGGGCATGCATCAACTTCCTCATCACTAACCAAGACAGTGATGCCTCTTGCATTTTAGACCTCAAAATTGAGAGCAACAAGGCCAGCACTTCGACAGGCAACATGCCTTACTACCATGTTGCTGACATCAGTCAGCATGACACTCAAGATGTCATGTCATCAGGCAGTGAGGCCCAACATACTGAGACATCTGAAAAACCTCTTGGTGGAGAAACAACTCCTGACAAACCCCTCCACAGCCAAGTTGCCACACCCACCACAATGCCAGAGCTGATGCAGCTGACAAACCACCACCTCAAGGTGTTAACTGGCCTTAGCGACAAACTAAAATGGGATGAAAAAGACTTACTTGACCCTAAAAGAGTTTTGGTCCATGCATGGTGACAGCAGCTGTGTGAAAAACTATCAGTGGTTCCATTTGCATGTGACATACTTGACTGCAAGGTAACGACATTTGCTGATGCAGACTCCTTGCTACATTCCATTATCATGGGCAGCTTTTCCCCACAGCTACAGTCAGAATACTTCTTGGAATGGGGTGATAGACCTATTGAGATCTCAGTTGACCTCTATGACTGGGCTATCAATAAGTGTAGGATACACTCCGATTCCAAGGAATACAAGCTTCTCAAGGCAATGTATGCCCTCAAATGGGATCAAGTAGGGAGCTGGGCATACAACTTCCTCACTAGGTGGGAAGTGCATGTCTCTGAGCTGCATGCTTACTTGACCAAGCCCTGGACACTGACTCAACAATATAAGACTCTGAAGCAAGCACTCCCAGGTGATAGGAACAGGCTGTTCAACCTGATTTTTGTACTTTATGAAACATTAATTGAAGAGCATACAACCTTAAGTGTTGCCAATGTCCTGTGCAAGTGCTACAGGTTAGCAGCCAACAGTGCCCCTGTTTGCCTCTCCAACACTGCCAACAACATTGATTTGAATGTGCTATGAGCCACCACACTCATAAACTGCTGGGCATGTGGTGAGGATGGACACTTGGCAAACCATTGCCCCAATGAGATTGCATATGATAAATGGAAGAAAGACAGAGTGAAGGTACCCCCAAAAGTGTGAGCAAATGCTTGTATTGTACTGCCTCTTGATCACCCTCGAGACACATAGGATGGGGTGCTGGAACTTGCATTCTTCACCAACCTCAATCCAGCAACCCCATACATACCACCTGGCCTGATACCATTTGTATTCAACTCCAGCACATCATGCATTATGGTCAACTCTGAACAACACAGAAAAGGCTGGCATGATGCTAATGACTCTGTCACCATCACCACCACTGATGGTGGCAAGCTCCCAGTACCAAAAATAGGGGGGACAGTCAGCTTACTCAGCCTGAATCCCACAATGAAACAATGGGAATGGATGACTTACAATGACTGTCTCTTGGTTCCTGGATTAGTGACTAACCTCATTGGGACCAAAATGGTCACACAGGCAAAGGGGAAGGTGACCTTCAAAGATGAGTTAGTTACCATCCAAGACTGCCATGGTTGCACCATTGGAGTCCCAATCAGCAGTAATGGATATCTGGTGTCAGGGGTCTCGCGCCTGAAACCCAGGTCGGTCTGTCGAGATACTCGGTGACTATCAAACTGTGTGACAGCTATTGTCTCGGTATCGGTGACTATCAAGTTGCGCAGTGACAGCAGGTGGTGTTTGTTGTATATACTATTGTAGGTTTCGGCTGACCTCTGTGGACACTCCATTCAGGGGTAGCTCGGCACGATCAATAGCAAGGAGTAGGTTGTGATGACACCAAGGGTCTGGTGTGAGTGTTGATGATGATGAGGTTGATGGTGTTGATGATGAGATTGGTGGTGTCGATGATAATGAGGTTGATGGTGTTGGTGATAAGGTTGGTGGTGTCAACATGAGTGTCCAGTGTGTTGACTTGATGCTTGAAGTGATCCCCAGACTGCAGTGGACTACTGCCTTCGGTTCTATCTTGATCCGGACTGCTAACCTGCTATGGGTGCCTTCGGATGTCAGGTAGTGGTGATACAACACACACACTATGATGAGGAGCAACCTTGATAGATTGCTGCTATGCTGACTGAAACTAATATATACTTATGCTGAAGTGATAACTAGTTATGGTGAGTAGAGTGGATGAGGATCCACTTGACCTATGATGATGAGAAAGCATGGTTATATACCTCTTCACAGCATCGCCAGTGATGCTGCTCCTGCTCTCTCTCCAGAGAGTACCTTCTTCATCGAGTACTGCTCAGGGGCCTCTCCTGCTTGGCACCCCTGTGCCTCTTGAGTGGTGTCGCCTCCTTCGACACTGCTCCTCCTCCTCATGACCTGGTGTCGACTCCTTCGACACTGCTCCTCTTCCTCATGACCTGGTGTTGACTCCTTCGACACTGCTCCTCTTCCTCAGGACCTGCCTGCTAGTGTCCTATACACTGCTCCTCTTCCTCAGGACCTGCTTGCCAGTGTCCTATGACTCTTGTCTCTCAAGCCCCTGAGTGGTAACCATCTGAGCTTGGTCCTCTTCGTGGCTGTGCCTGCTCCTTGAGCTTGGTCCTCCTCGTGGCTGTGCCTGGCCCTCCTTGCATGTGGCTCGGTTCTCCTTTGCATGTGAGTCCATAGGAGTCCATGGTCTCCATGGAGACTGCACTACGACCATGCTCTCTACTGGTATCGACTAGGTCTTCGATACCTGTGCTCCTTCCATATGAACCAGTGACTCTCCTGCTTCTTGAGCATCCAGGCCCATGACAAATTCTAGTGGCCCTTTGCAATCTCACAAGCAGCCTATGTTCATAACCAACTTGCAGGGACAACACAGGGTGGCAAGACACCCTTCGAAACCTTCTATGGTAAGGTGCCAGAACTTTGACACATGTGCCACTTCAGTTGTGCTGCATATGTCATCCTGAGGGGTAACACAAGGACCACCTGGCTGCATGACAACCTGGTGATTAGCAAACACCTATGCCCATGTGCCCTTCATGGTACCTACCTCAGCTACTCAGACACCACTCATGCCATCAAAGGCCACAGAGTCTGGCTCCAGGAACTTGATCATATTGTTGTCATCAAGGATGTCTGCTTCTCTGAACTCGAGCACCCAAGTACAGACCCTCTCCCTCCCATGTACCAGTCCTTTCCAGTGAGAACATGCTACTGCAATCATACAGTTGGCTACCACCCACAGACACATCAGACAACTCAGATGATGAGGACTTTGTCATGGGCCTGGATGCTCAAGAAGCAGGAGGGTCACTGGTTCATATGGACGGAGCACAGGTATCGAAGACCTAGTCGATACCAGTAGAGAGCATGGTCGTAGTGCAGTCTCCATGGAGACCATGGACTCCTATGGATTCACATGCAAAGGAGCACTGAGCCCATATGCGAGGAGGACCAGGCACAGCCACGAGGAGGACCAAGCTCAAAGAGCAGGCGCAGCCACGAGGAGGACCAAGCTCAGATGGTTACCACTCAGGGGGCTCGAGAGACAGGAAGTCGACACAGGTCATGAGGAGGAGGAGCAGTGTCGAAGGAGTCGACACCACTCAAGAGGCACAGGGGTGCCAAGCAGAAGAGGCCCCTGAGCAGTACTCGATGAAGAAGGTACTCTCTGGAGAGAGAGCAGGAGCAGCATCGCTGGCAATGCTGTGAAGAGGTATATAACCATGCTTTCTCATCATCATAGGTCGAGTGGATCCCCATCCACTCTACTCACCATACAACTAGTCAATACTTTAGAAACACAAGTACTCATTAGTTACAGTCAGCATAGCAGCAATCTATCAAGGTTGCTCCTCATCGTAGTGTGTGTGTTGTATCACCACTACCTGACGTCCGAAGGCGCCCATAGCAGGTTAGCGGTCCGGATATAGATAGAACCGAAGGCAGTAGTCCACTGCGGTCCGGGGATCACTTCAAAGCATCAAGTCAACACACTGGACACTCGTGTTGACGCCACCAACCTTATCACCAACACCATCACCCTCATTATCATTGACATCACCAACCTTATCATCAACACCATCAACCTCATTATCATCAACACCATCAACCTCATTATCATCGACATCACCAATCTCATCACCAACACCATCAACCTCATCATCATCAACACCCACACCAGACCTTGGTGTCATCATAACATTGATATTGATCGTGCCGAGCTACCCCTGAACGGAGTGTCCACAGAGGTCAGCCGAAACCTACGATAGTATATACAACGAATGCCACCTGCTGTCACTGCACAACTTGATAGTCACCGATACCGAGACAATAGCTGTCACACAGTTTAATAGTCACCGAGTATCTCGACAGACCGACCTGGGTTTCAGGCGCGAGACCCCTGACATTAGAGTGGATTGTTCAAGCAGCTCCTCATGATCACCATGACGGACCCAGACCTCAACAATAAGCTCGATAGACTACTCACTCTATTGGAAGCACAGCTAGAGCTTACCAGACAGGGTCATCGAGAGGAACGATTACAACGAGCTCAACTGAGCAGGGAGGAGACAATGGACCTCTCTCACTCAGAAGACCAAGCAGGAGGAGGAGATGAGTCTATGATAGGAGACCCACATACTCCTACTCCAGCTCCACGACCAAGACGATCAGTCTCATTCAACCTGGATGAGCAGGAGGACATCAACTACGAGAAGTATGCTTCACCTACTGGGCCAAGATATGTCAAGGCTAAGCTGGACCCCTACAGCAGGACTAGGACGGACCCTTACCCCCTGGACCACGAGGAGGATACCAGCATCATGGCAGAGCTTAACCGGTCAAAGCCCATTGCCACCCCCTTTCCAAAGTTCAATCCCCGAGACATGGAGATCTTCATTCTAGAAGCCGAAGCATGGTTTAAGTTCAACCAGGTGTATGAGCAGTCTAGGATGATCAATCACATGGGTGCTCAACTGGAAGGGACAGCAAGAGAGTGGTGGACCTCCAAGCTCCGTATTGATAGAGCTAGAGAAGGAAGGTTGTTCAATGATTGGCACTACTTCACAGAGCGACTGTCAGAGCAGTTCAACCCACGCAATGCTAGGATGGAGGCATACAACAAGCTGTTGGCTCTCAGACTCACAAGTGATACTCCTGGTGCCGCCACACGTCATGTAGAGCGGTTCAGAGACTTGGAAGGACAGGTCAACCTAGATGACAACGAGCTAGTGATTGATCTCTTCAGAGGTAGTCTCACTCGCAGCATACAGGAGAAGTTTGAGAGGAATCCACCTGGGAAGAGATGGGAGTGGTATCGAGAGGTTGAGGAGATCGATCGACAGAGGATGTTACTACAGCAGTCCTCGGCTAGACACTCACTCCCAAATGCCACATCACCTCCACTAAGAACTGGGTCTCGGCCAAATCAAAGTTCGATCCCCATCCGACAACCCACTCAAACTTATCCAGCTCGATCACCATCACAAGCAACTACACAAGCAACTATACAAAACCTAAACCGACCCCTTCCTCATCATCTCACCCAACCCTCGAAGCAAGGAAGCCCTGCTCCATCAGGTATCAACACCTGTCATGTATGCAAAGGTATTGGCCATTGGGCCAGAGACTGCCCCAGCAGGAGGGTAGACCCTCTTAGCTCTCGACCCATGGGACCAAAGGTTATGGTCACCACAGCAGACCCCTTCGAGGAGGCCACCGACTCAGGAGATGGCCACACAGGCAGCACTGAGACGGGTGACCCCGAGGCCATGGACCTCAGCTCATACCAGCAACCCATGGACCCCGATCACGAGGAGGAGCACGATGATGATGACGACGAGGGAAACGTCAGTGGGGTGATGCACTGATGGCATGCATTGCTCTACAAACCTCCTCGCCATCACTCTGTATATATCAAGATTGTCAAGTATGTTTCTCTACCAGTGGAGGCAAAGCAGTACTGGAGCTCTCTGGAATGGTTCAAGACCATCCTGCTCGGATACTAGCTGATACCAGTGCTGGTTTGTCCATAGTCTCAGATTCTTTCATTATTAAGTACCAAATACCCACAAAACCCATAAAAACAAGATCGATCCATGGTGTCACCAGACACCAACTCTCCATCAATAGTTCTGTGAGCATGCAGGTATCTATTGGTACACACAATCTGGGTGTGGTCGAAGCTTCAGTGGCCGACACTGCGGACTATGACCTCATCCTGGGGTTCACTGAGCTACGGAGGCTCAAACCCACCATACAATGGGATACGGGCCAGCTGGAGTTCAAGACTCAGGAGCAGGACCGACCCCCTAGGAGACCCCCTGAAGCAGCAAGAGCAGGGGACCTAACCATGAGGAGACCAACCCTTCATGGTAACGAGTTTGTCTCAGCAGAGCGCATACTACGAGCAGCTCTGGAAGATGGACCCATAGGGTTCATGCTGTTAGAGGAGCCACCATCATCACTCCCGGCCTTTGGTTTTGTACCTACAGGCGCAGACAAAGGAGTCGAGATGGAGGTGGAGGTAGATAAGGTGGTGACGGCTGCAGACATACCAAAGCCATACCAACACCTGCGAGATGTGTTTGATGAGGTGGAAGCAGACAAGCTGCCCCATCATACCGAGCATGATCTCCACCTCGAGTTGATAGAAGGAGGTAAGCCACCTCAAGGGCCCCTATACCTTAAGGGACCCAAGGAGATGTCCGAGTTGAGGAGGTACTTGGATGAGAACCTCGAGAAGGGGTTCATAAGACCATCGAAGAGCCCGGCACGATCACCAGTGCTCTTCGTACCAAAGAAGGATGGAGGTCTCAGACTCTGTGTGGACTACAGAGGTCTCAACGAGATCACTGTCAAGAACAGGGCACCATTGCCCCTCATCGAGGAGCAGCTGTTCTTACTCAGGAAGGCAAGGATCTATACCAAGCTAGACCTTAGAGCAGCATACAACCTCATCCGGATTGCTAAAGGAGATGAATGGAAGACAGCTTTTGGCACTCAGTTGGGACTCTATGAGTACCTAGTGATGCCCTTTGGCCTAGCCAATGCTCCGGCTCACTTCCAGTCATTCATCAATGACATCTTCCGAGACATCATTGGAGTATATGTAGTGGTATACTTAGATGACTTCCTGATCTTCAGTGACACTGAAGAGGTACATGTGAAGCATGTCACCGAGGTCCTCACTCGCTTAAGGAGCAACAGGCTCTTTGCTAAGCTGTCGAAGTGTGAGTTCCACACCAAGACAGTCGAGTTCCTGGGGTACATCATCAAGCCAACGGGCATAGAGATGGACCCAGAAAAGGTGCGCACTGTCAAGGAGTGGCCAATGCCAGAGTCAATCCATGACATCCAGAGGTTCCTGGGTTTTGCCAACTTCTATCGAAGGTTCATAGCCCACTTTGCTCGCATAGCCAAGCCCTTGACAGCACTGGTAAAGCCTATAGAACGGTTCAAGAAGTTCGAGCTACCAGAGGAGGCCCAACAGGCCTTCCACAAGCTCATCCAGGCCTTCACATCAGCAGGAGTGCTTCAGCACTTCGACTACCACCTTCCAACAAGGTTGGAGACTGATGCAAGTGACTTTGCTATAGCAGGAGTACTCAAGCAGGAGCATGAAGGACGATGGCATCCAGTGGCCTTCTACTCTAGGAAGATGTCTTCTGCCGAGAAGAACTATGAGATCCATGATAAGGAGCTCCTAGCTGTGGTCGCCTGCCTCACTCAGTGGCGACACATGCTAGCTGGACTACCGAACCAACTGGTCATCCTCACTGACCATGAAGCCCTCAAGTACTTCAAGTCACAGAGATGCATCACAGGTCGACAAGCTCGATGGGCAATACTACTAGCAGACTTCGACTTCATATTGCAGTATCGACCAGGAGACAAAGGTGGTGAACCCGATGCTCTCACCAGAAGGACAGACATGCAACCAGCCGGTGAAGAGCAGGATCACAATGTGAGGCAACTACTGCCTCCTCGAGTGTTCAAGGAGACAGCAGACCATGACTCGCTCCTAGTGGCCCCCATGATCTCGATGGAGTCCATAGCATCAAAAGGTCTCAAAGACCTGGTCAAGATCTTCCAGCCTTTAGACCAAGAGCTACAGGAGATACATAGGAAGAAGCCTTTCGAACTCAAGGATGACCTATGGTACAGTGGAGGAAGGTTGGTTATCCCCAAGGTGATCATGCCAGGGAGGACCAACAACCGACACTCAAGGAGTGCCAAAGAGGTAGATGGACAGTCTCTCTCTGTAGAGCATCTGCGATTCATGGTGATGACCCAATGCCATGATGGTATCACTGCTGGACACGTAGGAAGAGATGCTACCATCAAGGCAGCTCAACGACATTACTGGTGGCCAAACATGACAGCTTGGATTGCAGACTATGTAGCAAGTTGTCCTGTATGTGCTAGGTACAAAGCTCCTCGTCATCGTCCATATGGTTTGCTACAGCCACTAGCAACCCCAGACAGGCCCTGGGGCTCCATATCCCTCGACTTCATTGAAGGACTACCACCATCAAAGAAGTATGACTCCAAGACCTATGACTCTATCCTAGTCATCGTCGACAGGTTAACCAAGTTTGCCATACTAGCTCCAACCCATAAGACAGTCACAGCCAAACAGACTGCAGTATTGCTATATGGACACATGGTTAGACTCTTCGGATACCCAGATCACATGGTCTCGGACCGAGGCAGGCAGTTCATATCAGGAGCATGGAAGGCATTTGCAGAGCAAATGGGTGTGAAGCACTCACTTAGCACGGCCTACCATCCTCAAACTGATGGTCAGACAGAGAGAGTCAATCAGGTCATAGAGCAATATCTCAGGATGTACTGCAACTATGAACAGGATGACTGGGCCAACCTGCTGGACACTGTGGCCTTTGTATACAACAACACGGTCCACAACAGCATTGGTGTCTCACCATTCTTTGCATGCTATGGATGGAACCCCAAAGCTCATCCTGACATCCCTCAACGACTAGGAGTCAATGATCCAGGTCGCTTCGAGTACCTCATGGATGGAAAGGAGCGTTGCAAGAACCTCCAGGAGCAGATCAGAGAGGCACAACGTAGATCAGTAGACCAGTATAACAGGAAGCACAAGGACATTGAGTTTAAGGTGGGTGATATGGTCTATATCAACTGCCGAAACTGGAAGACACGGAGACCCACACCCAAGTTGGATACCCGGTTTGCAGGACCCTACCCAGTTCAGGAACGGGTAGGACGCCGAGCTTACCGAATCACATTGCCAGCAAACCTTAGGGTGCATGATGTGTTCCATGTCTCCATGCTCGAGCCAGCAAGAACAAGTTCTCTTCCTCAACGTGCTGAACAGCCCACCATGCCACCACTTCCAGATGAGGACCTCGACCTCGAAGTCGAAGCACTCATCGACAAGCGTTCACACAATGGGACTACAGAGTACAAGGTGTTGTGGAGAGGGTACTCAGAAGAAGCTGCTTCATGGGAACCAGTAGAGAACCTCAACTGTCCCGACCTCATCCAGGAGTATGAGGTGTCGGAGGGGGGACGAGTGAGTAGACAAAGTAGAGAAAGGAGGAGAGAACAGGAGGAGTAGAGAGAGGAGGATGACGTTGAGAGAAGGAGGAAGGATGACGGGGGCGATGTTGTCAAGGAAGAGGAGGAGTCAGCATGAACCAGACCAGAGCATGCCTCGACGGAGCTCGGCTCTTAAGAGGGGGGTAGTGTCATGGGCCTGGATGCTCAAGAAGCAGGAGGGTCACTGGTTCATATGGACGGAGCACAGGTATCGAAGACCTAGTCGATACCAGTAGAGAGCATGGTCGTAGTGCAGTCTCCATGGAGACCATGGACTCCTATGGATTCACATGCAAAGGAGCACTGAGCCCATATGCGAGGAGGACCAGGCACAGCCACGAGGAGGACCAAGCTCAAAGAGCAGGCGCAGCCACGAGGAGGACCAAGCTCAGATGGTTACCACTCAGGGGGCTCGAGAGACAGGAAGTCGACACAGGTCATGAGGAGGAGGAGCAGTGTCGAAGGAGTCGACACCACTCAAGAGGCACAGGGGTGCCAAGCAGAAGAGGCCCCTGAGCAGTACTCGATGAAGAAGGTACTCTCTGGAGAGAGAGCAGGAGCAGCATCGCTGGCAATGCTGTGAAGAGGTATATAACCATGCTTTCTCATCATCATAGGTCGAGTGGATCCCCATCCACTCTACTCACCATACAACTAGTCAATACTTTAGAAACACAAGTACTCATTAGTTACAGTCAGCATAGCAGCAATCTATCAAGGTTGCTCCTCATCGTAGTGTGTGTGTTGTATCACCACTACCTGACGTCCGAAGGCGCCCATAGCAGGTTAGCGGTCCGGATATAGATAGAACCGAAGGCAGTAGTCCACTGCGGTCCGGGGATCACTTCAAAGCATCAAGTCAACACACTGGACACTCGTGTTGACGCCACCAACCTTATCACCAACACCATCACCCTCATTATCATTGACATCACCAACCTTATCATCAACACCATCAACCTCATTATCATCGACATCACCAATCTCATCACCAACACCATCAACCTCATCATCATCAACACCCACACCAGACCTTGGTGTCATCATAACATTGATATTGATCGTGCCGAGCTACCCCTGAACGGAGTGTCCACAGAGGTCAGCCGAAACCTACGATAGTATATACAACGAACGCCACCTGCTGTCACTGCACAACTTGATAGTCACCGATACCGAGACAATAGCTGTCACACAGTTTAATAGTCACCGAGTATCTCGACAGACCGACCTGGGTTTCAGGCGCGAGACCCCTGACAGACTTCACCACTTCCTCCCTGCAGCAATTCTCTTGACAGCAAGAGACCCAACCTCTGGATGACTTTATCAATGATCTGGACCCCTACCCAGAATGGCACCACATGATGTCCAACATCCATGATGCCAGTGAAATTGTTATCAACATGGATGCCATCCGCATGGACCTCAATGTCCAACTCGACAATGCCACGGCCGAGGGGGGCACTGATGCTGAAGCAAACCCAGAGGCCTCCACCAACACTTCTCATCTGGAGTCCCCCCGATTTGACCTGTATGACGAGTACCTACTGTCGACACCTGCATCACCTAGTAGTGAGTCCCCTGACCCTCTAGGCATGCTCAGCTTTATGGCCTTTGCCACAAGTTGCACTACCAAACCAACCCTGCCAACCCTCAGACACCATCTTGACCAGATAGCATTTGCAACCATTGTCATGAACTGGGTAGCTCTAGGTGCCAGTGGCCAGCACCTCTGCAGTGCCAATGGTATTCTGCTCGAACCATCATCACTATCAGAGGCACAGATGCAGGACGATTGGGCAAAATGGAAAGAAGCTATGAATGTTGAAATGGGCAGCATGCAGAAGATGGATGTCTTTGAATTGGTGGATCTCCCAACAGATGGAAAGCTCATTGGTGTATGATGGGTATACAAACTAAAGCTTGACACTCATTGGCACACTATGCAATACAAAGCAAGGCTTGTAGCTCAAGGGTACACACAAAGACCAGGCCTAGACTATGACCAGACATTCAGCCCAGTTGTCCATCTCCAGACCATGCACATCCTACTTGCCCTGGCCTGTCGATATAAACTACACATTGCCCAACTGGATGTGAGCATGGCATTCCTAAATGGAAAGATTGACAAAGAGGTTCATGTATGGATCCCACCCACATTTGAGACTCCCAAGAACAATGGAAAGTGCTACCACCTCAAGAAAGCACTATATGGACTCAAGCAAGCAGGTCATCTCTGGCACACAGCACTTGACAAGCAGCTGAGAGCATTTGGCTTCAAGTGCTGCCATGCAGAACCATGTGTATACATGCAAGGGATCAAGGATGCCATGATAATACTGGCAGTATACATGGATGACTTACTCATTATTGGAGCAACATCATCTCATGTCAAATCAGTCAGGCAACAACTGTCTAGTGTCTTCAGCATCATGGACCAAGGAAATGTCTCTCACATCATTGGGATGAATGTCAAGTATGATTGTGAAGCACAGACACTCTCAATAGACCAAAGCAGGTATATTGAAGGGACTCTGGAGAAATTTGGTATGAGCAATGCTTGGACTGTACAATCACCTGCCATAGAAGCAATCAATGCAATGGGCCCACGACAAGGGGATATGGCAAATGCAGAGGAGCTATGACATTACACATCACTGGTCAGATCACTACTCTGGATCGCACAGGGAACCCATCCCAACATAGCTTTTGCCATCGGCTGATGTGCCCACTTCATCACCAATCCTTCAAGTGAACACCTAGTCACCACCAAGAGGATCCTTAAGTACCTAAAGGGAACCAAAGACATTAGCCTCAATGCAAATGCAACAAACAGTGATCAAATGGTAACAGGGTGGGCTGATTCAGACTGGGCAGGACTGCATGACTGCTGCTGCTCAACTTCAGGATATGTCTTCGCCATCGATGGACTCATTTGCAGCTGGTCTTCACGACTCCAACCAATGGTGGCAAACAGCTCAGTAGAAGCAGAGTATATTGCACTGGTGGGAGCTGCAAGAGAGATGCTGTGGACAACCATGTTCCTATGGGAACTAGACCAATCATTCCCAAAAACATCAACAATCCACATAATGGCTGAGACTACAATGCTACACTCATATGAAGGAAGCCTCACCTTCAATCTGAACACCCCAATACTATACAGCAACTCTGCAGGCACTTGTGTTATTGCCAACGATCCACAGCACTTCAAGAGAATGAAGCACATAGACATCACACACTTCTTCTTGTGAGATGAAGTGGCTGATGGCAATCTCACTATTGCTCCAGTACAGAGTAGTGAGAACCTTGCTGATTTACTGACCAAGCCACTCACAGTGCTGATGCTTTCACACCTTCGACAACTACTCGGCCTAATTATATTGGAGAGACATGCGGGATCGAGAGGGGGTGCTAAAGAGGACGATCCAGCATGACCCTGAAAGAGTTAATTGGGGAGAAAAGATCAGAGCCGAGATCAAACGAAGTCGATCTCGGCAGAACAATCGGGTAACACCAATAGAAGAGAGAAATCGGGTACAACTATGTCCCACTTGTTGTCGCATATCGACATTAGATAGGATGCCCTCATACCTGGGCATGTACCATATGTTTGTATATATACCAAGCAGAGAGCACTAGGCTCTCGCTGCATTTAGTCAGTCAATTGAGTATATTTGTTCTGTCTATAAACTAGCAGCAACATCGTACTTAGACTCTCCCTGATCACCAGTATTGGGACCGAAACGACTTAAGTTTCCAACATTGGATAGCGCGCTCCGCAAATGCATTATCAGTGTGCTGTTGCATTGGGGAGGCAGTGATCTTGATGCTGGATGACAAGCAGAGGTTTTGGAAGGATGCTGTCCAGAGTTCGCCTTGGTCAACTTGGATCTCTTTGATGTCACATCCCATTGTCATGCTGGTGGATTGGCATTGAGGGGGTTGATGAGTCTCAGAGAGCCAGTACAATGCCTCTGTGGTTGCATGGGCCTTATCGAGTAGTCCTTGAACCCATATCATCCCAGAGAATGCATCATAAATGATGAGGACATAGGAAAACTGGGGGCACTCATGCAGTGGTCCCATAATGTCCATAGACATGAGTTTGAGTGGGTGCTTGACATTGCTGGGGTGTGGTTCCATTCTGGCCACTGCCTTGCTGCATATGCATGTGTCACATAGTACTTTGAGTTGTGTTGCTTGCACCAAGGGTATGTTGTGGGCAATGGTTGCAGATTGGGTGCATAAGTTGGTGTTGTATCCTGGGTGGCAAAGGTGACAGTGCCAGAGGTTAGCTTTGGTGTCATTTTTGCACAATTGTGTCTTCCTCTGCCACATTCCTGAGAAGGCCAGTGACACTTTGGGTTTGGGCATACTATCATCCCAAAGGATCATTCCAGCAGCTGGGTATCCATTGCTGCTGATTGGGACTCCTATGGCACAGCCATGACAGTCTTGGGCTGTAACTAGCTCATCCTTGAAAGTTACCTTTCCCTTTGCTTGTGTGACTGTCTTGGTACCAATGAGGTTGGTCACCAATCCAGGAACTAGGAGGCAGTTGTTGTAGGTCATTTGTTCCCATTGTTTTGTCATTGGGCTTAGGCTGAGTAAACTGACAGTACCTCCTATTTTTGGTACTGGGAGCTTACCACTGTCAGCAGTGATGATGGTGATGGAATCATTGGCATCACACCAGCCTTGTCTGTGTTGCTTGGAGTTAACCATGATGCATAAAGCACCAGAGTCAAATATGAATGGTATCAGGCCAGGTGGTATGTGTCATAGGACCGGATGCGCAGAAGGACCAGATCCGTATGAGGAGAGATCATGCACAGAAATCGCAGGATCAGGCGATCTGGTGGGTTCTGACAGAGTTTGTTGAGATCGGTAGAATCGAGGTTCTACGACAGAATCCACTGGGATCAGTAGGAGCGAGATCTTACAGCAGAGGTCATCAGGATCAGCAGAAATACGACTGTCACAGGATCTGCGCAGAAGGTCCTGCGCAGAAAAGATCTGGAAACAGACATCGGGTGTCGACGATCTGATCGGGCTGGTTGAGCACAGAATTTGTGGGATCAACTGCAAACCAGGGGTCTTGATTAATCTCACCAGGATTGATCAGAACAAGCCTAGCCAGTATGTTTTGCCAAAATGTGCTGACCAAGCCATTGGTACAGGATGGGTCAATTGTCATGATCAAGTAATAGGAGGATTGGAAGGAGGGGTCCCTGGCATTGGAAGGATAAGGAGCATATGGGAAGGCCACATGCAAGGAAGAGGACCCAGCCCAGTGTCACACAGTTGGTTACCACTCAGGGGGACATGCTCATTGCCATAGCACAGCCACAAGGGCAACCACATGATCAGGAAGCATGACAATAGGTTTTGGCTAAGCAATCAAGGGAGTCACAAGACCAGGGGTGAAAGGATGGACACCAGTTAGGAGAGAGAGAGTGATGTCAGAAGAGACCAGGGGTGATTCATAGGGAGGAAGAGCAGTGCCAACAAGGTCGACACACATCACCAGGCATAGGGAAGCATGAAGGCATGGGGGCAGTGTCAAACAGTTAGGCACATGGTCTGCACAGCACAGAAGGAGCTGACACACAGCTCACATAGAAGAGGAGTGGTGTTGGAAGAATGCAAAGACTCCTTCTGAAGGAGCAGGAGGGGTGTTGCAGATGACACCCAACAAAACACATAAAAACTCTCGTTTCACCATAAGCATGCAAGTGGATCCCCATCTACTCTACTCTTTATCATATGTACTCTTTACTTGACTCATATCATTGCAATAGCATAGCTTTGCAACAACATCTCAAACATGTGTGTTGTATCACCATTGGATGTCAACTGTAGGTGGTGTTCCCCAACACCTGTGGTCCAGTTCATCACTGTAGGTGGTGTTGCTCAGCATCTGCAGTCCAGTCAGTTACTGTAGGTGGTGTCTAAACACCTGTAGTCCAGTACCCCCCCCTCATCTGTAGGCAAGAGTCTTATTGCGGTCCAGATGACATCAAGAGCATCAAGCACTATGAACACTCAAGCTATAATAGGAGAGTTGTGTCTGATACCACACTCACATCAATGTGTTACAGACATGCCATATAGCCTCTGAATGGAGTGTTCAAGGTGGTCAGCCGAAACCTATCAGAAATAAGCCTTCTGGTTCCTTTCGCCGAAACGGTTCAGAAGGAGCTTACTCAGTTGATCTCTGTCAGCAGTCGTGCGCCTGGAACCCGAAATCTATTGTAAAAGCTGACTAGAATAGACCTTGGCAAAATCTATTGTAAAAGCCTTCTATGAACTTTCTTGCTGGAATAAATTGTAACATGGAATTAGAACAGATTCTGACTAACCATTGTGGACACTCTGTCCAGTGGTAGTGTGGCACAATCAATGTCCTAGCAAACCTACTTGAGACTACACCAGGGTGTGGTGCAACAGCATCTGTCTTGACATGAGCATCCACAATGTCAACAGTTGCACAATTGATTGATTGAATGGTAACCAGACCACAGTGGACAACTGCCTTTGGTATGAGATTGAGAGCACTGGACCACAGAGACTGCCTTTGGTATTGATTGTTATCTGGACCACAGTTGAGAACTGCCTACAGATGCCATCAAGTAGCAGTGATACAACACACATGCTAAGATAGAAGCAATGACCTACAATTGCAACTATGATGAGACAACTAAGTATATGATATGGTAAAGATATAGCTAGTTAAGTGTAGAGTGGATGAGGATCCACTTGACTACTATGACAAAGAGAATGTATGGTTATATAGATGTCCTCACAGTGTTGTCTGCAACACTGTTCTTGCTCTACTCAGGAGGTGTAGGGTCTCCTTTGGTGCTGCCCCTCCTCCTCTCATCTCTCCTATGGCCCTTGTCTCTCTTAGGGTGTATACCCTTTGTTGACACTGCTTCTCCTGCTCCTTGTGGTCGAGGAGACCCAGTGCTGCTTCATCATTGATAGGGGTTGATCCCACCTCCTCTGAGTGGTGGGACACATCCTCTTTCATCTGCTCCCACTGACAGTGTCCATCCCTTATGCCAAGTTCATCATCACCTAGGGCCCCTCCTTCATCTGGGTGGTGAGCCCTATCTTCACATGCCCCATTGTCCTTCTATTGCTAGGGGTCATCTGACCCCCACACCTTGATCATCTTCTCCTGGGTGGTGTGTCTTGCAAGATTGGTGTGATTAGCCCTCTTGACTTGGTTTTGTCAAGATCTGTCATACAGCCCTTGTTCTGCCAATCCTGATGAGTTTGATTGTAAGGTCTCTCTTCTGCTGCTCTTGACAAACTCTGTTGAAAACCACTTATTTGCCCAATTCCATGATTTGTGTGCATGGCACTTCTTCCTTCTGCACACCTTGTCCTATAACAATCTCACCGATATCAACCAGGACCACCAAACTCGGGTTTCAGGCACGCGACCGCTTACACGTCTGTATGTTGTATTCAGCCCGCCACTGCTTGCAGATAGCGGCTGTCAGAGGTCTCGCGCCTGAAACCCGATATCTGTAGTAGAAAGATAACTACTACAGATCCTATTGAGATCTGTGGTAAAAGGTCTTTATATTTATTCTTGCTGAAATCTGTTGTAGAAGCCTTCTATGCCTTTTCTTGCTCAAATATGTCATAGTTGATATCTATTGCAGATTTCAACTGACCACTGGGGACACTCTGCTCAGAGGTAGCTTGGCACAATCACTAGTTGATAGATACTTTGAGGTAACACCAAGGTCTGGTGTGAGTAATGTTGTTGGTGCCAACATGAGTGTCCAGTGTGTCAACTGAGTACTTGATGATCCCCAGACCGCAGTGGATGACTGCCTTTGGTTCTATGATCGAGAGAGCTGGACTGCAGTATGAACCACCTTTGGTGTCAATCAATATCTGGACTGCAGAGTGAACTGTTTTCAGATGACATCAAGTGGTGATACAACACACACACTAGGTAGTAGCAATGCTCTGCAATTGCTACTGATGAAGAATCTACTAAGTATACTTATTGTGAAGTTATAGCTAGTAATGTAAAGTGTAGAGTGGATGAAGTTCCACTCATTTGCTATGATGAGGAGCATGGTTATATATCCACTCCCACAACATCGCCTGCAACACCACTCCTGCTCTGGGAGGCCTCTTTGACACTGCTCCTCCTCCTCGCCCTTCCTATCCTTGCCATCCACCCTGTGATGCTGTTCATTGACACCACTTCCTTTGCCTCATGCATATGGATGGTCCTCATTCTGCTTCATCATTGACAGGGGCATTCCCACTTCATCTGGGTGGTGACTCACCTCCCTCACTCATCTTGCCCACCCTCCTGTTCTGAGTTCATTGTTGGATCAGCCCCCTGTTTCATCAGGGTGGTGGACCCAATGCCTACAATGTCTTGTCCTGTTGTGAGGCTTGTGACATTGGTGTGGTTGCACCAGCTTTGGCAAGATCTATCCTATGATCAAGATACTACCAATTCCAGCAGGATTTGTGATATGATCCCTCTGGTGCTGATTTGGACAAGATATGTCATAGAGCCTCTCTACTACAGATCTTGATGAACTCTGCCATAACCCTTATTTTGCCCAATCCTGTGATTCCTGTGCTCCTCCTCATATGACATCCGTTCTTCCTGCTTCTGCGCATCCGGCCCTATGACAGCGGCCTGATGACAGCTGCTGCCGTCCTCGACAACTGACAGGCCATCAGGGTATGTGATAACAGCAGTTACAGTGTCATGGAATGGGCTGTCAATGATCCAATCGCAATACCTGGCAGCTGTGAGATTCTCAGCAGGATCCCATTGACTACCCGACCCTGGTCGCTGTCATGGGCCTGAATGCGCAGGAAGCAGGAAGACCCATTAGTTCATATGAAGGGAGTGCAGGAATCAGGGGATTGGGCAGATCGTAGGACTTGCAGCAGAATTCACTGAGATCTGCAGTAGAATTGGCTCTATGACAGATCCCAGTGAGATTGGTATGAACAAGGATGATATCACAGATCCTGCTGAGATCAGTAGGAGGAGAGGTCATATAGCAGATTCTGCAGAGATCAGTGACAAGGATGTTCATATGGTGAATTCACATGTGAGGAGGACCAAACTCACATGCAAGGAGGATCAAGCTCTGCCAAGATGGGGACCAAGCTCAGGAACATGCAGCTGGTTACCACTCAGGGGCTCACAAGATAAGGACCTAGAGAACTGTCACCAGTTGAAGGAAGAAGAGCTGTGTCAAGGACACTGGCAAGCAGGTCATGAGGAGGAGGAGCAGTGTCGAAGGAGTTGACACACAGCTCAAGAAGGATAGGAGTGGTGCTACAGGGACCCCTGTATAGTACTTGACAAAGAGGGTACTCTCTGGAGAGAGAGAGAGCTGGAGCAGTGTTGCAGGCGACACTACAAAGGATGTATATAAACATACCTTCTTGTCATAGGTGGATGAGTGGATGCCCATCCACTCTACACACCATATAACTAGTATTACTTCAGAAGCATAAGTATTCATTAGTTTCAGTCAGCATAGTCACAATCAAGTCAATTGCCTCTCATTGTATTGCATGTGTTGTATCACCACTCACTGATGTCTGAAGGTGGTTCATAGCAAACCAGCAGTCTGGATTAAGATAGAACTGAAGGCAGTAGTCCACTGTGGTCTGGGGATCACCTCAAGCAACAGTCGACACACTGGACACTTGTGTTGGTGCCACCAAACAAGATACTCACACCAGACCTTGGTGTCATCACAAGTTCACATCATTATTGATCATGCTGAGCTACCTCTGGATGGAGTGTCCACAGCAGTCAGTCGAAATCTGCAATAGCATTACTACAACCACAGATTTGAGTGAGAAAAGTGATAGAGATGGCTCTATCACATATTTCACTGAGAATCACAATACCACTAGCATTGTCGCATAACTCGACAGGATCGGTAATAGAATTGACTCTATTACAGATTTCAGGTTTCAGGTGCGCGACTGCTGACAGTCGCTTCTTCCTTGGAGCCAATGGGAGCACAACCAATGGGGTTTTAGGGCTGTATGCAAAGCCAGCCCATATGTGGATGCTGAAACAGCTGGAATGGAACATCAGAACCATGTTGTTGATGTCTTCTCAAATGCTTTTCCAGCAGCTAACCCATGTGCAGCCAGGCTGGTAGCCAACCTTGACAGTTGCCTTGTCTGTGAACAGCACACACTTCCAATCAGTGGAGCCATTAGCCTGGGCCCAGTCAAGATGTTTTTGCTGGTTTTTGGATGTCAGAAACAGCTTTCAAAGCACAATACAGAAGTTAATACTGGCCCAGTATGCTGCTTTCTGGAGCTGTGTTGTTGGAATGCTGCCAAGCAATGCTGACAGCTGTCACCATGATAGAAACAGGCTTTTGAGTACCTCACACTGAAGGTAACAGTCTGAGGTAGCTGTCCAGGTGTGTGGATGGCCAGATCATGCTTTTGTTTTGAAGGAACCACACTGCTTAAAGTTCTGGATGGTCTTGTGAACTGCTGTCTTGGATACACCAGCAAGCTCCCAATTTGTTGAATTGGCAGCCCAGTATCATGCATTGCAACAATTGAAGCATGCTGGCTTGGAAAGGGCTCATTGCCACAGACCATGTTGATGTTTGAAGTGTTCTTGCTTAGTATGATGGTAGTGCTATTGCTCAATGACAATGATGACCTGAATGAGGGGTATCCGGCTAAATTAGGAAATTACCCAATTGTCCTCAAACTTACACACAGGGTCTGTACAGTTAAAGATGCGACAGAATTACCAGGAGTTTAGCCAAGATGCAAGAAAGCCAAGTCGCCGAGAGGCAGAAGGACATGCATGCATGGTCAACATGTGGTGACCAATCAGGAGATGCTTGTGGGAGACAACACCAAGACACAAGGAGACAATGCTGAGGCAACACATGGTGCACACAGTTAGTGAGGCAGCAATAGGGTTTCTCAAGGATGCTTGACATTGTATATAAACAAGCAGTCTCATAGTCATAGTTCACAAGAAATCTTAAGCATTGCATTGATGATACACCTGTGCAAAAGGAGCTAGAACATAGTGTGGACAAAGTGGTGTCTAGCATAACTTCAACTGATTAAGAGTCTGAAGCCCTAACCCCTCCCCCTCACAATCACTACAGCCAACCATGGTGGACAAAACTGACCCTCAAACCAGCACCAGCGAAACCACCAAGAGGTCCAAGAGAGTAAAGAGGGTGACAGTTGTCTGACAGACACAGCCCAAAAACACAGTCAATGACAACAATGAAATTGAGGATGAACTAGAATATGAATCTGATGATGATGATCTTGGTGAACAATACAGTTTCCACACCCTGGATAAACTACTTGAGCCAGTGCTGAAGCTCACATCCCAGAACTACTACAGCTGGAGCACCCACATGAAATCCTTCCTCCAATCTGTGCCACATGCTATGGAACACCTCAAAGGAATGTACAATGTGGAACATCCAAAGTGGAGCTGCTCATTTGACAATGCACTAACCAATGCTGTGTGAGGTACTATTGACACCATAGGAGAATTCAATGTCAACTATCTCCTCCTCAACATCATTAGGGAATACCTCACTTTTAACCAAGTATGGAAAAGGATCAAAAACAGCTTAGGAAACAAAGCCACCAGAACTTCCTGCTGGCTTGCCTTAATCACCCAATTGGATGACATCAAAATGTTCCATGCCAATGCTCAGAAACTGATATAAGAAATAAGAGCCATCCAGGCTGAAGGAAGCATACTGGGAAGGCCATTCACAGACAACATGCTGTTCTCTTATCTCCAGAAATGCACAATCTGCCACCCCATGCATAGGGAAACAGTCGCCATGGTCCACCAACTCAGCTTTGATGCCCTGGCCACAGCCCTTAGTGCATGACAGTTGGCTTTGGAAAGCATTCCTAGCCAAAAGCTTGACTCTCAACAGGAAAATGCTAGGGTCACTGGCAACAACAAACAAGATGGATCCAGCAGGGAAGCCAACAACAATGATAGTGGTGAAAACACAAAGACTGAAAGCAGACCCTGAAGAATCTGGTGCTTTGTATGCAGGTGTTTTGGACATGGAGTGAGACAATGCAACACATCAGTCAGCATTCCAAAGGACTCCCCCCCTCTCTGAACCCAACTAGGAAACCTGGTGCTCACTGACTCTGAGTTGGTGGAAGATCTCAAATCCAAAAGAGATGACTTATTGGATCTTGGATTTGGGAGCTAGCTTCCACATGGTTAATAGGTACAACACACTCACCCACCCAAGGACCTGCCAAAAACACATCTTCACTGCTGGTAGCGAGGTCTTGGAGGTGACTGCTGTGGGAGATGTCAACATAGCAACTGAGTACAGAGATATATTGCTCCAGAATGTCTTGTATGTTAGAAATCTCAAAATTAATCTGCTATCAACCATCTATTTAACAGATGAAGGAACATGGGTGACCTTAGACCATACAGGCAGCCAGATACATCTGGTGAACAGAATAACACTCAAGATATCAAAGAATAGTAAACATGGATTGCTAGAGTTCCAAGGAGACACATGGGAAGAGAGTGCAATGACAGCATTGACACAACTGCTTGAGGGTGTTGGCAAGGAACTTGAGCCAGCTGTGAAGAAACATGGAGCATCCATGCAGCAACTTTGGCATGAATGTCTAGGACACCCAGGTCAAGACAAAGCAAAAGCCATCATCAAAAGAATAGGAAACAGCCCTGCAGTACAAATGGACCCAGATACAGCTCTGACATGCAAGCAGTGTATATGGTCCAAGAGTGTGATCACACAGATGGGGTGAGGCAGTGCTGCCCCCCTTGATCTCATACACATAGACCTGGTCATTGATATGTTGCATGCAACAGAGCACACATGTATATTGGCGCTAGTCGATGATCACAGCAAGTAAGTATATGCACAGCCATTGCTACAAAAGAGCCAGGCATTTGTGCAACTCAGAAGGGCAGTCACATTCCTAAAGACACAGACAGGTAGAAGTTTAAAGGCAATCTGGTCTGATCAAGAAGGCAAATGGAAAAGCAATGAGGCATTAGAATGGTCACAAGACAAGGGAATAGAGTGGCAAACCACAGTAGGATATAATAGCAAACAGAATGGATGGGTAGAGAGAATGAATAGAAGCTTGAGCAAGAAGATGAGAGCACTGCTGATGCAGAGGGGACTGCCAAAGAGTTTTTGGCCCTATGCAATCTGAGCTGCCACCTTCAAGATGAACCTCACACCAAACATGGACAATGAGTTACCATACCAAGTAATGTTCAGCAGGTCACCAGACCATTTCATTTGGCTCCTACAAGTGTTTGGATGCCTTGCCTGGGTGAATATTCCAAAAGTAAAGCAATATGACAAAAGGCTAGACCAGCAGGTGGTCCCAGCCATACTCATAGGATACAGCCTAGAGAGAAAGGGATGGCTGTTCTACAGCCCTAACTATAGGCTGAACATCTTCTGGAGCAATTCAGCAAGGTTCTTAGAGGATAAAAGCTGGTTGGACCACACTGAATGGCAACCAATAGATATGGGTCCCCTACCAGCTTTGAAGGATGAAGAGGAACTGGACAATCTTGGGTACACAGAGAAGGACCTATTTGATGAGAAAGACCAAGAACCACTACAGGAATACCTTGACATGGAAACAGCAGCTGGATTTGACAAGTACGAGATGCCATCGACCAGGAATGGACCACCTCAAGAGGACCACGAAGGCGAAACCATGGAAGAGGCCATGGATAATGCAACCGACACCGCCTTCGGACTCAAGGCCACAAACATCAAAGAGGAGAAGAACCTAAACCCTATGGTTTGGGAAGCATTGGCCAGAACAGACAAGAGGTTCTGGGTGGAGGTGATGCAGAAAGAATTGGAGGGGTTAGAGGCAATGGGCATGTGGGAGATTGCTGACCTCCTGCCTGGCATGAATGCCATTGACACTTGCTGGGTCCTCAAGATAAAGATGGATGCAAACATGGTGCCCACAAAATTCAAAGCAAGGCTGGTAGCCAGAGGATTCATGCAAAGAGAGGGGGTTGATTACATGGAGATATTTGTGCCAGTGGCACCAATCCAATCCATCTGAGGAGTACTGGCAGTAGCAGCAACATGAGGCTGGGAAGTGGATTCAGTCAATGTCAAGCAAGCATACTTAAACTCAAACTTGCAACACAATGTCTACCTAAGACCACTGGTTGGGACCAAGGTGCCTTCAGGAAAGGTGTTAAAACTGATCAAAGGACTGTACAGCCTGAAACAGTCAGGCAGGGAATGGAACATTGAGTTAGATTCTTACCTCCGAAAAGTTGGTTTCCACTGTGTCATGGGCCTGAATGCTCAAGAAGCAGGAGGGTCACTGGTTCATATGGAAGGAGCACAGGTATCGAAGATCTAGTCGATACCATTAGAGAGCATGGTTGTAGTGCAGTCTCCATGGAGACCATGGACTCCTACAGACCCACATGCAAAGGAGGACTGGGCCCATATGCGAGGAGGGCCAGGCACAGCCATGAAGAGGACCAAGCTCAAGGAGCATGCAGATGGTTACCACTCAGGGGCTTGAGAGACAAGAGTCAAGGGAACCATCACTGGTCAAAGGAGAAGGAGCAGTGTATAGGGAACCGGCAAGCAGGTCCTGAGGAGGAGGAGCAGTGTTGAAGGAGTCGACACCACTCAGGAGGCACAGGGGTGCCAAACAAGCAGGATAGCAAGGAGGAGGAGCAGTGTCGAAGGAGTTGACACAGCTCAAGAGGCACAGGGGTGCCAAGCAAGCAGGATAGCAAGGAGGAGGAGCAGTGCTAGAGGGGCCCCTGTACAGTACTCAATGAAGAAGGTACTCTCTGGAGAGAGAGCAGGAGCAGAGTTGCTGGTGATGCTGTGAAGAGGTATATAACCATGCTTTCTCACCATCAAAGGTCGAGTGGATCCTCATCCACTCTACACCCATCATAACTAGTTATCACTTCAGCATAAGTATATATTAGTTTCAGTCAGCATAGCAGCAATCTATCAAGGTTGCTCCTCATCATAGTGCATGTGTTGTATCACCACTACCTGACATCCAAAGGCGACCCATAGCAGGTCAGCAGTCTGGATATAGATAGAACTGAAGGCAGTAGTCCACTGCAGTCCAGGGATCACTTCAAGCATCAGTCAACACACTGGACACTCATGTTGATGCCACCAACCTTATCACCAACACCATCAACCTTATCATCAATACCATCAACCTCATCATCATCAACACTCACACCAGACCTTGGTGTCATCATAACCTACATATCGATATTGATCATGCCGAGCTACCCCTGAACAGAGTGTCCACAGAGGTCAGCCGAAACCTACAACAGTATATACAATGAACACCACCCACTGTCATTGCACAACTTGATAGTTGCTGAACAACTAGCTCGTTGAGACTGATACTGAGACAATAGCTGTCACACAACTTGATAGTCACTGAGTATCTCGACAGACCGACCTGGGTTTCAGGCGCGAGACCCCTGACATTAGAGTGGATTGTTCAAGCAGCTCCTCATGATCACCATGATGGACCCAGACCTCAACAATAAGCTCGATAGACTACACACTCTATTAGAAGCACAGCTAGAGCTTACTAGGCAGGGTCATCGAGAGGAACAACTAAAACGAGCTCATCTGAGCAGAGAGGAGACGATTGACCTCTCTCACTCAGAAGACCAAGCAGGAGGAGGAGATGAGTCTATGATAGGAGACCCACATACTCCTACTCCAGCTCCATGACCAAGATGATCAGTCTCATTCATCAACCTGGATGAGCAGGAAGACATCAACTACGAGAAGTATGCTTCACCCACTGGGCCAAGATATGTCAAGTCCAGGGTGGATCCATACAACAAGAGCAGGACAGAACACTATGCTCTTGATCAGGAGGAGGACTCTAGCATCATGGCAGAGCTTAACCGGTCAAAGCCCATTGCCACCCCCTTTCCAAAGTTCAATCCCTGAGATGTGGAGATCTTCATTCTAGAAGCCGAAGCATGGTTTAAGTTCAACCAGGTGTATGAGCAGACTAGGATGATCAACCACATGGGTGCTCAACTGGAAGGGACTGCACAAGAGTGGTGGACCTCAAAGCTCCGTATTGATAGAGCTAGGGAAGGAAGGTTGTTCAATGATTGGCACTACTTCACAGAGCAACTGTCAGAGCAGTTCAACCCATGCAATGCTAGGATGGAGGCATACAACAAGCTGTTAGCTCTCAGGCTCACAAGTGATGCTCCTGGTGCCACCACATGTCATGTAGAGCGGTTCAGAGACTTGGAGGGACAGGTCAACCTAGATGACAACGAGCTAGTGATTGATCTCTTCAGAGGAAGTCTCACTTGCAGCATACAGGAGAAGTTCAAGAGGAACCCACCCAGGAAGAGATGGGAGTGGTATCGAGAGGTTGAGGAGATCAATCGACAGAGGATGCTACTACAGCAGTCCTTGGCTAGACACTCACTCCCAAATGCCACATCACCTCCACTAAGAACTGGGTCTCAGCCAATTCAAAGTTCAATCCCCATACATCAACCCACTCAATCTTATCCAGCTCGATCACCATCACAAGCAACTACACAAGCAACTACACAAAACCTAAACCAACCAATTAATCGACCCCTTCCTCATCAACCCACCCAAACCTCGAAGCAAGGAAGCCCTGCTCCATCAGGTAACAACGCCTGTCATGTATGCAAGGGTATCGGCCATTGGGCCAGAGACTGCCCCAGCAGGAGGGTAGACCCTCTTAGCTCTCGACCCATGGGGCCAAAGGTCATGGTCACCATAGCAGACCCCTTTGAGGGGGCCACCAACTCAGGAGATGGCCACACAGGCAGCACTGAGACGGGTGACCCCGAGGCCATGGACCTCAGCTCATACCAGCAATCCATGGACCCCGATCATGAGGAGGAGGAGCACGATGATGGCAACAACAAGGGAAACATCAGTGGGGTGATGCACTGATGGCATGCATTGCTCTACAAACCTCCTCGCCATCACTCTGTATATATCAAGATTGTCAAGTATGTTTCTCTACCAGTGGAGGCAAAGCAGTACTGGAGCTCTCTGGAATGGTTCAAGACCATCCTGCTCGGATACTAGCTGATACCAGTGCTGGTTTGTCCATAGTCTCAGATTCTTTCATTATTAAGTACCAAATACCCACAAAACCCATAAAAACAAGATCGATCCATGGTGTCACCAGACACCAACTCTCCATCAATAGTTCTGTGAGCATGCAGGTATCTATTGGTACACACAATCTGGGTGTGGTCGAAGCTTCAGTGGCCAACACTGCTGACTACGACCTCATCTTGGGGTTCACCGAGCTATGGAGGCTCAAACCCACTATACAATGGGATATGGGCCAGCTGGAGTTCAAGACTCAGGAGCAGGACTGACCCCCAAGGAGACCACCTGAAGCAGCAAGAGCAGGGGACCTAACCATGAGGAGACCAACCCTTCATGGAAACGAGTTTGTCTCAGCAGAGCACATACTACAAGCAGCTCTGGAAGATGGATCCATAGGGTTCATGCTGTTGGAGGAGCCACCATCATCACTCCCAGCCTTTGGTTTTGTACCTACAGGTGCAGACAAAGGAGTAGAGATGGAGGTAGAGGTGGACAAGGTGGTGATGGCTGCAGACATACCAAAGCCATACCAACACCTTTGAGATGTGTTCAATGAAGTTGAAGCAGACAAGCTGCCCCATCATACCGAGCATGATCTCCACCTTGAATTGATAGAAGGAGGAAAGCCACCTCAAGGGCCCCTGTACCTTAAGGGACCTAAGGAGATGTCTGAGTTGAGGAGGTACTTGGATGAGAACCTTGAGAAGGGGTTCATAAGACCATTGAAGAGCCCAGCATGATCACCAGTGCTCTTCATACCAAAGAAGGATGGAGGTCTCAGACTCTGTGTGGACTACCGAGGTCTCAATGAGATCACTGTCAAGAACAGGGCACCACTGCCCCTCATCGAGGAGCAGTTGTTCTTACTCAGGAAGGCAAGGATCTATACCAAGCTAGACCTTAGAGCAGCATACAACCTCATCTGGATTGCTAAAGGAGATGAATGGAAGACAGCTTTTGGCACTCAGTTGGGACTCTATGAGTACCTAGTGATGCCCTTTGGCCTAGCCAATGCTCCAGCTCACTTCCAGTCATTCATCAATGACATCTTCCAAGACATCATTGGGGTATATGTGGTAGTATACCTAGATGACTTCTGTCATGGGCCTGGATGCTCAAGAAGCAGGGGGGTCACAGGTTCATATGGAAGGAGCACAGGTATCGAAGATCTAGTCGAGACCAGTAGAGAGCATGGTCGTAGTGCAGTCTCCATGGAGACCATGGACTCCTATGGACTCACATGCAAAAGAGGGCCAAGCACAGCCACGAGGAGGACCAAGCTCAAGGAGCAGGCACAGCCACGAAGAGGACCAAGCTCAAGGAGCATGCAGATGGTTACCACTCAGGGGCTCGAGAGACAAGAGCCAAAGGAACTGTCACTGATCAAAGGAGAAGGAGCAGTGTCAAAGGAGTCAACACCAGGTCATGAGGAGGAGGAGCAGTGTCGAAGGAGTCGACACAGCTCAAGAGGCACAGGGGTGCCAAGCAGGAGAGGCCCCTGAGCAGTACTCGATGAAGAAGGTACTCTCTGGAGAGAGAGCAGGAGCAGCATCGCTGGCGATGCTGAGTAGAGGTATATAACCATGCTTTCTCATCATCATAGGTCGAGTGGATCATCATCCACTCTACTCACCATACAACTAGTCAATACTTAGAAACATAAGTACTCATTAGTTACAGTCAGCATAGCAGCAATCTATCAAGGTTGCTCCTCATTGTAGTGTGTGTGTTGTATCACCACTACCTGACGTCCGAAGGCGCCCATAGCAGGTTAGCAGTCCGGATATAGATAGAACCGAAGGCAGTAGTCCACTGTGGTCCGGGGGTCACTTCAAGCATCAAGTCAACACACTGGACACTCGTGTTGATGCCACCAACCTTATCACCAACACCATCAACCTCCTTATCATCAACACTCACCAACCTTAT